CCAGCCATTGTTGGAGGACATTTTCTCACCTACGAATGAAGGCAAAGTTGGCAGAAAATGATATACTCTAGGCCGCATCTCCAGCTGGCCTCACACCGATGGTGCCTGCTAATCCCGCCCCCGCACCAGGCCCACGAGGAAAGACAGCCCCAAGCCCTCAGAGACCAGGGGAAAGAAGCTGAGGGAAACCGAGCCCCAGGGGACCCGCAGTGCCCAGTGTTGGCCTCCCTCCCCAGGTCGGGCCCACATCCCACCCACCGAAGTCGTCCTTCCGGCCCTGCCGGCCCAACCCCGGGGGCGGCGGGCAGTTGAGGCCGGGCCACAGGCCCTTAGATTCCCCTGCCGACGCCATTGCTTCTCCACCTGATCTCAACCTCTCCTTCAGGACGCTGTGCGTGAGGGCCCGCGGCCAGCGCTGCGGTTCTCAAAAGCCGCCTCCAGGCGCGTGGTCCCGAGGCCCGGATGAAGGCCCGTCCTATCGCCAACCGTCTACGCACCTCTGCCGCGCCCCTGCCTCTGCGCATGCGCCTGTCTTGAGCGTGAGAAGTCACTGGACGTCAGTCACGTGAGCCGGCGGCCCGGGCGCTGGCCTGGCGCCCAAAGCGTGAGGCTGAGGCGGCGCAGGGGCGCCTGGTCACTCGCTATGCGCCCCGATGCCCCCCCTTCTCCCCCCCCCAACCCCCCCACCCCCCACCCCCGTCCTCGCGGAGCCTGTACAGGGAAGGTCTCCCTGTCCACAGTGACTCCCGTCCGGCCTCCTTATCCACGGCGGCTTCAAGGAAGCCCTTCCCTTTATCCCCATTCGTAGCACTAACAAGGCCCCTGGAAAAGACTTGTTGACAGAATAAACTCTGAGATTCCACGGAATGTTCTTGAACGCAGGTGGGAGGTGTTGAGAACTGATGGCGCCCATCTGTGGGTGTTTTCAGTTATTTGCTCTCCTAAAAGTTTGAAGAAGGCTCTCCTGGAGGTGTTCACTGATAGATTGAACAAATTTTTAATAGTGAATTACTAACGTTTTGGCACTAACCCAGAAGGAATTGAGTGACATCGTTATAACAAAGTTTTAGTGCCCTCTTTCTTTCTTCTTTCTTTCTTTCTTTCTTTCTTTCTTTCTTTCTTTCTTTCTTTCTTTCTTTCTTTCTTTCTTTTTTTTCTTTTTTAATATGGACTGGATTCTAAAGAGTTAAATCACTTTCATCAAAAAAGGAAACCAGCGTGGATGGCATTATACCTCATCACAGGAAGAAGTAATATCCACCTACAAAGGCACAGGTAATTGCGTGCTTGAGAAGAATGTGTATTCTGCTGTTGTTGGCTAGAATGTTCTGCATATTATCTGATAGTCTGTAGTGTTGTTCAGATCTGCTGTTTTCTTATTGATTCTGCCTGATCTATCCCTTGCTGCTGCAATTTACATGTTTTTTAAATTGTGAGACTAATAACATTTTTGTAGTTATTTTTATTACTTTAACTTTTAAACTAGAGTTGTAAGTGAATTGTGCAAACTATTACCATATTGCAGAATCTAACTATCACTTTATATTTGTCATTACTGGTGAGATTTACAGTACCTTTCTATGTTTTTGTGAAGTTAGCTTTTCTTTTAATTTTTTTCTTCTAAGTAAAGAATTTCCTTTAGCATTTCAGGCAGGTCTGCTGGTACTGAATTCTTTCAAGTTTTGTTTGAGAAAGTCTTTATCCCTCCATCACTTCTGAGGGACTGATTTGCCAGGTATAGAATTCTTGTTTGACAATTATCTTTTTCCATATTTTGATTATGCCATCTAATTCTCTTCTGACCTGAACATTTTCTGAGAAATCTGCCTATAGTTTCAAGGGGTTCCTAAACATATACCTTTTTTCTGTTGCTTCTCTTAAAATTATTTTGTGTTTGACTTTTGAGAATTTAATAATAATGTGTCTCCATGTACCTCTATTCTCATTTAGCTGTTGTGGATCTGGGTCCTTTGGACATCATGGATCTCGAAGTCCTTTCTCTACCCAGGTGTGGAAAATTATTACCCATTATTTTTTTAAATATATTTCCTCTCCCTCTTTTTTTCACTTCTCCTGAAATTTCCATAATGTTCCTATTACTTGTACAAATATATTTTTCTCATAGCCTTGCCCAACAGAGCCACAGAAAGTTTGGTTACAAATTTAAGTTACGCCGAAACCGGTTTGGCTCGGTGGATAGAGCATCAGCCTGTGGGCTGAAAGGTCCCGGGTTCGATTTCCGGTCAGGGGCATGTACCTGGGTTGCAGGCACATCCCCAGTGGGAGGTGTGCAGGAGGCAGCTGATTGATGATTCTCTCTCATTGATGTTTTTAACTCCTTTCCTCTCTGTAAAAAAATCAATAAAATATATTTTTTTAAAAACAAAAAACAAATTTAAATTGCCCTTTTCTTTTTACAGCATTATCACTGTAAGTGCCAGGAATACTGTAAGTTCATACTTATGCCATTTTTTTAAGTAACTCTTATGTGAATATTATTTAAAGCCATGGGAAAATTTTTAACATTTAGAACTTACTGGCATAACTGTTTCTTTGAAGCAGAGAATTAATAACTAAAGGACTCAAGTAAGGAATAATTTAATTTTTATTTACTTTGTTTTATGAAACAACTTTCTGGCAGTATTATCTTAGACACTAGATCCAAAGTAGGCATAGAATTTGCTTCTCTGGTAAGTGTGGCTAATAAGATATAATGTTCCTATAGCCCCCAACTGTAGAGGTGATTGAGGGGAATACGGAGAGATCAGGCAGATAATAGGTAAGAAAATGATGAAGCAGAAAGAATTCAGTATTATGACTCTAGCCACTAGGATTTTAGTTTTATTTTTTTTAAATCTATTTTATTGATTTTTAACAGAGAGAAAGGGAGAGAGATGGAGAGTTAGAAACGTCGATGAGAGAGAAACATCGACCAGCTGCCTCTTGCACACCCGTACTGGGGATGTGCCCGCAACCAAGGTATTATACATGCCCTTGACCAGAATAGAACCTGGGACCTTTAAGTCCGCAGACTGATGCTCTACCACTGAGCCAAACCGGCTTCGGCAGGATTTTAGTTTTAATTGTATTACTAAGTTGTCCTATGACAACAAAGTACAATTTTCAATTCCCATAACAGTGTGTCTGTCTTGTCTGTCTGTCCATCTGCCCCATTAATCCATGACCTTGGAAGGCTAAGTACATTGGCTCTTCTGAAAGGTTTTGTTTTTGTTGTTGTTTTTCAATCTGAAACTAGTGTCTTATCTACTTGAGTTCAAGATTCTGAACCAGAGGCTTTCTTGAGGTGTTTTCCAATTCTAGGTTCTTTAAATCTATTGTTTACCCAACTTTTAAATGGTCTGTACTGATTTGACTGATTTCAAACCTGAGTTGTGATTAAGAGTATTTAACTACTTTTGAATATTATTTTAGACTAGTGGCCCAGTGCACAAATTCATACACATTGAAAGGAAATTAGAAGGAATATTTTAATATTGCTATTTGCCTTTTCTCTATAATAGAAGTGTCAACCAAATTCATGATCGAAACATGTGTGCGATTGGCGCCAGTGAGAGCTTTTATGTATCACACATGTAAGTCAATTTAGCCTTTATATATAGAATAAGCTTAATTAATTATGCCTGCTTTATGATTTAGCTTTTTCCAGCCCAGTGAAGCACCCCAACTTCTCTTTCAAGTAATTGTCAGCAACACAGTAGTAAATATCAACACAGAGATTATTGTAGATCACACAGGGAGAACAAATGGTAAAATATTTAACTGTAGCAGTGTTCGACTATATTCTGTGCAGTGAGAAAACCTAAAGTCGTTTACAAGGTCCACCATTTTTTTCTTTACAATTGGGTCAAGTTTCTAACCTTCCTAAATCTCCCATTTTCTGACGAATGAAAAGAAAACAGGATTCTGCCAATTCTCTTATCCACCTACTCCAAGACTTCTGTGAGGATCAAATGAGATGAGGCACAGGAAAATGCTTCACAGACATTTGGTTAAGTTTAAAATGTGTCCACCTGGCTATAAAGTAAGTTGTGTTCCTGGGCTGGAAAAACTTCAAGGAAGCTAGTTTCTAGGGAGAAGAAGCTGGGTGTTGTTATGTGACATCATTACCAGATAGACCCTTAGCATATTAGCCTTTTATTTATATAGATTTTGCTATTCTTATAAATATTTTTATTATACTAATGTAGGTACTCTACACCTACCTTCGTATGCACAAAAGAATATATATAAACATGTACATAAAGAATATATTACAATAAAAACAAACAGCTATGTGTTGACCACTTGTTTAATAAAACAAAACTACACCTAACATCTCTGAAGTATCTGATATGCCTCTTTCTGGCTGCACCCTTTTTTGGCTAATATTTATACAGATTTCATTTTTTTAAGTATTATCTTCTTTGAAAACATTTAATAACAGGGTGGACATCTATTAATTATAAAAATAAGCTATCAAAGAAAGAAAAGACTGAAAACAACTACAGACTGAAACCAATTATTGTGATTTTATTACAATAGTTACAAACAATACTTTAGTGGTATTTAATCATATCACAATTACTCAAATTATATACAAATAGGTATTTATACAAGTCTACATTTTTAAAAAGAAAAAGCAATTAATGACCAAAATAATCACATTATGAACAAGATTTTTTTTTTCAAAAAGTATGGCCAATAACAGGAAATTCACAGTTATTCTGAAAATATTTAAGATGCAGGAATCATATTGCACATAACAATTATAAATCCTACTGAGTAGATATATATTTTAATCTAGTTTTTCACAAAATTTACATTATCATGCAATATATTTCACTGTATACAGAATGGTGGAACTAGAACAAACAGGTTAACTTTCAAACCTTCTACATAATGGCCACAAAATTAGAATTATTTAAAGTCATATTTAAAATAATTTTAATATACAAAAAAGCACTCCAGTGTAATAATTTGTTCACAGATCAAGTTACTTTTTAGTGTTCTTCTTTATCTTTTCCTTTCTTTTCCTTCTCATCCTGTAGTGCAGTACCAAGTTTTTTAATAAGAACTGACAGAACCTTGTCCAGTGGGTCCATGACTCCTCTTTGAAGCCATTTAGGAATAGTAGTCCTGGCATGATGAAAGCCCAATTTTTGAAGAATATAATCAACACCTACTGGATCAATCTTTCTTCCAGTCCAAGAAATTAACCTAAAATAATTGTAAAAAATAATTAGGAGTACAGTGTCCAAGCACAGACCTGAAGGTAAGTTTAAGCACATCACTAAGCCTCCATAATGTGTTCAAAGTATCTTCAGTAGGAACATTTGAATAATCTACAATTCCTGGATTCACTTATAATAGCATTTTAAAAAGTGTGATTATAAGTATCCTTGATAAGCATATACACAATAATGGAGTTTAGTGAATTTCATTCTTATTATTTTAAGCCCAAAGTTACACAGTCATTTTAAACATTTAAAGGATATTTGGTTTACTGAAGGACTTGTATACATACATATAAATACAACCAATGGACACAAAACTCTGGGGAGGGAGGGCATGTATGGTGGGGGGGACAATGGTAAGATGTACACAGATAATTAATAAAAAAATAAATAAATAAAAATAAGTACAAATTAGTAATTACAAAAATAGTCATGGGGATGTAAAGTACAGCACAGGGAATATACTCAATAATATTGTAATAACTATTGTGGTGCCAGGAGGTACTTGCAATTTCAGGGGGATCACTTTGTAAAATATATTATTGTCTAACTACTATGCTGTACACCTAAAACTAATACAAAATAAAATTAAATGTAAACTGTAAAATAAATAAATAAAGGATATTTGGTTCATTCTAAAAGATGTTAATTAAATTGGTGGGGGAAATCTTTTCAAATGTATATTTATATCAAGTCACGGTGTCCTACACTTAAAATATCTTTCTGTTTTGTCAATTACACCTCAATAAAGCTGGAAAAAAATAAGAGTTCAAGTATGTGGTATATGGGAGGAAAGGGGGAAAATATAGAGTATTTGCTGTCTACTAAACATGTTAGAAGAACCACCATTTTCTTCCTATTCTTGGTATTTCTTTCCATATAGAGGAATAGCCATCAAGGAAACACTCCTGGCCCCTTATTGATGAGTTATCTGATTGGCAAATTAATGGAGGAATTGAATAGTGTAGTTTAGTACCCTCCTCCGTACCTTCTCTTAGAAACCATTCATTTTGCTCTGTTCCTTTATGCCATAGGATTTTTCAAAGACAGATCCTTAAATAATTGAGCCCAAGACAGTTCATAGCTGCCTGTGGCTAGGTGAGTACACAGTGCGGCACAATTTCAGCACCACCACCCCATGCAAGCTGTGCAGCACTGAGACCCTGCAGGTGAGTCCAAACCTGGACTCTAGTAGAAAGCCACTGGTGTCAGATCTCCAAAGCACATTCTCTGTCACCAGCGTTACCAGTATTAGAACTAGCATTTTTATTTCCAGCTGCCTCTCTCCCACTATTTTAGGGGAAAAAGGAGGAACTAAACATTGATCAGCTAAAACTCTTTAACAGTTTTAAGCACTTTGTGTTAAGTAGCTTATCTAAGAATTGTAACCTACAAGATAGGTAATACCACTTTCTAATTTTTTTTTTTTATGAGGTAACTGAGACAGCAGTTATTAAATCCTTTGGGCGTTGTCACTTAGCCAAAAAGCAGGGCTTAGAGCCACTGATCTTAACTATGCTATCCACTACAACACCATATTTAGTCTCATGGTAGTTTGCTAAAGTAAGGAATATATTTGTGAAAAATTTAACTATTTTATGCTCTTTTTAAGTAAAAAGATATACCGGGTCTTTGAATAACACCATTTTGTTATAACTTGTAGGAACTTAACTCTTGTTTATATCAAGTAGCCCATGGTAAAATTGGTTTCATTAACGTTGTTTCCCTTAAAGTCATTGAACCAACTTATCAACATTAGGTGATGACTTATGTACTCAATTACATTTATTTAGAATTACAAATAAAAAATCAGATTTTCTACATTAGGACTTTTGCAATATTTTAATACTGTTTGAATATTGACACTGTTACTATTTCTCATGCATTTTTGTGCTATTAATACTAAAGTGTTTTCTCAGTTTGGTTACAACAAATTTCACTGAATACAAATTACTAACACTTCCTGCTTATACAGAAGTCCACTGTATAATGAAGATTTTGTTAGTTTGGAATTATTTTGGTATAAGTATGTCTGAATAATAAGTTTATCTGAATGAAATCTGTGTCATTCTGCAGTGTTGAGCATGATGGACTTTTTTTGATACCATTATTCCAAGAATCAGTGATAATTTGATTTATAAAGCATATGAGAGAAAAGGGGAAAATAATAGGGTTGTGAGTGTCAATCACAAATAAGGACATACAAAGCAAGTACTACTCATTATAGCAGCAATTATAAAAATAATTAAAACTAGAAAATACTTTTAAAATTACGATATGAAAACAAGTTGATGTCACTGCGATCATGATTGTAGAACATGACTCAGTAAAGGAATCGGAACCTGATAGCATTACATTTAACATTGCAGGAATGGTTTTATATTGCTTCCTATGCAGACAAAAGAACACTGTGACATGGTCCACTCTATTACATTGTTATGACTTATGTAAGAATTGTATGGTTTCTTAATGATATAGATTCTACTACAACTTCCCAAACTATGTAACAAGTTTACTACCTACCTCCAAAATAACATCTTGGTGAGATAGTAAAAAAATAATAGCCACTATGCAAGCAGAGTTATTCTCACATTTTAGTGATTAACAGAATGTCACACAGTGGACAGCTAACCAGCACTGAGCTATTCCCAGGGTCTATGCCGAGAACACTTACAATAGCAGAAAGGAACAGCAAAAACAGTAGGCAGGTATTGTCGAGGTTACAACTGGCTAACTTCTAAATATATTTTTCAATATAAAATATTTAATAACCTAATACACAATTTATAACCTTATCTCCTAATAATCCCATAGAATATAGGTAAATATATATATGTACCCACTATTTACCTAAGAGTGGGCTCTAGATGCCACGTGTTGCACATAAAATCTCTCCAGTCCACAGTGGTGTAACTGATGCCGTCTTCTCTGTCTTTGTCAGAGGAGTTGTCATCATGTATAATGACTGGGCTTTTCTGTCCTGGTCGAGTAGATAAAATCCGAGGTGGAAAAATGGCTACAAATGAAAATAATAGGTTAATATTGCAAATATATACTTTATAAGTTTATTTCAAATCACTATATGAACAGAATAATTTGCTCCTTTTTATTTATGAACTGGCTAAAGCCTCATTTAATTCCATTTCTTAAAAAGTAATATTTTAGCCCTAGTTGGTTTGGCTCAATGGATAGAACATCAAACTGTGGACTGAAGGGCCCCAGGTTCAATTCTGGTCAAGGGCACAAGCCCAGGCTTGATCCCCAGTAGGGGGCGTTCAGGAGGCAGCCAATCAATATTGATGTTTCTATCTCCCTCTTCCTTCCTCTCTGAAATCAATATGAATATTTTTTAAAGGCTTATTTTAAATAAGCCTTAAATAAGTGCCAATAATTGATATTGCTTAGAGAAAGCCAATATCAAAGTTATTGCATTACCTTACAATTAGAAATAATGTCATTTATTTTTTAGTAATAGCATATGTTTTACATATATTTATGGGCCTAAAACTAATGGTAAAGAATGCTAACATTTATGTGATTAGCAGGCCCAGGGCACTGGACTTGTAGGTTTCCTAAAGAACAGCTGTAAGTGGATGACATTATTTTAAGTTTTATTGAGATATGATTCACAATAAAACCCACTCAGTTAATGTGTACAACTCAATGGTTTTAGTATGTTAATGGTGATACATATATTTGAACAGTGGTACTAACTTAGAAGCTTTTAATGTAAGCAGCCTTTTCACTCCATTTAGTAAACATGCAAATGCTTTATGAAAAATGAAGTCTTTCTAAATTAGTGATCATAAATAAGGCAATATGTTCCTTTAATATGTAGTTGTTTCTTTAGTCATTTCACTTGATTAGTTGTATTTCTTCAAAGAGGTTTTTTCTTTTACTACTTTGTGAGAATCTCCTACAAAATCTGAAAATTTCCAAATTTGAAATACTTTGTGAAGTACAAAATATATTGCGTGTGAGGCATAGTTAGAATGTTGTGTGCCTAGCAGATACTCAATTTGTCACATAGTCTTACTAATACATTATTTATATTCCTCTCATTTATTTATTAATATTTGTAATTCATAGAGGAAGGAGACATCATTAAAAATCCATGTAAATGACAGACAGCTGCCTTTCCTGAAGCTTTAAAGAAAAAAACATAATCCCCAAAACGAGAATATGCACTACTCACCTTTTTCTTTCTCTTTAAGGTAAGCTGACACTAAATCATGGAGAAACATGATGAGCTCAGCATCCATGGTCACACAAATGTGGTCAGTGAACTCTGTCACCACACTACATTCTACCTTTGGCTTCAGGCTGGCATCTGAAAGGGCAAAGTTCTTTTATGGTAAAGATTTAATTAAATAAATCCTTTTCTCTTTCTGTTAAGGGATTTACATGAGTGTGTAAATGCATCGACTGAAATGCAACAAGAAAGAAATGAGTATTTTTGTATTTGACTCACACAATGGTGATGGTTCATATTTTATATGCTATTTATTCCTCATAAAAACCCTCTGAACCGGTTATTCTCCTCCAATTTACTGAGGAGAAAGAGGTACAAATGGATTAAATTATTTGCCACAGGTTACATGGCTGGCAAGAACAATCAATTTGACCCAGGAAATCAATTTATGTTATTTTATTTAACACTAGTGACATAGTGTATGGATTCCTGCACATTGAAAGGAAAATAGAAGGTGGCCAATGGGGCGGAATTGGGCAAGATGGGCCGGACATGCCCTGGAGCTCACCTCCATGGTCCCTCTCTCCAGCCAGCCCACACCTGGGATGGCGCCATGGCTTGAATGGCAACTGTGGAATGAGCGGGGTCCCTCTGGCAGGTGAGGTCCCTCAGTCTGGCCTACAGAGATTGGGCTGAAACTGGCTCTCCAACATCTCCCGAGAGGTCTCAGAGTGAAAGAGAGCACTCTGCAAAGTTGCTATCATACAGGGTGTGGAATGCAAACACAGGTGTGCAGTAAACCAGATTTGGAGCTGACAGTGCCCTAGCAACAACATACCCCACGGCCTACAGTGGAATCATATGGCCCTGCGAGGAATCGGGTTCCCTCTTCTTTGGTTCCAGGGTGCGTCACCTGAGAAGCACAGCTGCCAAGTCACTGAAACTCAACAGCTCCTGTGTTGAGCATCTGCCCCCTTGTGTGTGTCATAGCTACTGATCAGATAGACACTTAGTGTATTAGCCTTTTATGTATAATATATAATTATATAATCAGATTATATTAATATTACACACAAAAAACAAAAACAATTCAAAGTTCCTTTAGAATTTTCTTAGTAACTTCAGAAACTAAAGATTGTTCTTCCACATACCCTGTAACGAAGGTTCCTGTGGTTCTTGAACATGAATAGACTTAAAGTCAAGCTGCATCCTTGGTAATGCAAAGATGGTCTCTGTTTCATGATTGTAGCTAGAACCTCCTCTGAATCCACTCAACAAACTGGAATTCTTCACAGTAGTGCTATTCTCGGTGTTATTAGCATCAACATTACGGAGTAGGTTTAGTTCTACACGCAAAATAATAAAGATAATAAGAGTCAAATTAAACCAATTGACATAGATAAGCCTATAGCTTTCATTGCACTATGATACAGGAATTTTTATCATTTCAAAAATTGCAAAATAAACTCACATTTGAAAAAATAGAACCATATAAAATTGTGGTCTTAATAATATGTATCTCTATATATGTAGACAGGGGTATAGACATATTTACATAGTAAATATAGAGATGATTTAATTTATAAATAGTAATTTATATTTATACTAGAGGCCTGGTGCATGAAATTTGTGCATGGTAAGCAGGGGTGTCCCTCAGCTCAGCCTGCACCCGCTCCAATCTGGGACCCCTCAAGGGATGTCCGACTTCCCATTTAGGCCCCATCCCAGTAGGATTGGACCTAAACGGGCAGTTGGATATCCCTCTCATAATCCAGGACTGCTGGCTCCCTATTGCTCCCCTGCCTGCCTTCCTGATTGCCCCTAACTGCTTCTGCCTGCCAGCCAATCACCCCCTAACCACTCCTTTGCCAGCCTGATTGATGCCAACTGTTCCCCTGACAGGCTGTTTGCCCCTAACTGCCCTCCCCTGCAGGCTTGGTCACCCCTAACTGTCCTTCCCTGCAGGCTTGATTGCCCCAAACTTGCAGGCCTGGTCTCTCCCAATTGCCCTCCTCTACTGCTCTACTGGCCATCTTGTGGTGGCCATCTTGTGTCCACATGGGGGCAGTCATCTTTGACCATATGGGGCAGTCATCTTGTGTGTTGGTCAATTTGCATATTATTCTTTTATTAGATAGGATTAAATTGGAAAGAGGCTTGGTGCATGGGTGGGGACCAGCTGGTTTGCCCTGAAGGGTGTCCCGGATCAGGGTGGCGGTTCTTTTGGGATGTGGGGTGGCCTACATGAGGAGCCTGTGGTGGTTTGCAAGCTGAAACTTGTTTAATTGAAGAAATGAAGTTTCCCCCACTTAAATTATATACAGTCAACAGAATCCAAATTAGGGAAGAAAAAAAAAAATATATATATATCTCTAAAAAATATCAAACTTTTAACCTTCATTTCTTGTGGCTGTAACATAATGGAACCATTCTTTCACACTCGCTACTCCATGGGGTGGATTTTCATGGCGACGCCTTGTTATCTTGGTTATTGTTGCCATAGGACTTTCCAAAGCGCCACATGGTTTGGTAACCATGGTATTATGGCCCAGATGAAAATCCAATGTTTGTACAACATATGTAGAATGATCACTAGAGCCTAGAGGGGATAAAATTATATTAAATATAATATAAACAAATTATATTTAGATGCAAGAAAAGAGTTGTGCTTAGAGCAACAGATAGAAAATGAGGGGGGGGGGAATCACAAATACTTTTTCTTTCTTTTAGCTATTACTGGATTTATCCCTAGTAACATGAAAACCATCAACCCACTCATATGTGGGACATAATGATCAACATAAACTGTTTAACAAAAGTAGATCTAGAGACAAGGGACAGGGAAGGGGGGGTTAGAGATCAACCAAAGGACTTGTATGCATGCATATTAGCATAATCAATGGATACGGACACTGGGGCAGTGGGGGCTTGCTCTTGGGTGAGAGTGGAGGGGGGAGTGTCAATCTGGGGAAAAGGAGACCTATGTAATACTATAATCAATAAAAAAAGAAAAAAAACATCAACCATTTTTTGAAACCACTAAGATACTAAAGTTGAAAGGAACTGGATCTACCACTGTAAATAGAGGTAAAAGCAGAGGCTTGCCTATTGTAGTCTTGAAGGCAAATCATTTTCCTATACTGCCACGTATCTCCTCATGTTTATATAAAAAAATTTTACAATATCTACTATTATGATTACAGCCAGTAACAGAAACTTTAGTTGCTTAAGCAAGAAAATGAGTAGATAGCAAGTTCAGAAATAAGTCTTTTACATCCTAGACTTTACAGAAACTGACTCATTGGCAGTGAACTCCTTGACATGTCATGTACATGATAACAAATAGAATGGACTTCAGAAATGTTATAAAAGATAAAAGATGTAAGAAAGAAAAGTTACTCTGCTATGTATTATCACATCAAAGATGAAAAGAGTAAAAGCTTGAAATGTGTCAGTTTACCATCCTCCCAGATCTTCTGAGCTTCAGTCCAAAAAGCAATATTTGGTTCTTCTAGGTGAAAAAGGGCCCACGATTTCGAACGGAAATTTGGACCATGGAAACAAGCTAGTGTCATGTGATTTCCATGTAAGCTCATTGATCCTCCAAACTGCATTCCATCTTCTGGCAATGGGATCTGGAATAAGGATATGTGGCATCCCGAAACAACCTTCAGTACTCCAGGCCAGTGTCGATGGTGGGCAGCATCTAGCACTGCAAAAAAACCAAACAGGCTTATCCTTCGTGCCTGCTGTGGGCACATCTTCAATGGCAATGGCAGAGAGCTAGGGGGTAGCCGGACTCCTTTCTGCAGCTGCAGTGACTCAGGTAAGGGATGAAAACAACCACCCAACTCTGGTTAACATTAAGCAGAAGCTAGTAAGCATATAGTCTCGGGAAAGATGCTGCATAAGGATGGATGCAACTAAGGAAAGCAGTAACTTGCTAATAATTGCAACAAATACTGCTGTAATTTACAAATGCTTGCATGACATACAATTCTCACAGTAACTCTGTAAACTAGGTATTTTATCTGGACTCTGTTCAAGTGAAGCAGAGGAGGGGTTAAGTAAACCAGCGACTAGAAGACCTAGAAATCAAACAGATCTCCTGATTTTTAGTATATTTTCTTTTTTACTCTTTTGTACCCTTGTGACTCAAAAGTGAGGTATGAGGACCATCAGGATCACCCAGAACTTGTTCGAAATTCAGGCTCTTATGTCCACCACACCTATGTATCAGAATCTCCATCTGAGGAAGATCCAGGTACTTCAAGTGTTTGAGTAGCACACCTTAATATTTCCCACTTATTCTAGTGATGTCCCTTTTTGCTGTTTTCCACAGCTCCAAGTCCAGATCCAACCAGGGGTCACGCATTGTATTTATGGTCGTCAGCATGACTCTTTAGTTTCCTTTAAAACAATTCTATGAGCCAATTTATTTGTTTTTCATGACAAGGACTTTTTCAAGAATCCAAGCAAGGCATTTTAGGAAAACCTTCCTCCATATGTATATGCCTGACACCAATTCTAGTTTAAAGGAAATACAAGGACTATAGGAAGGAGATAAATGGAACCACAAGGAAGCAACTGAAAACTAGAAGGCAGGACATTGCGTAGGATAACTGGCCAAGCCTCTCAAACAAGTCAGGTCACTAAAAAGGACTATACTGAATTAAAAGAGAGTAAAGGAACATAACCATTTCTGAACTGTGATGTTGAATGTGATATACTGGTTTGGACAAATTTTAGGATAATTTTAGGTCAGTTATGGAATGTGTCATAGGCTAGAGGAGCTAAACTAGCAAAATGGAAAGTGGGAGCTTGTTGAATGGAAAAGATTATAAAACAGTATGAACAATATTTTGGTAAAAAGAACATATACATATATAGGTGCACAGAAAAATATCTGAAGGTGCATGCTCTCAAGTGTTCACAGGAATGATTTTTTGATGGAATGGGATGCTTTTATTTTTTGCTTGTATTTTCTAGTTTTTTCAATGTACAAGTATTACTTCTGTGATAATAAAATTTATTAAAAATTATCCTAACTCTAACAACTTTTTGCCACTTTACTCCTATCACCTAGTTAAAGCCACCATCACCTGTAGCCTGGACACCGACCGTGCCTCCTTACTATGGTAATGTCAGTATGTTTAATGATACTATTACTACATTTGCTCTCCTCACTTCCATCCTTAATCACCTGCAGTCTATTCTCCACACAGCAGCCAGAGTGATGCTTTACAAAGGAATATTTTAAAATAAAGTAAAATAATATCAAATCTGTTCGAGACTCTCCAATAGCTACTCATCATATTAAAACTCTTATCTGTGACCACCGTTGTGACCCTCAAAGCAAGCTCCCTCCTGCTGTGGGAGCTCTGCACTGTCCATAGGCCCCTGTGCCTGGAATGCTCTTTCCCAGCCCTCAGCCAAGATCTTCACTTGAGAAAAGGCTTCCTGGAGCCCCCTTCTAAAATAGCCATCCTCACACACTCATTCTCTGTTTCCTTTCCCTGCTTCATTCCTCTTCTCAGCACCTCTCTCTACCTGAAACTATCTTGTGTTTTAGTTAGTAACTTAATATGGGATATCTCTCCCATTAGAATGTAAACTTCATGAGGCTAGGAACTTTGCTCCCTAGATCTATGCCAGGTACTTTAGCACAAGAGCATATTTAATAAATATTTGTTGATTGCCCTACTGAGTGAAAATAATAACCTTCCTAGAGGGATACAACTAATAAATTCAAACTCAGACATTCTGATTCCACAACTTGTGTTCTTAAGCAGAACATGGTATTGTCATATTTTGTATTCAGAAATATGGTATATGAATGATTTAGATGAGCTGTGGCAAGGGGGGAGGGTATAAGAAATGGTGACTTCTCAAATGATGGCTTCAATGCCCATGTGGGTGGGAATCGTTGCTGAGTGAACTAGAGAAGAGCATATGGATCACTGTAAGCATGACATACAGATACTATGTGACTTTAAATGAAAATTGCAACACATTCACTGAAAGATCAGCTCATACAAAGCCTTAGTTCTAATTCTTACACTGCTCTTGTGAACTTTTCTCCAGGATATTTGTCACTGTCTTAGGTGGAAGATAAGGAACTGGTCCCCAGGTAGACAGAGCTCGTTTGCTGGTATCAAACTGCTGCGTGAAAAATTCCTGGAGCTTCATTCCTATTTTTATCAGGTCTGGTGTGGTTGATCTTGATATCATTACTTGGAAAATATCCCACTTCAAATCTCCATGGACAAAAATTTCACTAGAATATAAAACAGGGTCTTTATCATATAGCTTATATAAGATGATTTAAAAATACATGGTTTAAAAGTACAAGAAAAAGTCCCTTCCCCCACCAAGCTTTTCATTCACATTGACTGAATAATATAAAAGCTTGTGCTTTCTCACTAGATGACAGAAAATATGTTCAGAGCAGTCATGCAAAGTTTGTAAGGTCCTATTTCCTAAATACCTTTTATCACTTATGCTTGAATCCAAGGCACTGCACAGATTCACCTTCCACTCGTCCTGCAGCTTGAGGTCAGCATTGCTGAAGATGCCCATGAGGATGCTGGAGCCCATGTAGTCCACACGGGCCTCAGTGGAGCCCATCGTGATCTGAATTTTGTGACTGGGCTGCTGATTCGGATGTTCAGAAATATGAGCTGAAATAATTTTTCACAGAAATGTCAAAGGGGAAAAACTCATCAAAAGTTTTTAAAACTTTTTTCAATATATTTTTCAGTTGTAAAATTCAACATACCAACCATCTCCAGTGCATTGACATCAATTGTCCCTCCAACAACCCCTCCCTTAGAGTCTAACTGGGATCTTCCCAGCCCGACAGACATGCTGATCTCTCGGTCACGGTTACTTCCTACTGACAGGCGGCCCTGGCTCTTCAAACCACTCGTTGTCCAACTAAAATAAGAAAAAGGTTATTAAGTAGACATCTGGCTTCCAGTGTCATAAATTAAAACAAGAGTTAGATTTCAAAAAAGTTTTTTTTTTAAAGTTTATTATAAAAACCAGTAAATGTTTAAATATTAACATTTATAAGGCATTTTGCTTAGCTAGAAAATTATGCTGTTTTACTTACAATTTTCTTTTTTTTAAGAACATATACTTCATATTGCTTTATAGTATAGTATCTTTAGAATTAGATTAAAGCCATTTAAGTATAAAGCAATTTAGTACCTTTTATCTACTGTTTTCACCATCTCAAACATTTCAGCATTAGAAAAAGGTTTTGAATTACTTTATACACTATAAGAAAAATTACAAATAATGATTAGGTATATTTTCTTTGTATCCGAAGAGCTTACGTTGTATTTCCCATTACATTACTCATGTTCATTTGGACGTTTAATTGCTTCAAGTTGATAGCAAACACGACAAGTGTTTCCCATGGAGTCCCTTGCTGACTTGCTGCTTTGTTTGATTTGTTAAAGGGAGTTGATGTTTTTGAAAGTGAATCTAAAAATAGAAAAATCATATGCATATTTGTTCACACAGATGCTCAGTGATTACAAAGCAAAAACCAGTTTTATCACTATAATCCAAAAGCTGAAATGATATTCTTGTATTATAACCAAATGTTAAATAGCTATCACACTACCTCTAAAAGAGTTACCATTTACTGACTTTAGCAGGTGCTGGCAGTTGCACTTTTTGAAAGCTTGTAGTGTTTCCCAAAGTGTGGTATGCGTACCCCAAGGGGTACAGGAAGAATATGGTGGGGGTACGCGCTGCACCAGAGTTTGGTGGGGATATGCACTGCACCGTGCTTAGCTGCGCCTAATTCTACATTCTCATGAGTACGAGGGGTACTCAGCATTACGAAAATTATAGGAGTACACATATGTCAAAAGTTTGGGAAACACTGGCTTAGAGAGTTCTCTCTGAGCTCCTTGTTACAGGAGGAAATTCCAATATATACGGGATACCACAGAACAGATCTTTCATCACCCTGGGTTCTCAGCAGAGGAGGAAATCCCAAGTTGCTACGGGCCAACAGAAGACCTGAAGGCAGGGACCGTTCTGAGATGCAGAGGCTGCTGCATGCCTGTCTTCTGTGTCCTACAGACTCACATACGTCTTAAGTCCTGCATTTGCTCATTATACTCTAATCATACCTTGTGATATAAATTAAATGACTCATTTTTATATGTTCAGACAAAAGTAGAATGCTGAGCACATAAGAGTTCAAAAACATGGATGAATAAAAGAATGAATGAATACAAAGATTAACTTTTTTAATATCAAACATCTTTTACAATATTGTAGGTTTGGTTTACTTTTAAAAATAACTCTACCATTGAGAACTACAGATTGGTAGTTACGAATAGTCATGGGGTTATAATGTACAGCATAAGGAATATAGCCAAGAACACTTCGTAAAGTAATGTGATTGTCTAACCACTATCTTGTACACCTGAAACAAATACAAATGAGTATAAACTATAATTGAAAACAATTTAAAAAAATAATTGTACCATCTAGAGCTTACTAACAATGTGCTCTCTCCTCTCTCCCTACCCCTTTTTAAAGCTCTGAGCCATACAGCTATCTCTTCTGCTGGGAAATACTTTGAAATGTGTGCTATTTGGTTTGGATCCCCTCCCCTCCATCTTCCATAAAAACCTGCAAGGGTCTATTTCCCTGCAGGTGAGACAGAAATCTTGGAGTAACTAATTAAGATTTTTATCCTGGCGTCATTGGAGGGCCACTGATAATAAAGAGAGCAGTGTTACCTCTTCGGGGAACTGAAGAATCCGATACACTCCTGGATCTTACGGAAGCTGGGGACTTCAGGCTCTGTGCCACTGTCCCTGGTGACATGGTGCTGTTAGTCACGTGCTCAGTGAACACATTGGGTGACTGAGGCATGTGGGTGAAGGAGGCCGACTGACTAGGCTGCTCCCAGGTCCTGCAATAAGCTTTTCTTGATGATTCCGGGGAAAGATGTTGGCTCACCCCTTCAATGGAATCAGGTGTTCCTGGGCCAGATGCTAACAGGAAAGTGGAAACAAAAACAATTAACAGGGTAAAATTGGCATGCTATAAAATCATAAATTTTAACACTCTGCCACTTCTAAGCATATTGCATACTTTTAATTCTCTGACAAGTGTGCAGAAGTTTACAGTTTGCAAAGCACATTCAGCTTGTTTATTTCGCACAGAAACACTTTGAGAATGGCTGAAGAAGTATTATGCTCCCATTTTACAGATGAGGGAACAGAGATGAAACCAGGTTTTGTATTGTATCTTGCTAACTCTACCTTTCCCTTATGCAATATCTAAGTCCAGGAGAAAAAACACAGGCAATATGGTAGCATGTCCCCAACACTTTCTATTTTCCATACTTACCTAAGCATGATTTTAATGGTTACATATATTTCTGCATTTCCAGATTTTATTAAGATTACAAAATAATGGTTAATGTCAGCAGAATGTAGTTTCTGAAAGGGCAAGTCTCTGTGACCCGCTCATGCATTCCCATACTTAGCAAACTGGAGGGGATCAGCAGATGCTTGCAGGAGGGAATGAACTGCATGCCACTACTTACCAAGTTTAAGACAAAGTTTATGTTGTAAATCATGGATCTTACTACTATTGCAACCAAAATTAAAAGCAAAATAAGTGTAACTCTAATTACATAATGAGCTTACTTGGCAAATTTATAGTCTGGTCTCCAAGGAAGAGACGTCTTGCAATACTTCTCCTGTACCAGGCTCTTGGAAATGCCAGAATTTCACTGAGCCGGCGCATATCATATTTAAAGGAAGCAGAACCTATGTCACAAACAGCTGAAACAGAAATAAAGAAAATGTGTTAGTACAGATTTCCAAAACCTTCAATATTTTCCACTTGGTATAATATGATATTACACAACTAAATTACAATAGTTGCAATTCATGAAATATCTAAGTTGCACAGCATGATTAGTAAGGGATAGTATGTTCTTTCTATAAATGAGAAAAGTAGCAGATTCTAACACTTTAGTTCCATTCCTTTGTTGAGGTAAAGGCAAATTGGAATTAAACTATTACATTCTCAGAGAGGTTCTAAAGGTCCGTCTTACAGACGGCTTTAACACAGGGCTTTTCTAAATTGTGGCGAATGAATCATGGAATAAACTGGGATACATACTTCCTCAAAGTGGCTGCAAACCGAGTGGTGGTATTGGGGAACTGCTGCTTTCCTCTAGACCAGTGGTCACCAACCTGTAGTCTGTGGACCACTGGTGGCCCATGAGGAAACCTTTGGAGCAATGATTTTCCACGAGGTCTGAAAGGTTGGTGACCACTGCCAGAGCAGCGCTGGTCAGAGTGAAGGCCCTGTGCTGGCCACACAGTTCCTGCTCTGCCCTCCGTATTCCTCCTCTCAGGCCTCAGAAGCCTCTTCACACCTGGGTCTCCCAGACCTGCCTTCAGTTTCCTTCTGAGCTCATGGCCACGCCTATCAGCAGCTGTCTACCCCATCCTTCCATTAATGCCCTGGAGGTACTTCCTTCTTTATTTTCTGCCACTCTGTCCCTTCTGTCACATAGGCTGAAAGTATGAGGCATCCTGTCTCTGCTGCTCTGCACACACTCTGTCCCCAACACACATCTTCCCTCCCATTTGTCATGCTGCCATGAATTATTTCTAAAATACCCATTACACACACACAACACACGCATGCAAACACACACAGATGTTTATTTTATAATCCATATAAAATTTTGTCTTTTTTTCTTTTTTATGGTCAGAACACTTGAGATCTATCCTCAATTTTTCCATAGATTTTTATAGAGTGTGAAAGTGATGGTGAAAGACAGAGAGAGAGAGAAACATCAATGTGATAGAGACACATCGACTGGCTGCCTCTTGTACTTCCTGACCTGGGCCGGGGATCAAGCCTTCAACCAAAGTATGTGCCCTTGACCAGAATTGAACCTGCAACCCTTCAGTCTCGGGGGCTGAATCTCTAACCACTGAGCCAAACTCAATAGATTTTTAAGTGGACAATACAGTCTGTTATCTTTGGGGACAAAGTTATCATCCCATTTCTTAAAAACTTCTAATGGCTTCACTGCCCAGAGAATCGATGCTACTAGCATATGAGGCATGTGCATGTGCACTGCTAGCTTCAAAACTAGCTTTGTAACTTTGGGAGGATCACTTTTTAAAAAAAAAGTTTTTATTGATTTTTTTTTTTTTTAAGAGAGAGGAAGGGAGAGAGAGAGAAACATTGATTGGTCTGCCTTCTGCACACCCCCCTACTGCAACCAGCGCATGTGCCCTGACTAGAAATCAAAACAGAGATCTCTTAGTGCATGGGATAATGCTCAACCAACTGAGTCATACCAGCTAGAACAAAATCACTTTTGAATATTTAAAACTAAATGCATGTGGAACATTTTTAACTCATTCCTCTTTAGTGTTTTAAGAACTTACAATTAGAAAATCAAATGAAACACTAGAAATTTTACCAATCTATGGTAGAGAAGTAAAGAGAAGAGCACTTTTAGGTGACTCAATGAGGCACATTTGAGCCCTTTGGTGATATTTCTATATATTTATCTAGAAATAACATTTCTAACACTGATTACTTGGACTAAAAGTGTACACGAGGCTAGACTGTCATTCCTCTCCTTTACCATTAAAAGCCTCATATTATTAAATAAATGTAATATTTAAACACTTAAAAAGGAGCCACTTATTTAATTCTGGAAAGCAAACATTTAAATTTAAAAACTATAAAATTGAATACCAGATATATTTATTAGTGTGGTGTCCATTTTGCTTGCAGACTTGTTTACAGACTGAATTTCAAAAAACGAGGCACCTCCTGAACGCCTTATCCGAGACAAACTCACTTTTACAAACTCAAGGTTTATACTCAGTGAGTCTTTTCGACCAGTGACTGAAGTGGGGTCTTCATCCACATTCCCTTTTAAAAAAAAATCCACACACACCTACATGAGTACAAAAACACACACATGTATGTGTACAGATACATATACACACAACTATCTAATTCCATGAAATCATCCAAAACACTGGAATTAAACACGTCAATTAAAATAATTTAAAGTGAGGTAAAAATTTAAGCAGAATGATCTAATGAGCATTTTTAGTGGTAAAATGCCAGTGAAATGCAAGTTCTCTAATAGTAATAATAAAAATAACAGAATCGTTTTTAATTAACAAACATGATGTACACACTTTAAAAAATTTACTATTTGTAGAATAGAACTTCTTATCCAAATAAACCTATATCCAAAGATATTATTGTGCTACGTATATCTTATAAAATATTCTGATTTTTACAATTCTTCTATAATTCACTTACCTAACTTACTGCATATTTCTACTTATTTTTAGAGACAAGATAGTATCAAAAAGAAAAATTAATGAGTTTATGATTTTGTTTTGTATCCACTGGTAAAGGTATCATGATTTAGGAAAAGATCCAAGTTTAAAAAGTGCACTAAAGCTGAGAAAGATGCAAACATGCCAAGTGTACCTAAGCCTCCTGAGCCAGACGTGAGGCCGGAAACAGCACTCTTCTGTTTTCCAGCTCCGTACGGGTGGAACACGTAGAGGGAGAAGTCAGACATGCAGGCAGTGAAGCTCAGCCCGGAGGAACTGCTGCTAGAAGTGGTCAGGTCTGACTGACTGCTGCTGTGCCGACTTCTGCCAAGAGGGCTGCCCAGTCCTGATGAACCTGCCATCAACACAGACATCCAAAATCTTTATCAGCCACAGAAAATTTAAAAATCCTGCCACTAATAGTCTCAATTGCCAACCAAACAGGACTTGAAAATAAAAAAGAAATACTCAAACATGCCCTCATAAATAGATTTATTCCTTGAAAACAAAATGAGGTCTTAGGTATACTTTGCATTACTTTACTTGGTAAACCAGGTTGAATACTCTGAAACATTCCTTTATAGTTTGACTGGCCAACTCCACAACCTCCTGTTTCTGCTCTCCTTTGTGCCACTGAAACAGGCCAAGGAAGAGCCACAAAATATCAGGGGTGTAAGCTAAGGGGGGAACTGGACACACTGTTCACAAGTCCAATCATTTCAGTAGGAAAGAATACAAACAGAGCAAATTAACTGGGAAACTAATATTCATATATGCACAGTCCATGAACACAGACAGTGGAGTGGTGAATGTCTAGAAGGGTCAGGTGCGGGATATAAGGGGTCAATGGGAAAAAAAGACAAACAAAGGGGATATTTATCTTCAACAATAAATTTTAAAAAATAGTACTTGGCTCTGCACTGGAGGCTAAAAGGTTCCCTTACCTGGGGTTCCCGTCTTGCCTGCAGAGGCCTTTGCTCCACTCTGAGTGGCATTACCTCCAGGGGACAAAGTCTCAGCAGGACCCGTGGTCCCTAAAGTCTCCAGTTCTCCCCGGTTTGAAGAGAACACCAGGTCCAGGGATGGCAACTTCAGCATGCATTCTACTCTTGATACCGGTAAACAGCTGAACTTGATCTGTGAGGGCTAAAGTGCAGAAAGCCAAAAATAAAAAAAGGTTCTAGATGAAACAATTTCACATTGGATTCTAAAAATTACATTTCCATTTTGATCCACATATATCAAATTTACTGACACAGAAAAGAATTTTGTTTTTAATGTACTAGCTTTTGTAAGCAGACATGAGACATTAACAAAATGGTATCATTTTTTTTAATCTAAGTATTTGAGGAGCAATATATGAGTGATAAATATTTAGATATTTGATAATTTAGACCATTAAAGATGTTTATATTCACATTATACTTTTTCATAATTAAGTACAGGAAGTAATTTCCTTTATACTTAAATTTAAAGACTTACTAAATAAAAGTTTCATAAGCTCTCAAGCCCTCACCCCATTACATGTTTTCATCAGCTAGTGCAAAACACCAGAGGGGACTCTTTTGGCCAAATTGTTGCTGTAAAAATGGTCTGAACAGATGGTGTGGTGAACTAGTGGTTCATTTATTCTTGAGATTGATCATTAGATTTTAATTGAGGGTAAACTAAACCCTCAAGTTTAGGTACAAGTAGTTTTCAAATCCTCTTACTAAATGGACTCAATCAGATTCTAACATACACTCCCAAAGGCCTATTGACAGGACTGAATTTTAAAATAAAATGTTAAATAAAAATTACATAACTCTTAGCAGAAATCTAACCAAGGCATTACTGTGACTTTATACCTTAATTACCTTTATATTTGCCCCCAAAGGACCATAATAGCAAGTAGCACAGATGCCATACTAATAAAAAGGCTTATAATGCTAAAAAAAAAAAAGAAAAAAGTTTTACATTTTTTTATTTTTGCCATAAAAGTATGAGATCTACATTTTGAAAACCTTCCTCAGCAGAAAAGTAAACATACACAAAATTGTACATGTACTTCCCCAAGGTTCTAGCAACCGTCAGCCAAAATACATACAAAGTTCTGGGAGCCCAAGGAGAAGAAAACTTGAAAGTGAAATAATGTTGGGAAATGGAAATAAAGGTAAGAGAAATGCATTTTTCTCTGCAACAAGAATAAGTGGAGCATCCCACCTGCACGCGGACGTAGACCACGACGTCCACTGGGAAGGAGGAGTAAGCAGATGTGGAGGATGACACTAACGATGTTGTTGACTCTTCCATAGGGTCTGGAATCTCAAAATGCCCCATGTCTTCATCTTGGGAGCTGACAGCTGTTAAAATAGTGAATTTTAAGTTTCATCATTAGGACAAGGACAGTACTAAGCTCAGGGTTATGAACACACAGCAACATTTGCTTCTGGGGCCCATTATACCACACTTCTTTCCCCAATCAAACCTTCGCTCATCCCCCTAAAACCTGAAACCCCACCCTCACCTCTGCTGCTACACAAAACACCCCAAAGAAATAGCAATTACTTCTTTGCCCCAAGGATTTGCCCCAAGGATTGCTAAGAGAGACCTTAGGGCACAAGAATATGATTTTTGTCATGAACTGGTACAACCTCACCAGGACTTAGTTTCTTTACTTGTAAATACGGACTAGAGGGTCTCTCAGACTCTTTCTCAATTCTATAATTCTTTTATATTATCACAGAATATATTACATAATAATATATAATGTCATTATGAAATCTTTCTAAGTACTAGGACACCAAAGTGTATATGTTGGAAAAGTACATCCCTAAGGAGGATACTCACTTGTATAATTCCTCTCAATTGGTGTGATTGGGATAGTTTCCAGAGCCTTTTCTAGAAAGTCTAACAGGCAGGGACTGATCACCATTTCCTCTGGCAGTGACTGAAGTGCTACCCAGGCATATAACTTGGCTGTTTTGATTCCTCCACTTCCTTTTCCTTTGGCTAGAATATTGACAAATGTGAGGTAAATTTAATAAAACAATATGATAATTTTGTGAGACATTAGAACTATATGACTATTTAATCAGGTGAAGCACTTTATACATAAAACGGTACAAGAATGTAATAAAGAGAGTAGGTTGATAGAAATGATATATTAACGCTGGAATACAAAGATGACTAATGATGTAGGTAACACAAGTTATTCCTACTTGCTCTAGCTTACAAATTTTGGTTTGAAGTTTATACTTTGCTGAATTTCTCATTAACATTATTTTATCCATTAAAGAAGATACAGAGAACTCTGAAGGAAAATATTTGTGGCAAGTGAAGAAAAAGTCATTATTTTCAGGCTTCCCTATGTTCTTGCTGTCCTCAGCTTGCATGTATTTAAAATGCTTCCCTACATGGGCTGCCATCTCCTTCCTTCTACCTATTTCCACATCAGTAGAATGAGTGTAACAGCTATCTCAGACTTCGCTAACTCTGGCTTTGGTTTCCAACTCCAACATATATAGTTTAGTAAACCTAGGAAAGAAATTAAACTTCTGTAAGCCTTAACTTTCCTTATTTATCAAATGGGAATAATCATCTCTCTCCTGCACATAGTGGACATAGGTGTGCCTTGTCAACTGAAAATGGTAGAAAACGACTGCATTATTATCATGATTACTAGCTACTGTAGAAGATTTATATTATCAAGTTCCATCTCCCAAATGAAACTGTTTCAAATAATTACTATCCAGCCTGACATTCCCCATTTTGGAAATTCTATTCAGGAAAGTTGGTATTCACGTGGTGTGATACCCAGATTCCAGAATAGCTTCCAATGGTCCTGACCCCCTGGTACTCATGCCCCTGTGTGGTTCCATCCCTCACTGAGCAGAGCTGAGCTGCAGGATCAATAGACATTGTGGAAGGAAGGATACATGACTTCTGAGGTAAGCCATAAAAGATGGAGGTGCTTCAGCCATGTTCTCTTTGGGATTGCTGCTGTCAAAGGACACCAGCTGCCCTGCCAGGAGAACACACCAGGAGCCCAGCAGGGAGACCCATGGTGGAGGACTAAGGCGCAGTGTGCCTACCATGTGCAGTGCGACATTATGGAAGCAGATGCCCCAAGACCCAGCCAAGCATTCAAAGTTGCTGTCATTCTTGACAGCAATTTTGTAAAGATCCACCAGGCCAAACTGAATCTGTGATCCACAGAAACCATGTTTGAGACTAGAAGCCACCAAGTTTGGGTAATGTGTTATGCAATAATAGATAATAATGTGGTCAAGCCCAGTATTCTCAATCTTGTGTAAGTCTGATGTTTCCATCCAGATCATCACCTACATACAACTTTTTCTAAATATGCATAGATCTAAAAAAATCAAGTATTTGGTATATTAAGTTTATTTTAACAATGGATATTTTAAGGTAATAACCATTTGAAAAATAGCCCAAAGTAGTTGGCTTACAATTCCATCTATGAATTTTGTACAATCATTATTAAGTCTATTTCCTCTTTTCTTAAACATGTGAATTTGAAAGTCTCAATAGAGCAAGTAGGTGACAACTAAACATTAAGCTATGAAAAAAAGTAAAAGCCGAGTGAATTTTCCTTCAATACCTGAGGGAATAGGTGGGGGCTGGGGAGGAAGTAAGGTGTTAGTCTTGCTCTGGATAGTGCAAGGTAAAGGAGGAGGAGAAGCGGCACTATCTTTCATACCATACAGCTTGGACTCTTTAGAGAGTGTTCTTGGCAGGGAAGACCCTCTGGAGGCATTAGGTGATTCAGTCTTTAGCGTCTTGGAGTTGTAATGCAACTGTATTGAAAAAAGAAAAAAAAAGTTAAAATTTTGCAGATGAGAAAAACCAAGAAATGCAGGAAAATATGTAGAATGAACTTTGGCCCAGGAGTCAGAAGACCCAGGTCCCATGTTTATAAGTTAGCTCTGTGACCCTGACATGTTTTTAGCTTTCTTACATTTTCAAAACTAAAAAGTCCACCCCAGATAATATTTTAAGTTATTTCTAGCTTAACATTCTAGGGTTCTGTAATTCTAGAATCTAAAAAATAATGTTTAATAAAGCTGCACTAGGCAAGGCTTAGCAAACATGTTATGAATACCAATGTATGGAAAATAAAATTAACTTCTTTCTGCCCAACTTTTGTGAGGAAATCTGTCTAAAGGAAGTGTCATGAAGCCTCCACTTCAGATATTCATAGGCTAGAGAAAAACCTTGGAAAAGCTCAGCTTCATATAACTGATGAAGGCAGTGCATGTCTGATATAAAATAACCACAGGTACTAATACCTCCTCCCACATCCTAGACATGAGGTTTGTACCTTTACATCGACTCCAGGGATGTAAAAGACTGTGGTTTCCAAGTCACTCGTCTTTGTCTGCAGCGATGATGGGACTTTCTTGCCAGTCATTAAATGGGTGGTAGAAGCATAATTAGTTTGAAACTTCTTTTTTGAAGGAGAATCTTGATCTAAACTCCTGGAACTTCTATCATAACTTCTATAAACAAAAAATATTTATCTTTTAAAAAAAAATGACATTTCTTTCCTTTCCTTTTGTTTAAAAACAGTTATTTATACAGTAAATGGAATATCATCCCTCATTAATGAAGCTGAGAAAGTAAAGCTGTTCAGTGTCTCCAGCTACAGCAGCTAATGCCTTGCACAGTGATGTTTCTGCTCTATGATCCCTAATACACAGCACCATTACCTTTATTCTCACCTAAGTTTGTGACTGTCACATGAACACAGAAGGTTGAACCAAATGAAATCGTCCTTTACAGAGGTAAAACCAGTGGAATACCAGAAAGTTATTGTAGTTCAACCCAAAATAAATAATTAACTTTTATCATCACTACTACCTTTGTAAGAACTTAATTTTGTATCTTGTAATTTTATAAAAGCCTCCTTAGACAAACAGACCATTTAAAGACCTCTTATTATGGAACATTTCAAAAATAAGAAAAGTAAACAGATGGTGTAATGAATCCACCATCCTTCTCCCAGCTTCAAGGACTGTCAGCATCCACCCTCTGGTGCTGTCTGCCTTCCCACCCACCGATCCACACAATCTTTATTATCTTCTTATAATTCTCAGATTAGGAAAAAAAAGCAAAACAAAAATTCAAAGAAAAAATAATCTAACATCAAGCCTATTTACAGGACCATTTTACTCATCGATGGACACTAATGGTAAAGCTGCAGCTGTACCCTGGACAGCATCCCAGCACACAGCGGCCCTTCGTGCAACTAATCCAGTTTTTCTTACATCTTTATGAATTCATCAAAACTCTCAATAACCAAACTTTCCTGAGCACTTCACTGCTCTCTAAAGTACAAGCATACCCAAAACAAGGCCAGAGACCAACCAAGAAATTCAAACTTGTTTAAAGGAGAATTTCAAAGATATTATTATTTTAACTAAACAACTTTCTAGAGTCTAAATCAGACATCCATTTCTAGTTGCCAAATAATGTTATACACTTGACTAAAGAAATAGCATACTATACAAATAACCGCTCAAACATTGTATGATTAAATCTCTTTCAATCTGCACTTTGGGATGGGGGGTGGGGAGTTTGTTTATACTATACTACAGGCTCGGTGCATGGGATTCATGCACAGGTGGGAGGCGTGGCATGCAGTGTTCAGCCCACTGTGTGAGTGCCACTCATTTTGGTCAGCCAAGCAGTTGTGGGCCTCCTGCAGCCGCTCAGCCCAGTCAGCTGAGCAATGCTTCCACTGTGGGAGTGCACTGACCACCAGGAGGCAGCTCCTGCATTGAGCATCTGCCCCCTGGTGGTCAGTGTGTGTCATAGCGACTGGTCAACCAGTCGTTCTGCCGTTCGCTTGCTGGGCTTTTATTATATGGGATAAATAGTATTTCTAACAAATGAAATTGCATGTACCCTCACCTGACCTGTTTCTTACCTCCTCAAGCTTATATCATCATGTTCTTGTAGGAGGGTGGTTGGGTGAAGCACACATTTTCCACTATCAATTTCAACCCGTATGTCAAGTTCAAAGTCGATATTTCTCTCAGTAGCTGTGCCATTGAGGCTCCGATTGACAGGAGTTGTGGGCCAGCGCTCTGTGAACAGTTGGTGAACAGCAGCAAAGCCTGTGGCTTTTTTACGAGACATATGTCTGCAAAGAGAACAACTGGTCATCACGCAGTGAAGTAGGAAGAGTTTTTAAGAAATTACTCTTCAAATGCAATGTGAACAACAGACTGCATATAAATTATATTGGTAGTTTATAAATTCACACAAAATACTCAACTTGCTCATACTAACTGAAGTTTTTCTTAAGTGCATCAGAGTCACATTTTATTCAACAATTATGTTCTGAGAGCTAATATTACTATGTGCCCGGTTGTGTGCTGGGTTCCTAGGGGACAGGCATGATCACTGGTGTGGAGGAGGCAGAATATGAGTGAGTACATCACACTCTACATTTGGGAGGAGATAGAATTTTCCAAATCTTCTCTGATTTTTATCAGAAGGCAGAAGTATAGGAAAAGAAAAAAAATGCCATATAGAGCTAAATTACATTAGTAAACCATGGCCATGTCCCTTAGTCTGAACTCCATTAGGCACATTAATATGTTTTTCTGTGAAAGTAAACAGTTATATATAACGCTTTAAGCTCAGTCCTAAATTCAGAAATGCTACCCAAGGATCTTAAAACAAAAAGGTTACTCACGAGGGTTTCCTGTAAATATAAAACCTTTCCCTCTCATGCTCTTCGTCCTTTTCATCCTTCTCGGAATCTTCGCTCGTGGAAGACAAACTATCATCCCGTCGACTATCTTCAGATTGGAAAGTAACACCTGGAGTTTTGGGAGAACTGAACACGGAATGAGACCCTTCGCTGGCAGATGAGTAATGGGAGGGACCATCGATGGCGACTGACAAAAGGTCCAGTTCTGTCTCCTCTGGAAACTGATTGTAAAAGAAGGAAACATGAATCAGGTTTACATTTCAAATTTCTTCTTGATTAAAAAGAAAAAGACATATGTTTAAGTTATTTAAAAATAGTCTCAAGAGTCAAATTTCCTCACTCTGAATGGAAAGAAAGGTCAGATTTATGATCTTATGAAATGGTGCAGCAGGAAGGAAGCGGAAGATCAAACCACAGAAAGTCACACCAGTGACATATTAAACGCCAGAGTGAAACTTCACTCAGATAAACGTATGTCATCATATTAATTAGTACGAAGCAAAAGTTAAACATGCTGTGGAGACAAGGAAGCAATGATCAGCCATAATCAGAGGGCAAGAAGGCAGTAGAGATGGCAGAGATGCATCCTCACGTAGTTAAATCCCTTGAAGGGAATTTTGCTGAGTACGTCCTGTACAAATGAAGCCCAAATGGTTGATAAAAAACAAATAGCTTCAGAAATAAACACATTTATTAGTTAAACTTAAGATTGCTATTATATATTATAATGACTAGATACCCTGTCACTAACTTTAAACTGCACTCTGTGGCCATTGCATTTAAGTAGGTCAAAGAAATAGCAAAACCTCCTATGACCTACTTCAATTCCCAATTTGGAGAGATGTTTGACTATCCTTTGAGAATTGATAAGCCTCTATCAAGTGTAATGTGCAAGAGAAGCAATTTATTGCTACTACTATATTAGATACCTAGTGAAATTCAAATTACCTATTTCACAATTCTAAACATTTGCAGAATTTAGCTTTTGTTCACTTTTTACAATATACATGTTATTGAGTAAATATATAAATTCAGATTTTATCAGAAAATACTTTAAAATTTTTAAAACTATAGTTAAAAATGTATATGGATAAATTTCCTTTTGTTTTATATTTATTTTCTATTTAACCATGTCTAATGACCTATTTTGTAATTTATAATTGTATATATTATCTATAATAATAAAAGTATAGTATGCCAGTTAGACCAGACAGCCAAACAACCTTCTAGATGTACTTCTGAACAAAGCCAGGGCTGTGAGGGCCAAGGCAAGCTGCCAAGGCTACAAGGGCCAAGCTCCTTGCACGAATTTCGTGCATCAGGCCTCTAGTTTGTTATAAACAGCATACACTACTTTTTAAAAATAGGACTTGAATAAATTCAAATATTAATGTGTTTAAGACTCAATCATTTCTCAATTTATACATATATTAAATCATTAGATTGTATACTTACAGCTAATATATCATATGTCAATTATATCCATTTTAAAATGTTGGGCAGAAAAAAAATATCAACTTAATTAGTAGATTCCATTCAAATCACTATAAGTGATTTATTTCCAAGATCATTTTTAGAAAAAGGACATGTTTACCAAGCTCATTGTATTACAATCCAGTGGTTCTAAAACAAAATTCAGTTTAACTAAATTCAGTGGAACTATGGGATATGTTGAGACTCTAGTATAAAAGGTCAGGAAAGGGAAACAAAATATGTGGGCTAAGTGCAAGTTTTTTAAAGTTAATTTGATGGAAATTTCTAAACAAAGGTTCATATAACTGGTATGTAGGCACATTTTTTTTAATTCAATTTTATTTTTATGACATATTTAGGTAAAATAGCTGGCTCATAAAAATGTTAATTTGACTTATGAATTATGCCTATGTCATACATTTTCCATACTGTTTTGAGCATAAGAATAATTTTCTAGATTGCTTACATTTTTTATACCAATGACTCAAAAGAAGTAACATTCATTAATGTGTTTTTCTGAAATAAATTTGATTTTAGTTAGAAATAGTTAAGTATATTTTTTAAAGAAAATATTCATTTTGTAGTTGAATGTGGGAAAAGGAGATTCACTTGGGGATTTGCAATTAACTGTAATAAAATTGCATTTTTTGGTTTACAATTTGGTTGAGTTGATTTAGCCTTTTAATTTTGAAAATTAAATAATTAATGTTAAACTATAAAGTATAAAACTAAAATATACTTATGCAAGAACTTATTAACTTAAACAATCTTAAACCTTTATGTAAAATATTTCTGAGATCTGAGTTTAGTATGGAATGAGAGGTAGGAATTTTGAAAGCAGATTTTCAGATGGTTAATTCATTTAGAGCAGAATTTATGTTGTTCTTAAGAAGTACCTGAAAATACCCTTCCCCGGAAGGGCTGGACTGCGGTGTGCTTCCCCATACTGTTTTTTTCAACTTAAAATAATAAGAAATGTATAAAAACTCACATGAAATAAAAAACAATGGTTTAAAAATAAATAAATATACAAAAAAACAAAACAAACATTTTTAATATGCTATAAAATTGGAATATTACTTTGAAGCTGACTTTTTCATTTCTCGTTTCTGCTTTCTCTCTATATATACACTTAAATAATAAAATACATAAAGTGTAAACATTCCACTTACATTTGTGTATAAGACCTAGTTTAGTATGGATTTGCCATTGAACAAAAACTATTCAACATTTCGACCTAAGAGCAAGGAATTGGGATCTTTATTCTACATGCAAAACACTATACTGGGCAGTGCCCAGCTGTTTGGTAATGTACAGTCGCTTCAACAGTCACAGGTAGGAATGAGCATTTTAAAACTGGATGGCTACTACAGTTTTGTAACTATCAGCACTGTGTATCTGAACAGCAATGACTCACTGTGTCTTGGATATTGAATGTTACTCTGGGCCCAGGAGATGCTGCATCCACACGGATTTCTGGAAGCTCCTCAGTCTCTCCTACTCGAGAACTGTGAGTGAAATAAAAAGGTTATAAAACATTAACATTCTGTTTAAAACAACAACAACAACAACAAAAACCTGGATTTTATAAAAGTCTGATTAACAAAATATTTCTAAATATTTACCTTACCCAAGGATTCAACTTTTGGTATTGCATTTCTTAATCTTTAGTATCCCATAAAAAAAAAAATCTATGTTTTGTTGACACAGATTTTCTAAAAGTAAACCATATAGAAAAGAATTTAAAATTTTTACTTTATAGTACTCATTTACCAGTAAAACAGTATTTTTCTTCAATATGTAAAAATTTCAATTCTTTCTATGCTAAATGTGTATAAACTCAAAACATTTTCTAAAAATGACAAACTTAAGAGTAGCAACAACTAATAGGCACATTTTCACTTCTTTGGGTAGTCTGTAAGTTTACACGTAAACTTGTCTAAAAAGCAAAATTCCTGGAAAGCACACTGAGGTTATGGCACAAATGTGATTGGGAAATTCCTTAAATAAACTTCTTAGCTTGACAGTATCCGGTATTACTGGTATTTGACTAATTATGTCCAGTTTTGCTATCATAATTTTGTAATTCCCACAATTAGAACACAGTAGATAAGTAATGGACCTTGGCAAAGGAGTCAGAAGTTATTACTTGGTTTGTTGGCTGGAATAGACATTACCTTGTCCTTTCCATTCGCTTAAGGGGTGGTCTTCCAGAAGCCGAAATGCTCTTCGATCGGTTGTAACTCGGTTTGTAACCCAGCCCCCACTTATCCTTCAGGGAAGCTGCCTAATGAAATGGGAGAGAAAAAGGGTGACTATAAACTACTATAAACCAGTTAGCTGCATCCCCAGGTCAATGACAAGTGACTTTAAATGTCACTTAACAATGTAAATGAATCAAAGCAGAGCATGAGGCAGCTATTTTTGTCCTCAATTCCACTAGGAGAGCTAGGAAATATTAGCCCCAACTGGCTTGAGAGAAAAAAGAAAATGATTGGGAAAGGGGGTGAAGGATACAGAAACAAAGTGAGAAGGAAGGAAACAATTAAAAAGGAAATAAAAAAAGGAAATGAGGATTACAAGGAAAGAGGAAAAGAACACCATTCATCTCAAGTACCACTCAAGGGCTCTTGCAAAACGATTCTGCACTATGGCAAAGGAAACGAAGTGGTGATTTGAACAATCTCCTGGTCTCCAAATCCCTCTTCTCCCAATGAGTGACAGGGGCTAGATATGAAAAGGATTCCTACACAGCAATGTGCAAAGCAAGAGGACTCGCAGGGAAGTGAGGGAAAATGCCAAAGGAGACAGATGTTCACATACGTTTCATTCATTTCCCTAATCCTCTTTACCTAGATTTATTTTCAATTAACAAGGATAAGCTACCTTATAAATACTACACAAGCATTATTTTAATTATATTGTATGATTATTAGGTACATAGCAGCAAAAATTTTGAATAAAGAATTATGCATTATAGATTATCACGACCCATTTATTAGTCATAGAAACCAGTGATGAATATAACTTAAATTGAATTTTATCTTTAATTTAAATCAATAATTTAGAACAGTATTCAAACTAGGTTGCCTGGGACCCTGGGGTTGATCAAAGGAAGAAAGTTCAAGCCAATAAACAATAGATATTTGTGCCTTTCCCCCAGCAGCTCTGATTTAATCTCTTTGTATGTAGTGGGGTGCCATCCAAAACCTTATTCTGGTGAAAGAAAGAAAGAAAGGAAAGAAAGAAAGGAAAGAAAGAAAGGAAAGAAAGGAAGGAAAGGAAGGAAGGAAAGGAAGGAAGGAAAGGAAGGGGAGAAAGGGAGGAAGGGAGGAAGGGAGGAAGGGAGGAAGGGAGGAAGGGAGGAAGGGAGGAAGGGAGGAAGGGAGGAAGGGAGGAAGGAAAGAAGGAAGGAAGGAAGGAAGGAAGGAAGGAAGGAAGGAAGGAAGGAAGGAAGGAAGGAAGGAAGGAAGGAAGGAAGGAAGGAAGAAAGAAAGAAAGAAAGAAAGAAAGAAAGAAAGAAAGAAAGAAAGAAAGAAAGAAAGAAAGAAAGAAAGAAAGAAAGAAAGAAAAAGGAGGGTTCTGCTATTCATTAAAAATAAAAAATGGTTAAGAACCCACTTAACTTTTTTTAAGAAGTAAATTTTTCCATTAATCAGACCAACTTAACCCAAAGCAACCTTTTGAATAAGTTTTAGAATTATTTCCTATTATATATGTACAGTATACCTATATATTTGTTTCAATTATTCAATAATTGAACTAAATCCCAGAAAATTTAAGTAGTGAATTCAAAGATAAATAACTTGTTCTTTAAGCAACTCAAACCCTAATAAGGGCAACTATATAAGCAAATGATAAAGTCAGCTGTAGGGAATGAGATGTGGCCATCTCAAAGACTTCACATTTGAAGTGGAGACTAAAGAGAAAGTTTACTTCATGAAAGACAGACAGAATATGGTGACCGTAGAGTCCCACTGCTGGGTTTGATTCTTGCTCCACTGGGATTGCTTGTGTATAACCTTGGTCAATTATTTCACCTCTCTCTATCTCAGTTTCCACATCTTTAAATGGAGAAAATGCTACAAGCTCCTCATCGGGTGGTTGTAAGGATTTAATGGGTTGATAAACATAAAGTGCTATGAACAGTGCCTCCTACAGAGTAGCTGGGAGGTGTACAAACCAGCAATGGAGGAAGAAAGAGAACAACAAAAATCTCATCAGAAAGTTTCCTAAATTAAAAGGAAAATGTCTACTTTAATAAAATTCTTCATAAATTCTGACTTACTCGCATACTGGACCTCCGTAACTTTTTACGAACATCTCTTCGAATGTCATTCACAGCAACAGATTCTAATTGTTGGTAACGTTGAATTTCTTGGTTTATGGTTCCTTCACTTGCACCTAATTTTCTGGATGCAAAATAAATATTGCAATGAATGCAAAGAAGTTACAAAGTAAGATGATTTTCACGTGCTCCTTTTTCATTCTTTCACTTTTCAGCATATCAAAGATTATGTATGAACACGCGAAAATCCCAACATGAAGTTAACACTCATACCAGGCAAACTATAACAAAGTTCATCCAATGTGTTAGGCAATGATCTTACTTATTTCTGTATCAAGAGTTTCTTTGACCATCTTACAAAAGTTGTAGATCTACTCTGCAGAAGAATGCCTGTATGTAAAATTCTACCTATAACTCAAGCCTCAAGTAAGATTTTAGGGAGGAAGTATGTATTTGTTTCAAGTCATTTTTCCCCTCTCTTCCCCCCAAACCCCGACCCCCGAGAACAAAACTCAAGCTATAATGTGAGTCAAACAGGAAAATGTGAATCACTGTATTATTATATAACTAACTGGCATAGGTAATACCTTTCACTGTACAAAAATGCATATATTTGTATAAAGTCCTTCAATGCAAAAAACAACAACCCAGCTACAGGTGTACAAAGATTAGAAAAAATGAGGCATGAATATCACCTCTGGGGAAACAAAAAATTTCAAAGTTTCCAAGAAGAAAAGTCTTACAGAGAAAGTATTAGTACCATCCAGCAGGCCACAGCTACAGAAAATAAATTACTATATGAACTTCCTACTCTTGACTTACCCCATACCCACTTCAGGCCTAGAGAAACACTAGTGTAGGCAGGCAAAATGAGCATGCACTTTTGAGTTCAGACCACAGAAATTCAAATTCTAATTCTTATCTCCCCCTAGCCTGCTTTCTCAACTAGAAAGTTTAGATAATACCATCTAATCTCAAGAAATGCAGTGGAGATTAAACTGAGATAACATGTCAAATGCTTTATTTGTTTCCCCTTTCAAAAATGTGTTTTTCTGAAATGCTAATACATATATTTATATAGTCATGTGAAGATACGTTCAAGTGTACATGTACATGTAGAGATAGATATGTGTGATATGAAGTCAGTCATAAACTGCTCAGAAATGAGGATCCATGATGAGTACCAGACAAGGACTTCAAGCCTAACTTGATCACTAATGAATGCAGGATCTCAGGCTAACTGCCACACTGCTCTGGCCTTGCTCAGCTCATTTATAAACTAAAAGAGTTGTACTGGTCCACACAATTTCTCCCCACATTTAAAATTTGATGATTCCATCATTAGGGAGGCCTGTATTAAGTGAAAAAGCATGATACATACTTAAGATCGTCTATGACTTTGGCTTGTTCATTCAGCTCTCTGATATCCACTATTCGCTTCATCATTTTTCTGCCTCTCAGATCTCCTGACTGGCTACCAGATGCTCCTTGTCTTCGATATTCTACAGCTTCCTGAAAAAATCAAAGCACAAATGTTAGTACCACCCTGTGGTCACACAGCAAATCTATACTATGACACAAATCAAAGAAGCATGCAAAAATCAAAGGCATCTACATTAAGTATGATGATTGGAATTCTCCAGTGATTGATATCCCTTTGTTTTCACAGAAATCTATTTAGTTACCACCTACATTTCCCCATGAGTGAGCTCTGTACACTTTCACATGGGCCTGGCCTGACTGTGGGGAGCCCCCCAGCTCTGGTTCACACAAATACTCTGCAGGAACAGAATAGCGCTGGTGTGGGGGCGTCAGGCCTAGCAGGTGGTTTACAAGTCGCTGCCCAAAGGTGAGCTTGTGGCCATCTCCACTTACTGAACTTCCATCTGAACTCTAAACAATAAACAGTAACATCAATTTTTAAAAAATGTCTTTCTAAGAACAAAAGCATTTCATGATACAATGGTTAAAAGATAGTTTAAAAATATTTTAATCAATACCAGAATGAAAGCAGAGACTTTCTTTTTAACTATCAAATAATTTGATACTATAAAATGTATAGGAGAAATGGAAATACATATTTCTAATTGTATATATTTTGTGTGCATGTATATACTTTGCTTCTGAGCTTCATTTTTTTGAACATCTTTATTTAGCTACAATGCATAAAATACACCTATTTCAATTGTACAATTCAGTGGTATTTAGTATATTTGCAAAGTTATGCTCATCATCACAATCTATCAGAATATTTTCACTATTCCCTATATGAACCTTGTAACCAGTCTCTCCCAGTCCCCTCAGGAGCCCCCGAGGCTCCCAGCTTGAAGAAACCACTGATTTACATTCTGTCCCTACAGATTCATTGCACTTTCAATGTTAGTATGTCACCTGTTGGTTAAGGCACAAGTTAGTTGATAGACATTATTATGGAACAAGGAATCAATTAAAAGACATTATTATGTCATTAAAAACAATGTTATGAAATGTAGACACAGAAACCACCAGTCCCTTCCTTCTTGCACAATTAGAAATCACAATATAATAAGTAACACTGAGTTAGTAATAGCCCATCTCATGCTAAGAGCCAGTTGGGAAACATCCCGCAGTGAGTGTACATACAGTGTGGACAGTGGGAGACATAGTGTCCACTTCGTCCTCGTCTGACAGGTCACCGATGTTCATGGAGTTCAGATCAGCCATGTCATCTATGACCTCCTCCCCAGTCAGTGTGGTCAGAGTGTTGCCCAGAGCGTTCAACCTTTTGCCAATGTTTGGGTCCATATGCACATCAATGCCACACATTTTCCACAGCACATTCAGTGTCCAGGTCCCAGCACTACTGCTCTCTGTGGGAATACAGAAGTGACATTTCTGGGCAGTCTTGAGTGTAGCTACTTAAATATTTCAGGAATAAAGTGGATGATGGCCTATGGAACACCAATGTAGGTCAGAACATGGCCCATGGCTCCGAGTACCCAACCGTCCAGTGTGCACATGTCTCCTTGGTGCAGCAACAGCTCCTGGGGACTGTGGATTCACACACTACAGTAAGAACTGGCATGGCCCGCCCTCACTAGCCAGTATTAATTAGATGATCAGACTGGGTGAGGGGCAGTGTTGGAAAAATAAGAACCCTCCCCCAGATTTGTGAGATTGGTCCTTCCCTGCTGATTAGGGCCCTGGCTCCTGAGCTGCCAGCAGCCTTGCTTCCCACCACGTCAGAAGGGTCCTCAGTGAGAAAACAAAGCACACGTGGAAAAGATGTGGAGAAGACATGATGAAGATGAGAGCGGGAGTCCTGCTGACAAGGATCTTGTTCCCAGCGTCCCTCAATTGATCTGGCTCCTTCTCTTCACCCAGACAGCCAGTGCCACGTTTAACTGTGGTCTGCAATATCTTGCTACTGGTCCCCCTTTGGGTTAAGTTAGCTTTAGTGGCTTGCTGACACTTATAAACAACAGCCCTAATAAATACTTTACTTTAGTGTGACCTTTCTCTGGGCCTCTAGTTAACATGGATGTTAACCTCAGTCATCATCTTTCTTTCTAACTTTACTCTGGAAATGCCCTGTCCTGTCAGACCTCTGTCAGTGGGGCCCATTGCCTTGTTACTCTCTAGGACAATTTCTCAGGATGAGCACTGAGGTTAGGTTTGAGGAGAACAAGAGGAATAGTAAGGAGGGAAAGAAATGTACTGACCTCAACAGCTCCCTCCCTCTCAACAGTTAAGAGCCCTTCAACAGATATCTCCCTTTAGCTTACTCTAATTTGTACCAAGCAAAATAATAAAAATTTACACAGGCTATCATCATAGTTAAGACAGCTAATTCCTTCTGTAATTACCTCCTATCTGGTTTCCCAGGGTTTTCTGCTCCCTCTTTCTCCAAAGTGTCCCCTTGACCAGAGTAAGTTTAGTTAAAAGATACTCTCACTATTAACATAAAGGTTGAAAGTACATATAGATAAAGGCAGGATTCTCCCTGACACATGTAGTAAAAGTAATTCCAAATGTGAACCTACCAGCAGCTGCCTGTCCTGTAGTTCGGGAACACACCTCATAGGTGCCATCAGGAACCACACCTGCACAAGAGCATACCAAAATGAGCAACGAAATTACATTTTTGATAAAATATTGCATTGCAATTTTTCACCCAAAGAGTATCACCTATATATGAACAGAATCACCAGCTTCTGAACACACACCCCCTACCTCAATAGGAGGTGGGGCTAGTCAATCTCCTGCAGCCCCTTCCCAGGTCATCACCATCCCCGATGGTCCCCCATCACCCTATCGGCAACAGCCCCTCCACACAGACAGCTCTGTCACCAATCAGCCCCCCTTGTACCAATCAGTGGCTGGGCTAGCCAGCCCACCATCCAGAGCCCCTCCCCAGGGCTGGCCTTTCCCCCAATTGGTCCCCCCACCCCAATTAGGAGAGGGGCCTCCTGGCCAATTGCCCACAGCGCCTCTCTCCAGCTGGTCCAGCCCTGATCAGGGCCCTGGTCGGGGTGGGCCTGTCGGCGAACCTCCCACCGTCTCCTTCTCTGGACAGGCCCAGCCCCGATCTGCCAATTGGGGCCAGGCCAGCCGGTTGAACCCCACCCGTGAACGAATTTGTGCACTGGGCCTCTAGTACAGAAAATAAAAGACACTCACAGGCATTCATTACTAGATCCCCACGGATTTCTGGCTTCCAGTCATCCCACGATGTTTCAAAGCCGTCAGCAAAACGGATGCAGAAGTTTTTGAAATGCCCTTTACTAACCAGAGACTCGGAAGAGCAAGCAGTGATGAGAGTGCTTTCAATAGTCAGCACCAAGGCAGAGCCAGTGTCCAGGTCTCCGCTGTGATTGGACTGCAAAATATATTAAAGAGGAAACAAAACAAAAGGTGACAACTTTTAAATTTGGAAATGCTCATAAGATTCCTGGAAACAAAAATCCATAAAGGGGGAAACCCAGAAAGCTTCACTGGAAAGTAGCTTAGAAAGATGCCTACTTTAGAAATCAGATTACTCAAGTGAAATTCATTTCCATGTGCTTTTTGTTTTAAACTAAATTTGCAAAAGATTAATTATATGCTTTTCCATTTCAAGCTTCTATTTTCGTGTGGGAAAAGTTTGTTCTTGGCATTCTGACCACTGCCCTTGGTGTGGAGCCCTCCTGAGTCCATACATCACATGATTAAAAGTTACCAATCAACTTCTGAGACACAAACATAGCCCACGGTGTCAATTCTCAACCAAGAGTTTCTGTTTCGTTTTTAATATATTTTTATTGATTTCAGAGAGGAAGGGAGGTAGAGAGTGATAGAAACATCAGTGATGAGAGAGAATTGTTGATTAGCTGCCTCCTGCATGACTCTTACTGGAGATTGAGCCCACAACCCGGCTTGTGCCCTTGACCAGAATTGTACCTGGGACCCTTCAGTCCACAGACCGATGCTCTATCCATTGAGCCAAACCAACTAAGGCAATTTAGAGTTTACTAAAAGATAAATTCATTCAACAACTGCTTATAGATTATTTAAGATAAACCATAACAGTAAAATAAAGGCCTCTGTATTTGTTTAATTGCAACTTCTTCATCTGACAGGGTTTCATAACCTTTTCTCTCTCATGCACATGTGCATACAAATGTGTGTTCCTGAGAATTAGTCCCAAAAATTCTTGCTGCTTATAAGTCAAGGTCAAAATTAAAAGTTATTAGATGGGTATCAATCTCATCACTATGCTGAGGCACATCAGAGTACTCAAATCTCATGAGATTCACCTTTAGTACACTGTAGATGAATGAATAATGATTGAAGAACTTCAATATTACTTGCTGTTTACTAAACTCAAGTTATAAACTGCTCTCCTAAGAAATCCATTGTGATACTCTGTATACCTAGAAATGGTGAGTAGAGTTGCCTGGTTCTTAGTGTTAGATGAAAACTTGAATTCCGTACCTGTACAGCACTTGTGATAGGCAGGCAAATCCCCAGATCATTCACAGTGAGCTGCAGGAAGAGTGTCCCGAAGGCCTGGGCAGAGGTTTGTTGGATTCCGGGGAGCATATCTACTACTTCCTTTGTAGCCATGTGAATGTCCTTATGTAAAGCCATTCGTTGTTCATTCCAGTTATCATAGGCAGCTTTATAGTTCAGCCAAAACAACACAGCTTTTGGTGATTTAGGCAGGGAAGAAAGAAAATTTCTTTAAAAAAACTGTAAAGCTATATGGCAAGTAAACCTCAATAGCTGCAAAATTCCACCAATTAGTAAAAATTACTCCCAGAAAATAGTAGCATTAGGATTGAAAAGGATCTAAGATGATATGGTCAACTTGACAACTTGATTTCATTTAACTAAGAAGCAAAAAACAGACAAGTGAAAAATGGCAGAAGGAAGAAGACAATCCAGGTCCATTCATTTATTCAACAAAATGTTTGTGAAATGCCTGTTATGAGCCAGACACTGGAATGGCAGGACAAATGAAAGTAGTCACAGGCCCTGATCCTGCAGAACTTACTGCTACTAATGTTAAAAAATTCCTGGAGGAGAGATGCAGAATACTAGGAGTATACATTGAAAAGATGGGCTTTAGAGAAGAGGTCAAAGACATTTGAGTGTGTAGCAAGAATGAATTCTAAGAAAAACCTTTATTGAATGCAGTGTGTAGAGGGAGCCTAAAGAGGAGATGAAGAAGATAGGGCCAGAGGAGAAGGAAAAGCAAATGTCAGTCAGGAACACAAGGAATAGAAAGTACTTTAAGGAGTTGTTGAAAGCTGGTAAGATGAGAAATGAAATAAACAGGCACTGGATCTAGAAAAATAAAATGTTATCCATGACATTACCAAAAGGAGTTTTCTAACAAACTAATCTTATCAACAGCCAACACCTACCACCAATTTAAATCTTAAATAGCTTGCTAAATGGTTCTTAGTTACTTTTAAAACATAGTTCCAACTTATTTACCCAATATGCATTATTTAGGTCCACTCTATCTGCTCATCCTTATTTCCATTATTTTCTTTCAGGAAAGCTGGTGCTGTATTTTCTTAGACCTCTGTACTCATATTCCTTCATTCAGGTTCTCTCTCATTTGGAAAATATTTACTTAGTTCCTGCTATATATGCCATGGACTGATCTAGACCATTGGAGACAAAGGCAAATAAGACAAGCTTTTGTTTCCTTGTCTCCCTGGTGATCTCTTAACTCCAAGTTGAGTCTGAAGAATTGGTGTCTTCTCTAAGCAGCACAGGTGAAGGTAGAGACTCCCTGACCCCCTAGAACATGGATCTCTAACTCTGCTATGAGTCCACTTAGCTCCTTCCACAGGGCTGTGAGTTCCTGGAGGGCAGGATACTGTTTTCCATATTCAGATTCCACTTCTCAACACCACACAATCAATGTTTAGAGTATAAGCAAATAAAGACATTACCAAACCAAATGGGTACATTAGTTACCCAAACTAAAAAACTCAGCATTATAATCCATTCAGAAAGCAAATAACTTTTAACAAGTAAATGACTTTAAAAACTGAAGGGAATAAGCAAGAAACTGTTGAGATGCTCCCATTTTAGAGTTTACATTCGTGAACTTTAATCTCATTTTTATCTGATGTCATTCCCAACAATTCTAAATCCAACAAGAAAGTCTTGCCTGACTCTCACCTCTGTCAAAGGCCACCGGCTGCGCATACACGATTGGTCTATTCAAGGTAATAAGCACAGCTTCCCTATCTGAAGAGCCACTGATTTCTTCTCGGAGGGCATTTCTTAATCCAATTCTGGTTTTAAAATAGGCAACTTGATGAAAATCAGAACCAGCTTCCTCATAAACCTAAATTAAAAGTTTAATAAAATCAAATAATAGAAAGTGTTTTAATAAAAGAAACTAAAAGTTTTAACATCATTAATTGTTTTATGCACCAAAACAACTATAGTATATTTCTCTCAACTTCATGCACCAATAATATATATCTTACGCTATACCACAAAAACCTGAAACCAATATAAAATATGAATGGGTATTTAAGAACTAAATCGAAAGTCAAACATCAAATTCGTTCAAAATCGAGGATGAGGTCCATATTCTGAACAACAATGTATTAAATGTTTCACGATAATAAGATCCATGCTCCTCTCAAAATGTTTTTATTTGAACAAATTAACTGTTCTCCTAAAAATGACAAGAAATCTTTGTTCATTTATTCCTTCCACATATTCTTTAATATAGGCAACTCAACTTTGAAAGTGTGACTGATATTCATTTAATCAGTTCTTCAAATCACAGAAGGGAAAAGGTCAAAATCTACATAATTTTTAGCAAAATAAAAACAAGACACCAAAAACTCCATGAGTGGTGAATATAAATTTTTATAAAATACAGTCTGACTTACTGCTGTGTATCCATTTAACATTATGGTACGCAAAACTTGCCAATATTACAGCACAACTGAGAAACTTAATAACATTTTTTTAAAAATATTTCATTGATTTTTTACAGAGAGGAAGGGAGAGGGACAGAGAGTTACAAACATTGATGAGAGAGAAACATTTATCAGCTGCCTCCTGCACACCCCATATTGGGGATGTGCCCAAAACCAAGGTACATCCCCTTGACCCTTCAGTCCGCAGACTTCGGCTCTATTCACTGAGCCGAACTGGTTAGGGAAAAACCTAGTAATATTTTAAGAGCCCACCAATGTTAGTGCAAAGCACTGAAATAAAAACAATGTTTAACAAAATAAAGAGAAATTATAAGCACATACTTGTGAAGATACTGGATTAAGTTTCAAATGATTGCATTTGCACTAAACTATAACAATATACCACCAAAATACTCAATGAAATACCAAGGTAAAATTGTAAAGACCTTCATAAATTAATTTTCTTTAGAATTTACAATCATAAATTTTATCAACTTAAAATATTTTCATAAATATAGTGATATTTCAAGTTGAAATTGATGTGCAAAATGTAATGGCTACAGTTCTAATGTCAGCACATTCTGCACTCACCTGATGTTTGACAATTTGTCCTAATGCCAGATTCAAATCTACTTGGCATTTACCAAATAGTTTCAGATAGCTGCTACTTCCTGGTAAGGCTTTGGTTTGAAGTCGGTTCGAAAGTTCTAGTTCAATCAATCCAGTTTCAAATCTCACAGCTCTCATTGATGGAGTTGTAGCTGTGACTTGAATACCCTAGCAGATTAAATGTTAGAAGAAAAAAGTACTCTTAAGTGAACAATGTCCACATACTCCAATGAAAACATTCAATACAATAAATAAAATGGAATGTTTTAAAACACATATAGGATGTCTAGTAAACTGATAAAACAGCCAACATTCTTTAATTTCTCATTCGTAAGGACTCTCTTTAGCTATTAAATTTCATTTCAGTATTTTGTATTAAAAATCTAGACTATTCATGAATCAATTATAAATACATTATAATTAAGTATTTGGTAAGAAGAATTTTATTTTTACTAACATTAATGTCTTATATATTAGAAATATTAAGGTTTCTATTAAGGTATTATTGTTAATTGGACAAGTGCGCAAAATATTTCTTGCATGTTAATCTAAATGTTCTGCATGGAAAGATAACCAAGGCTCTTTAAAATGCAGAAATATGTGCAAACTGAAAAAATGCAAATAGGAATAGGTCCTAGATAATAGTCAAATAATTGTAAAACATTTTCTTTAGTGGATATACTTCATTTCTATTCTCCATCTGGCATATTTATGTCTCATATGAATTTTCTATAAAAAGCAGGCATTAATTAATTTGAAAAATCCTTCCAAGAGTAACATTCTTATTGCTATGTCACCTTAAACTGCAAGTTGAGGGAATACAGTAAAATCTTAGGCTTCTCTCCATCCGCTGTCCCATCGTGTTCATTCCAGAGAGGAATCGGCTGCTCCCCGCCTAAAAGAGGTTAAATAATTGAGAGATTGGTATAATTTCTTTAAAAATTTTTTTTCTATTTTGTGCATTAAAAAAACAACAATACATAAAAGTTATTTTCTTTTGACTGAACATTAAACCAATGTTTCTAGCAGGTTACTGTATATAAACCAGTAATAATCCATAAATACTTCTTAAGAACATTTATAAGGACTAAATTAAAACATTATCTGAATAAAACCAAAAGTGATTATACATGCCATAAAATGTATTTGAGGCAAATACATTTTATGGCATGTATACACGTTTACAAAAAAAGTAAACTGGACTAATTTCTTCAATAAAAAATGTGAACTTTGTTGTTTATATTTTGATGTGCAAAAGAAAAAATAAAGGTTAAGAAATGAAAAATAAGGTGATACATGTTAACAATAAAGAGTGTGACAGCAAAGATTATTGTGTAAAGTTTTTTATATGAGGACAGGAGACCTTGGAGGTTGAGTTCCTATTAATAAGACCATTTGTTGCCCATTCAATGTGGTCCACTCATGGAATAATGTTCTAATATTTTAATATATAACTTCTATATCTACTTCTCTTTCCTTTATGAACTTCTCTGCATTCTTATTTTCCCAATATCCTATTTAAAATGATCCACCTTTTTTTTGTATCTTTAGTTCATAATCAGCCCAGAGAGCATACAGATGGAATAGAAGTTTTTTCCTATTAAGGACCATAAATGCATCAAACAAGCCAAGAAGCAAACAGATAAAAGAGCAGTTTTTGTTTGCTTAAGATAAAAATTTAATCTTTTATGGGCTTTCAAAAAAGCATAAAAAGACCTCGGTTTGTATTTTGTTTTTGTTTTGTTTTTTAAAGAACTCTTGCACTTACAACAATATGGAAGGATGTTGAGGATATTATGCTAAGTGAGGTAAGTCAAATAGATCACTTAGCAGTGGAATCTAAAAATACAACAACAACCACAACTCACAAATACAGAAAAAAGATTCGTTTGTAGCTAAAGAGGAAGAGAGTTGGGGGATGGGCAAAATGGGTGAGGAGAGTAAATGGTATACACTTCCAGATATAAAATAAGTAAGTCCTGGGGATATAATGTACAATATGGTAACTTTAGTCAATAATATTGTACTGCTTATTTGAAAGTTTCCAAGAGAATAAATCTTAAAAGTCCTCATCACATGAAAAAAATAATTTTGTATGAAGATAGAGGGTAACTAGATTAATTATAGTCATCATTTCAGAGTATATAAATATCAAATTGTTATATTCCTGAAATTAATATAATGTTATATATTGTTTAAAGTATTACAAATAGTAGTACATATGTCTCCATTTTTCCCCCCATTGACCTTCCTCTGGCCTCCCCTACACCCTGGCACATGCCCTCACCTCCGCCTCCACCTGTGTCTTGCTTCCAGTGGGTATGCTTATATGCATGCATACATGTCTTTTGGTTCATTTCTTTCCCTCCCTCCCCAACCCTCCACAGCCATCCCGCTGTAATTTGACAGTATGTTCAATGATTCTTTGCCTCTGAATCTCTATCTTTTTGTTCATCAAGTTATAATGTTCTTTATTATCCATAAATGAATGAGATCATTGGGTACTTTTCTTGCACTTTGAAAGGATAAACATTATTATATTAGTTATATTAACTCCACAGTTCCTTACCCCATTATGAATTAAATTTATAGATGTGGTTTAGCTATTATTTTGACATAATTATATTCATACTGAAAAATTCAGCCTCAAGAACTATTATACAGAGTCAACTTGTTTTCTACCCTAATTCAATCTCTTAATACTTCATCTTGTGAATTAAAATTCAATCAAACATGTATTTCTTATTAAAATGTAAAGCTGTGATTAAAAAGCTCAATTGTAGTCTACTCTTGAGGAATGGCAAAAATGTATGGGTTGTTATAAACAATTTACCATGTAGCCACCATATAGTCACCATTGGTGTAGAATAAGGTGGCAATCTTAATATTGATCTAAATTTTGTTCCTAAATGAGTTAAGACTGGTTTGGTCAATAGACATACAAAAAGTTCCTCTCTTCCTCTCTCTCTCTCTCTCTCTCTCTCTCTCTCTCTCTCTCAGCACAAGGGAGCTTTGTGAATTTTATAAATCATGAATGTATGTATTACTCACAGGAAAAGAAATAAGCAAGAGAACCTGTAGGCTGGAAAACCAGAAAAGACATACCTTATTTCTAGGGAGTCATTCAACAATTATATCCAAAGGACATGCTCAGTGCTCCTATTACAGACCCATAGGCCATGCAGCCCATGAGAATAAAACCTGCTGCTATATGCTCTATACTATAAGGTGCCATATCAGCTCACCAGAGACTTTTTGTATTACTTCATTAACTTCCTTCATGAATACTTTCTGGACAAATACCAAGTGGTTCAGAAGATCAGTTGTGAGATTATGTTCAAAAGAACCAACCTGCCAAACAAAATTAGAGCATTAGGCTGATACTACTGACTGACATAGTTTTAAATACTATTTTTGCTCACATAAGTAATCCCAAACTCTGTGAATAATTATCTACATGCTATTTGAAATCAATACTTTGAAGAAGGGTTAAAAATATTTAGATTCTCCAATACTTTGCTGGCCTATTACAGGCCATTCCCTCAATTAAAAAAAAAAAAAAGTAACTGTAGCAAATAGCAATAAATCATTTGAAAATGAATGGAAATTATAATTTAATTATGTAATTTGATAATTTTAAAATTATAAATTTATCTATATTTATTTTAATGCCACTGTTGAATTGTTGGAACCATAAATAAATGTCATTACAATAAAATGAACCCTGGAAATATTAGAGATGGATGTGAAACCCAATGTAAGAAATAATGAATTCAAAGATAACTAATAAAAAAACATGCTTCAGTTAACCTATAGAGTGACATACACAACATGCACATGCACACACATACACATACCAGATTCAGTACAGAATTCTGTCAAATTAAATGGTTTAATAATTTGTTTTAAAAGTTTGGATCACTACATATTTTGTTCGATACACCTAAAACTTGAAGGCTTCTAATTACCAAGAGTAAGAAATTAAAAAGTAAACTTACTTCTGCCACACAACGTAGGTAATTTCCCTGTAAAAAGTACCCTTGTTTCGAAGGCAGTTCATCTATACTCCACACCTGATCTGAATAACTATCATGCTCTTCCATGATGTATTTTCCAGACATAGTAACAGGAGGCAGATTAAGACTGGCAGAAGGAGGAATAGTTGACATATCTGTGGCAGAAACTTTTGAAGTAAAACGCAACCTGTGATTTGGCAGCTCAAATGTAAATCTAGTCTGTGCACCTGTAAGAAAGAAGAAACGTTATTGCTTGTTTGTTCAGGTGCTCACTCACCCATTCATTCCTTACTTTGTTCAAAAATGGTGCCTAAGGAAAATTACATACATATCCCAAAACCTATATTGAAAGATATGGGAAAGATATTTAAATATGCTTATATTTCCTATCTTTTCAATATATGTATGGTTACTATAAAGAGTCAGTCAGTAAGTATTATTAAGCTTGCAAAAATTATTTATTAAGCCTACTAGGTACCCAACATTGTGTTAGGTGATAGAAAAAAACACTCACAATGTTCTTCGTTTCATAGAAGGCAAAAAGGAAAGAAATTACCCTTATTACAGAAGAGTTATAACAAATAGGTGTAGCCGAAACCAGTTTGGCTCAGTGGTAGAGCGCCGGTCTGCGGACTGAGGGGTCCCAGGTTCGATTCCAGTCAGGGCATGTGTATTGGTTGCGGGCACATCCCCGGTGGGGGGGGTGCGGGGGGCAGCTGGACGATGTTTCTCTCTCATCGACGTTTCTGGCTCTCTCTCTCTCTCTCTCCCTTCCTCCTCTCTGTGGAATATCAATAAAATATATTTAAAAAAAACAAAACAAATAAGTGCAAGAAAAATAAATTAAGTAGTAGAGCCGAAACCCGTTTGGCTCAGTGGATAGTGTGAAAGTCTGCAGACTGAAAGGCATGTTCATTGGTTGCGGGCACATTCCTGGTAGGGAGTGTGCAGGAGGCAGCTGGTTGATGTTTCTCATCAATGTTTCTAGCTCTCTATCCCTCTCCCTTCCTCTCTGTAAAAAAAAATCAATAAAATATATATGTTTTTAAAAAGTAGTAGACACCTTATGAAAATCAAGCTTTATCACTGTCACATGTACTGTGTAACATATACCCACGTGCTCCTTTCCAACCAACCAAGTCTACTGATAGTGTTCTGTACATTACCAATTCTCTCCACTCAAACAGCATTAAACAGACTATTTTCCATACATATATGGGTATATAAATATATATGGTTGACAAATGGATTATAAAATGTGTATGAAGGAGCACAAACCAAAAATAACCAACACAGCTCCTAAACAAGGAAAAGCCAGGTTATCAATATGATATTGGTAAAATAGGGCAATGAAACATAACAGAGAATTCTGAAATAGATACCACATACATAAACACTTAATAAATGACAGAACTGGATTATATACCACTTGGGGGAAAACAGATTAGTCGATACATGATGGTGAGATAACTGGTTATGCATTCTACTCCAGACACCAAATTAAAGAAAAATAATAATCATTTCCATATAGATTAAGAAGTATATAAAAAGTAAACCTTTAAAACATTTGCTAAAAAATATAGAATATTTTCTGATCCTGGGAGGAAAAGAATTTCTTTAAGAAATATAGATAGAGCCCGGCTGGTGTGGTTCAGTTGGTTCAGATAGTCCCATGTACCAAGAGGCCACCAATTCTATTCCAGGTCAGGACACATGTTGTGGGGGAAGATGGTGGAAGGGGGGCTGCAGGACCCACAGTACAGAACATGCAGGAGACAGCTGATAGATATTTCGCTCTCATCGATGTCTCTCCCACCCTCCTTTCCTCCCTCCCTCTCTCCTTACCTCCCTCCTTCACTTCCAATCTCTAAAAATCAATGGAAAAAAATACTCTTGGGTGAGGATTAACAAAAAACAATTTAAAAATGCACATGATAGAGGAAAATATTGGTAAATTCATTGACAATAAAATATCTATTGATCAAAAGACAACTCAAAGTGAAATGATAACCCTATGACTGGGTGACAATATATATTAAACATATAAGGGCTAAGATTTTAATATACAAAATATATAAAGAATTACTGTGAATATAGAAAAATACAAATGACTCAATGTTAAAATGGGCAAGAAAAAACAAATGCGAACCATCAACAGGAATTTCATGTGAGAAAACATATTATATAAGGGCCTCTTAATAATATAAAAAAACTTTCATTAGTAATTGCAGAAATATAAATTAAAACCACAATGAAGTACTATTCCACATTTACTAAAGATGCAAAAATTTAGGAGTATTGACAGAATGTGGAACAAAAGGCACTCTCATCTCAGCTGGTGGGAGAGTAAATACTGCACTTTGGAAAAGGTTTGTATTTCCCAATGAGGTGAAGAGGCATTTACCCCAGACTAACTGTCCACTCCCAATAACCACTTTTGAGAAACTGTACACCAGGACATGTATATGAGAACAACTGTAATATCAATGTTGTAAAATGGCCAAAGGTCCATCAATAACAAAATGGATAAATAAATTGTGATATAATCACTTTATGTCAGTAAAAAATGAATAAGCCACAGATATATAAATAGATGAACTTCAAACAAAATGTATAGCAAAAACAAAATTCCAAGTTAAAAGATATGTTAGTTGGAGGATTCCATGTAAATGGAGTTCAAAACAGGCAACAGCAAATAAACTTTAAATCATTTATGAGTATACACGTGCGGTAGAAAAGTAAAAGTCTGGGGACACGGATCCATGACAATAGCTATCCCCTGAGCAGCCATGGGATTGTTATCTGGCAGTGATAATCCTTGAAAGAGTCTTGTATTTTCTAATTCTTAGATGTGTAACAGACTGATGAGTTCACAGTTCTTTATTATTCTTTAAACTGTGTGTATATAATTTAAATTTATTTATGATACATTTCAGGATAAAAATATAACAGCAAAGCATTTTTGGTCAGGATATATGAGGATCACAAAATCTTACAGAAGTAGCTGTTTTGAAGAACTCAAATAATCTCTAATTTGAGTTAAAGGCGCCTCATCTGAACATAAACCACATTATTCAGGCAATAGGAAACTGACAGATGTAGAAATTTATTCAACTTAAGTTTAACTGGAGAATTGGCCTTCATAGTTCAATAAGTCTAAAGAGTTCATATGAAAGTAGAATACATGTTGGCCATCAAGGGAGGTGTATTGATAGCTGTTACTTGACTGAGGAATATTATTAATGAAATTTAAGTGTTCTGATTAAAATTATTTAAATTTTCATATAGTATCTATAAAACCAAATATATCTTTTCTTCAAACAATTACTAATTATAAAACCAATACTACATTCTGAGACAGAATTTGGAAGCAGATGCTACCTGTCATCCCATGGCTCCGCATCCTACCCATCTTGTACTCAGCCCGCAGGGAGGGCAGCAGCGCAGCTCCAATGGCAATGCCATCCAACATGGTGCTGAACTTCAGGACCAGAGGCTTCTTTTCTAAGCCTTCCGGCAGCTGAGGAAATTCATTTGTTTCAATGGGGGTCTGATTAACACTCGTTGGAGTTTTTTCAGAAGGTAGGGGAGTTGCAACATCTTCTTTTACAGGCTGTGAGCTACAAAGCAAAAAATAATAACTTTTAAGAAACACAATGGCTACCGTTTTCTTGTATAAAATTATTGGAGTTCTTAATAAAAGTAGCAAAAATATACATAAATATGTTTTATTTCTAATTCCAACCCATATTAAGACTTCCTAGAAACAGCCATTAAAAATAATGATCCAGAAAAGCAAAGAAAAAGAAGTAATCACAATATAAATTGGAATACTATAAAACCAGACCATTCATATCATCAATGTAAAACTAACTGGACTTCAGATTTAGGTTTGCTTGCTTCCAAATTCCATGACTTTAGCACTATGTACTCTACTGTTGCTTGTAAGACTGTTACTATTGTCGCCTACTATTGCTACCATCCTATCTAATAAAAGAATAATATGCATATTGACCATCACTCCAACACACAAGATGACTGCCCCCATGTGGTCAAAGAGCCTGCCCCCATGTGAACACAAGATGGCCACCACAAGATGGCCAGCAGGGGAGGACAGTGGGGAGGGACCAGGCCTGCAAGGGAAGGCAATGGGGGCTATCAACCCTGCAGGGGAGGGCAGTTAGGAGTGACCAGGCTGGCAGAGGAGGAAACTGGGGGCAAACAGGCTGGCAGGGGAGCAGTTAAACATCAATCAGGCTGGCATGGGAGTGGTTAGGGGTGATCAGGCTGGCAGGTAGAAGCGGTTAGGGGCAATCAGGAAGGCAGGAAGGCGAGCAGTTGTGGGCCAGCAGTCCTGGATTGACAGAGGGATGTCTGGTAGAATCGGGCCTAAACGGGCAGTCGGACATCCCTCGAGGGGTCCCAGATTGGAGAGGGTGCAGGCTGGGCTGAGGGACACACACACACACACACACACACACACCACCTCCCGTGCACGAATTTAGTACACCGGGCCTCTAGTTATTAATAACAATAATAACACCAACAGCCACAACAATTGAATACTTATATGTGTCAGGTACTGTTTTCAGTGCTTTGTGTGTTTTATATAATTTACTCATTGATCCCACAAAGCCCTTTGAGCGGACACTATTATCTACATTTTGTAAAGGAGGAAATATGGCCAGAAAGTGGTGAAACCAGGATTTGAACTCATTCAGTTTGACTATAGAGTTTGATTTTCTAACTATCGATATTACACTTTTAGGGCAATATATTCTAATAAGGAAAAATTCTTTAGAGTATTTTATTTATTTTTTTAAATATATTTTTATTGATTTCAGAGAGGAAGGGAGAGGTATAGAGATAGAAACATCAAAGATGAGAAGGAGTCATTGATTGGCTGCCTCCTGCACAACCCTAACAGGGGATCAAGCCTGCAACCCAGGCACGTGCCCATGACTGAAATTGAACCTAGGACCCTTTACTCTGCAGGCTGATGCTCTATCCATTGAGCTGAACCAGCTAGGGCTCCTTAGAGTATTTTAAACTAAGGTTTATGTGACATAATCTGGATTCCATATTCCACTGACAAGAGAAACATTCATATTATTACTACTTAGTCAACTTTAGATAGGTATGAGTATTATATCAGAATTAAAGATCTAGATAGAACAACTGAAAAAGCTGTTCATTGCTTTTGGACACCACCAAAAATAAATAAATAAATAAATAAATAAATAAATAAATAAATAAATAAATAAATCACACTAATAATAACTTATTTTTATCTTTTACTTATCATATTTTTATTAGTTATTAATTATAGCTTTGGAGACCAGTAATGCAGACCCATGAATAAGGGCTCCAGACAAAGGGAATAAAGGGTAACATGCCAAAGTCTAAATTAGTGCCTTTTAAAACATTTGTGTGGCATGATCACACACTACCTTGAACCATGCACAATTACTTTATAGGAAAGACAGCACAAAACCATGAATGGACATAAATGGGCACTGAAATTTTTGAAATCTATTCAGTCAAATTTCTATGAGTTGAGAATAAACAAGAATTGATATATTCCTAGAATTTGTCAATTTACTCTTTAGTACTACCTCTTATGCTGCTCTTAAGCTTTATTAATGCCACATGGGACACTGACAATGGCACTTGTGACATATGATATCCAGTACTACCTACCATCACATTTGATTACTTTCCACCTGTCCCAGTGTCTATCATGGTCAATACTCAGTCTTCCTCAACACTGCTGTTCACACAGCAAAGAACTGTAGAGAATGACAAAGCTTGATGGAATAACTTACAGTGTTGAAGGTTGTCTGATGAGGTCTGAGATCTGCTTTGACAGCTGGTGAGAACTCCGAACCATCATGCTATGTAAGGTGGCAGGGTGCTGTGGAATGTTGATGCTGATAGCTCCGACTTTGAACACAGCAGCATTGTTTGTCTTCAATCCTCTCTGGGCACTGTAGAGGGCCTGGGACTTGGCAATACTGCATTTCACTACAGTTCTAGCAACAGGAAAGGAGGGCCATTAAAATATAGTCAAGTAAAGATAAATTTTGAAAAGTAGTAATTCTGAGAACAAGACAAATGCTTTTAAGTTGCTCATTGACTAAACACATTGATTTTTTTCCTGTGTTTAAATCATGTATTGAAGAAATAAGTATTCTATAAATATTGAAATACATTTATTTTATAATGTTTGCTAGATACAACAAATATTCTATTTTAATACAGACTTTATAGAAGGACATGTGTCTGGGATCTTGTGTAAGTAAAAGCATGAAACACTGACACATTACATACATGCAACACAAAATTCCATTTTCACTTTTTTTCTCTCCATTCAGAACTCCACTATTCTCCAATTTATTTTAGGATATATACAACCACTAAGAAAGCATTAACACTAAATATGAAAAGATAAAAATGCAATATATTTCTTAAAATCTAAACATTAATAACAATCTAATATATTAAAATATACTAAGAGAAATTAACAGAAAAAAAGAAATTAATTTGGATTTTCTATTTTCAGTGAGTTACAAAGAAATGACAAAAGTCCAATTCACAACAAGTAACTTCTACTTATTAAAAACTGCTACGCTTTACTGATATAGTCATAAAGCAGAGATATTCTCTCTCTTGATCTCCTGTGCTTTCTTTCCCATGATTAGAACAGTACCCTGAATGTGATAAGCACTCACTGAATCTTGTGAAATGAATGAGCAGAAAGAAGTACAGCAGAAGAATGGCTCTCAACACAGCAACTATGGAATTACACAGATAGCATGTGACAGGTCACATGTGCAGAAACCATGACAAAGCAGTCTTTGACATACAATGGAAAGGTGCCTGTCAATGAACTGCAACAGAAAGGCCCAGATAGTAAAAAGATGCCTTCTAACATAAATGCTATCTTTCAAATGAGCAAATGATTCTTGAAAAATAAATAGATTTAGCAAAGCACTCAGTGGTGAAAAGAAAACAATAAATCCTCTTCAGCTACTATGATTTACTAGTAATTTTTTTTTCCAATACCTATTAAGATGGCATTAACATGGAAGAGTGATTTCTAGAAAACAATAATTTCTCTAATTTAAAATTAGTGAATTTATTCTTTTTTAGTACTTCTAATTGGCTGATAAAGAGATCACATTAATCTCAACAAAGGGCTAGTAGTTGATATTGTCTATGTCCTGTTATCAATATGCAATGAAATAAATCTCACCAAGTATGATAATCTTATCAGCATGGAACTTAAATTTATTCAGCATATTCAAAGTTTATAGAACATGCCTAAAGAAATAACCAATGTTAAGTAACACATTAATTTGTCACAGTGATAAGACTCATGATACTTTTAAATATAGCACTCAATAAGCTCACTACTACAAAATATCAGATATACATGAGTCAAATCAAGGCACTCAAAATACAGAAGCATATATAGAAAAGTCATATATAAATCTGTCAACAGAGCAATAAATGCTCCTCATCTTAAAACAGGACCATAGGTTGAGATGTGTAGGTATTTTCAATGTTAGTTTTAATAATTATTTTTGCAATTAGTGAAAAATCTTTTGCAAAGTGAAACACTTTGGCTTCTACTGCCCCATCAAACATTAACAAGGATATGTGATAATATAAATTTTGACAGTAATATATCTAAAAAAAGCACAAGCAACACACACCTACAGTGCTACAATCTTTCCACAACAAAGCAAAAAAGGTAGCCGTTACCTGTGTGTTCGCTGAATAGCAGTAATCTTTAATCTACAAAAGGGTGTATGTTAAAACTACAAAATAATAACTACATACATACATTCAGCCATGCAGATAACATTATGCTTAAAAGTATTCAGTGCTACGTTAATCACAAAGCCCATGAAAAAGAATAATGACATACAGAAACTCTTGTTTGGCTGTGCTTGTAGGAGATGTAGGAAAATCCTCCAGTCTACAGATGAAGATTCAAGAGAAAGCAGGAAACAAAAAGGAAGCAGATAAGCATTTGTGCATAAATCAGTTACAACATGACCCATCATCTGGAAAGCTTTCTTATTTCCCACTTTTACAATTTTCCTTCAAAAAACCTTTTAAACTACTTTTTTAGTTCTGTTTCCTTTTCTTTGAAATTGGAAACAAAAAGCCAAAGAATAAGTCCAGGAATACTTAGCACTACTAGAATATGGCAGTGAATAATAGCTTTTATTTTTCAAATATAAAAGTTAAGAAATTTTTCCTACGGTGTATGTGTGTTGTTGTTGTTGTTGTTGTTTTTCCTAAAGGTAAAAATAAAAAATCAACTAGCTAATACTTAGTCTGATAAATATGCTTCTGCAAGTTTAGAGACTATTTATGCCCTTCTCTTAAAAGCTAATAGAAAATGATAGAGACAAGGGATCCAATCGGACAGTAAATAAAACACATAGGACATGTAAAGAAATTTGTTTTACTTTCTGAATAGATTGGTGAGCATGGTACTTTAAATTTCATCAACAGGAGATGTGGAGCCCAAGGTCTGTGAAAACTGTCTACAGAAGCAGCAAAGCAAGGTGCCAGAAGGAAAGCTTTTCTTTCAAATTGGAAATAAATTTCTTCCTTCTTACTGTACCATGTGAAGCATTTTAGGCAAACACTTTAATCTTTCTGAATCTTAATTTATTGTTCCCGAAAGGGGATAAAACCTTCCCAAGGGCACGGAATTATGAAATAATCTCTGAGGCTCCACAGTAGGTGCTTCTTAAGATAATAGTTGTTACATGAGAGCCTCTCTGCCACAGTGAATGATCAGGAAAGATTTTGTCTCTCCCAATTACTGGATTTCCTGGTCTTTCAAGAGACTTAAAAATTACAAACTGGACCATTCAGGCAGCTAAAATAAAATATGTTCTCTTTCATTCCAAGGTTTCAAGTCCAAATTCTCCAGCAAGACTTACACATCTATTTCAGGAAATATTCCCCCCAGACAGCTATCACATTATCCATGTTAAAAATGTTATTAATAGACCTGTAACTAGTCAATCTATGACTAATGTTTAATATTTATAATGCTGAACCAAATCCCCTATTTAGTCAGTATTTAACATGACAGAGGCTTTCTAGGACCATTGTAAGACATATATAACTAGTTATAACCTTAAAAGCAAATTCTCAAAATCTGACCTAAGCACATTTTGTAATTGTAACATAGAACTGCTCATTGAAAGGAATTTAGGAATGAAGGTCTATAATCCCAAGTTGTATGAACCAAGTAAGTGGTTTAATGTAGTGATAATAGATGAATAATCTGAATATCATGTATAAAGATAATAATTCTAAACAGATCCAAGAATAGAACTTATAAGGAAAAGAACAGTCAAAAGAAAAGTGATGTGGAATGTCATCCTATATAATAAAAGCCTAACATGCTAAGTGTCCGGTTGTCCAGTCATCCATTCAACCAATCAAAGTATAATGTGCTAATGATATGCTAAGGCTGCTCAACTACTTGCTATGACATGCACTGACCACCAGGGGGCATACAGTCGCCAGTCAACCAGTCAATATGATGTGCACTGACCATCAGGGGCAGATGCTCTGAAAGGTAGGTTAGCTTGCTACTGGGGTCTAGCTGATTGGGAATGAGCGAGATAGGCCAGATATGCCCTGGAGCTCTCCCATGGTCCCTCCCTAGCTGGCCAACCTTCCACATCCCTCCCCATTCTGACTGTGGGTGGGTGGGAAGTAATCAACCAAAGACCATCCTATATAATAAAAGGATAATTTCCAAATCAACTGAATGATGGAATGACTGGTGGCTATGACACACACTGACCACCAGGGACAGACATTCAATGCAGGAGCTGCCCCCTGGTGGTCAGTGCACTCCCACAGGGTGAATACACTCAGCCAGAAGCCCAGCTTACAGCTGGCGAGCGCAGCCACAGTGGTGGGAGCCTCTCCCATCTCCGTGGCAACAATAAGGATGTCTGACTGCTGCTCTGGGCAGGGGACCTAAGCCATCAGTTGGACATCCCCCCAGGGTTCCTGAACTGTAAGAGGGCAAAGGCTGGGCTGAGGGAACCTCCCCCCACTGAGTAGGGGAGGAGGGGTGTGTGTAAACATTAAGTATACAAATTTCATGCACCGGGCCTCTAGTAGTCATTATAAGAAGCTTACCCTATACTATTAGAAGGGTCTCCTAGGCATTACAGTAAAACTGTTAAAATGCAAAAATGGCAAAAGGAAGTTTTAAAATCAACATGAATATGGTTAATTATTGCTTAACATAAAACTCTCCTTTGACTACAATTTTGTTTTATTTAACTATTTGAATTGTACCAGCTTTTGCATCTTACATGTTTAACCAAAATTTACACCGTATCATTTTTCTTGATGCATAATCTTACAATGTCCCAGGAGTCTCCTTTTAAAGAGAGGTGAAGGAGGTAGTAAAACTACTTTCAGAAAGGTAAAAATCACTTTTCTAAAACATTTCATTGTGTAATGTTCTTAATGACAGAAATCAGAATATCTGAAACATTAAGTATATAAATTTCAAAATTCAGCAGGTGTGGGATTTAGCCAATGAATTTTAAGTTTCCTATAAACTAAAACAAATTTAAGAATAAAAATCAATACACTTACTGTATATTTGGTGTGATCCCTTCAAGCAGCACAATATTAACCCCACCAATATGCGCAGTGGCACATGTCTCAGTCATCTTTTGATGTAAAACATCTTAAAATGTGATGAAAAATAATTATATGAATTATAATTACACTTCATATTAAATTTTACTCATACATTCAGTGACAAAAGATAATTTTAAAGTTACATAAAATTTAAACTATATTTTGAAACTACTTTTTTAAATTTCCTTGAAGTTGCCGCGACTGGTTTGGCTCAATGGCTAGAGCGTCGGCTTGGGGACTGAAAGGTCCTGGGTTCGATTCCAGTTAGGGGCATGTACCTTGGTTGCGGGCATATCCCCAGTGGGGGGTTTGCAAGAGGCAGCTGATCGATGACTCTCTCTCATTGATGTTTCTGACTCTCTATCTCTCTCCCTTTCTGTACAAAATCAATAAAATATATTTTAAAAAAATAATAGAATAAAATAAAATTTCCTTGAAGTTTTATTTCTGTGTTAATGTATACATATAAGTATTATTATATGTTAAAATTGGAATAATGCTAAATATTCAGTTTAACATGTCAATCATGCAGTACAGAGCCTTGAAAGCCTAATGACATTTTAAATCTCAGAAGTAATACTTAGTGCAGAACATTTGGAAATTTTTATAAAACAAAAATAGAAAAAAAACAAAAAAAAAACAAAAACAAAACTACATAAATTGCCGGAGCCGGTTTGGCTCAGTGGTAGAGCGTCGGTCTGCGGACTGAAGGGTCCTGGGTTCGATTTCGGTCAAGGGCATGTACCTTGGTTGCGGGCACATCCCCGGTGGGAGGTGTGCAGGAGGCAGCTGGTCGATGTTTCTCTCATCGACGTTTCTATCTCTCTATCTCTCTCCTTACCTCTCTGTAAGAAATCAATAAAAATATATTTTAAAAACAAACAAACAAAAAAACCTACATAAACTATTTCTTTGATCTACCTGGAAGCTTGATTTTCTAGACCAACTGCCAAGCAGGAATTGGGGAGATGGGTCAGTTCTCAGAAAAGCAATCAGCAGTATGGGAATGTGCCATACCTTTCATCTTCTCCTTCAGTGTGAAGCTGCCATGAATCCTCTTCAGCTCGGACTCCATAGTGAGTCCACCGATGTCCGCCTCCAGGTGTGTACGGTTCACCATGCCGATCCCGAACACGATCAGGGTGACATGCTGGGGTTCCGCTGTCACCAAGCTGCGCTTCCTCTGCGTCTTTGTCACACTGTTATTGTCCTGTTCATTCTCAAACACCACTTTACAGGTTGGCTCTGTTGGGCTCCGAACGCCTTCATGAGTAAACAGAAACACACTTTAGACATGAAAACTGCGGAATGAAAGGACACTCCAAACATTGCCTTATTTCTCTTTCCTTCCTTTTCCTGACCAACTCTCCTCCTCCTTTTCCCTACCAAAATGTCTCTTAACGTATTTCCACATCTTCCCTTGGCCACACTGAAAGCAGTTATTGACAGCAGCTGTGCGTGGCTCTATCAGAGCAGCTTGCACAAGGTGAGAGAGGTGGGAAATGGGGGCACAGGGTGTCTATTCTCTCCTGACCGCCAACTTCTGTGCATCTCAATTATCCACTTATGACATGAAAACATCATGAGCTCTAACTAGTTTGGCTCAGTGGATAGAGCATCATCCTGGGGACCAAAGAGTCCCGGGTTTGATTCTGGTCAGGGGCATGGACCTTGGTTGCAGGCTCCTCCCTGAACCAGACTCGGGTCAGGGCATGCACCGAAGGCAACCAATGAATGTGTCTCTCTCAAATTGATATTTCTGTCTTTCTCTCTCTCTTCCATTCTCTCTAAAAGATCAATGGAGAAATATTCTCAGGTGAAGAGAAAGAAAGGAAGGAAGGAAAAAGGAAGAAGAAAGGAAGACATCATGAACCACCTGCTGCCCTTCTTAGTATGTTTACAATTCCAAACAGCAATTTAAAAAATATGAAACATCAATTACCTGCTGGTCCAAATGCATCTGAAGATTTTTCCAGTATTCCTGTTGGATCAGAGATGAGAGAATAGAAGTTCAGTAGTTTGTACATATTCTGCCAGCACTCAGCGGAGGGCTCACTTTGCTCTGACACGGTGATAGAGTCAGAGTCATCCATGGGGATGGCCATGTGATCCACCACGTCCTTGGAGCCTTTCCTAGACACTTTGGAAGTTCTTCTCTCAGATCTTCCCAATGAGTTTTTGTTTCGAGATTCCTTTTTGTTATTTTCAGGGTTGGTCCGTTTGTTCTTTGCATTATTTACTCTGGTGCCACCGTTAAGACTTCCTCTGGAACTGCGGCTGAAGTCAGAGGAGCGGAAATCCCGATGTTTTCTGGTTCTAAAGGTAGGTGTTGGCGAAGCTGAGCCAGCTGTGTATCTGCTCAGTTTAATGTCAGTCTGAGTCGCTTTGATATCATCTATCATTGTACTGAACTGATGAATGAGACGAACCAAAGCCATGTCCACGTGCTGGCTTATAGACTGACAGGAAATGGTGAAGTTGCAGTGGAAGGTGTTGTAGTGACGCTTGTTAAGATCATGGAAAGAAAGAGCATTGGTGGAGTTCTGAGGGGTGCACACAGACTTTTCCATCATGACTGCACTGATACTAAAGGTTTCCAACATTAATGCTGGTTTGAACTCAAGTGGAGGAAGATTCACATGGCCTTGCCTAAAAATGTGAAAATAAAATGACAAGGTTTTTATTTCCTCTTTTCTAGAATTATACAATCTTTATTTACTTATTAACAAAATAATACCCAAGATAATATATGTTTACAAGTCATTTAAATACTTTTCAGCATGAAATCAAGTAGTTTACTTTTTTTCACTAAGCCAACTTTTTATAAGTTAACCAGTCAAAATTAGCCTTATGTTAATGATTTCAGTGAAGAGATAAAACAATTTTTGCTGCCAACGATGGTATACTGCACTGATGATTCCAACGTGAAGGGATTTGTTATCATAGTTTAAATAACACCAATTCCCCAACAACGTGGTTCAAAATCTTAACCAAAATTTACTGTGAACAATTGCATAAAGCACAAACTTGCTGTAGCTCTTCAGTTCATGAGTCACTACAAAAATAACAGACAGGCATCGTGATCAGTGACCAATCATATCACTTTGTCCAAGTCTGTCAGTGATTGGTCAATGCACATTTGTTACGCATTCACCCAGACAGGGAAGCATAGAGTGTGTTGCCTCCTTGTGACATTAAAAAAAAAAAAGATAATGATAATCGAGCAGGTAAATGGCCAGCAAGGATGAAAATGCAGCAATTAAACAAAAAAATTATAAGATTGGTAGTGAAATTCAGTTAAATGTAAATGGAGCTATAGAAGAAACAGTTGACCATAGAGATGTTGCCAGTTCGCTATTCTATAACTAAATATGCAGCCAAAGAAGCGCAGGGAAGTCATACTTATTGGCATGAAAAGGATACTGACTGCAACAAAAAGAATGAAGACAACCAGGAGGAAGTGATTCTGGCAAAAAATCAAACAGTAAAAGGAACTTGTGATGATGCTACATGACATTAAAATGCAAAGGATAAACTGTTGGAAACTGGTCAGTACTTAGTTGAAGTAGGACATTTTTCCAAGGCACAGAAAAGGTGCTCATTCTTTTTTGTGAGTCACAGGACAAAAGGCAAGAACTATTCAAACCACCCTTTGATGAGTTTTACAGAAAGAAATTCAATTTCAAAATATTTTCAATCACAATGTACTAAATATTAGTTTTACTATATTTTTCATTTTCTACATATTTATAATAAACAGTAAGAAAGACTAATTTTTTGATATTTTGTAAGATCAAAAACCAAAAGTAATCCTAATAATAATTAAGGTTTTTAGCTTGAACAGTCATTGCTTGGTACCACACAATGTGAAAAACAAGGACTTTCTTCTATTTAATAGAAAAAAAATGCAACTGTAACATTCCTGTGTCATTAGAAAATCCTTGGATATTTAAACCTAAAACAAACTAAAAGAAGGCTTTATTTATATATACAGAATTGTTATGAAATTTTTAAAAGCCAATTTTGTTAAATTATTTAAAATTTTAAGTATAGTGAAAAACCTAACCATAGAGAATCCAAGATGCCTGCACAGGAAAACACCTAGCTGCAGCCGCACACAACAATTTCAATAAAATACAACTAAAATATAAAATGGACATTACCCAGAACTACAGGAAAGTCGACTGACTGGAAATTCTACGAGAAGCAAGGAGAAAACCAGAAGGAAGAGCGGAGGAGCTGTAAAAGTCTAAGGTACAGAGACATGCGGCACACGCCGAGAGAACAGAGTCGGAGAGAAAGGGCAGCTGAGTGCCTGGCTGGTGTTCCCTAGCAGGAAGGAGATAAAAGCTCCGACTGTGCTGGGCCCCAGTTCCGACTGCTCTGAACCCCAGTTCTAGGCCAGACCCCGGAGACCGAGGCTCATCCATAGGGAGCTGGGCTGTAAGGCGGAACCCGGGGGGAGCAGCGAAAGGAGGTCCCGGAGGAGCGCACATTGCGCGCAGAGAAGGGACGGTTGGCTGTGCCACGGGATTGCCCTGGCGGGAAGGAGACAAAAGCTCCAGACTGCTCTGAATGCCACCTCCAACTCCGCTTCCAACTGAACTGAACCCCAGTTCTGGGCTCATTGGGGGAGAGCCTAGACTGTTTGGTAGCAGGCGAAAATCGAGGGCACCTTTCTCTCAGAGGTGCTTGCACCAAGTACTAAAGGACCTTGGGAATTACCGAGATCAGGAACTGCATAGGGTGGGGCTGACGGAAGCCAAGGCTGTAGGCTCCACCCTGAAACCCCGCCCCATCAGGGAGGCTGTGAAAATGCCCAGACAACAAAATAGATCACAAACAAAAGAAATGGATGACAAAAAGTGACTGAATATAGAGTTCAAATCTACACTTATAAGGTTTTTCAAGAATTTCCTAGAAAAGGTCGATAAGATCTATGAGGATATGAAAAGAGATCAACTAGAATTAATAAGGAATCAACAAGAAATGATAAGGGATCAACAAGAAATAAAGAATACATTGTCTGAAATAAAAAATATTATACAGAGTCCTAAAAACAGATTGGAAGATTGCAAGAATCAAGTCAAAGATTTGGAACATAAAGAGCCAGAAGACACTCCTCCTCAGAAGCAAGAAAGCAAGAGAATCCAGAAAATTGAAGATAATGTAAGAAACCTCTGGGACAACTTCAAGCGAACCAACATCAGAATTATGGGGGTCCCAGAAGATGAGAGAGAGCAAGATATCGAAAACATACTGAAAGAAAACTTCCCCACCTGGTGAAAGAATTAGACTTACAAGTCCAGGAAGCGCACAGAACTCCAAACAAAAGAAATCCAAAGAGGACCACACCAAGACAAATCATAATTAAAATTCTAAGAGCGAAAGACAAAGAGAGAATATTAAAAGCAGCAAGAGCAAAGCAGGTAGTTACCTATAAAGGAGCACCTATACGATTGTCAGCTGATTTCTCAACAGAAACCATGCAGGCCAGACGGGAATGGCAAGAAATATTCAAGGTGATGAATAGTAAGAACCTACAGCCAAAGATAATCTACCCAGCAAAGCTATCACTCAGAATCGAAGGCCAGATAAAAAGCTTCACTAATAAAAAAAAGCTAAAGGAGTTCATCACCACCAAACCAGAATTATATGAATTGCTGAAGGGGGTTCTTTCGAAAGAGAAAGTAAATAAAGATAAAAATTATGAACAACAAATACGTAACTATCAACAAGTGAATCTAAAAACCAAGGAAATTAAAATAAAAATCTGATGAACAATATTAACTGTTGAATATAATAGAATCAGAGGTATGGAAGGGGAGTGAACTGATGATTCTTGGGGAAAAGGGAAAAGGGGGATGTGGGAAGAGACTGAACATAAACTGTGCACCTATGGATGAGGACAATGGGGGGTGGGGAAAGGGCAGAGGGTGGGGTGGGAACCTGGTGGAGGAGAGCAATGGAGGGGGGGAAGGAACATTTGTAAAAATATGAACAATAAAAATTTATTAAAAAAAAAAAAAAAGAACAGATGATAAAACAAAAACAAACAAAAAAAATTTTAAGTATAGTATTTCAAATGACAAATATACTTAACTTAGCTCTATGTTAGGTAGATGTGCATTTTACTTTTAATTTACTTTGCAAAAGCACAAACTGGATGAAACCAAGCATGTCACAAACAACCTTATGTCAGAAAGGCTAACTGTGTCCATATTCTATTATTCCCATACACTTTGGCAAAATCTGCCCAGAGTAAAACTCATGTTCTCAAAATATTAGACAAATCTTATTAGTAGGCATATTATAAACAGTGAAGAAACTAAAGAACCATCCGTGACAATAAAGAATGATAGTAAATGCCGAAACCGGTTTGGCTCAATGGATAGAGTGTTGGCTTGGGGACTGAAGGGTCCCGGGTTTGATTCCGGTAAGGGCATGTACCTTGGTTGCGGGCATATCCCCAGTAGGGAGTGTGCAAGAGGCAGCTGATCGATGACTCTCTCTCATCGATGTTTCTAGCTCTCTAACTCTCTCCCTTCCTTTCTGTATAAAATCAATAAAATATATTAAAAAAAAAAAAAAAGAATGATAGTAAAGAATGGTTCTTAACTCTCTCCACGCTACATTTGGCATTGCTGTGTCTTTGTTTCTGTTGGCTAAACTCTGTATGACCTCTATTCTGTTCCTAATAAAAAATTACACCTGCAACAAGTCAACTCAAAAAGGAGGCCAGGAATAAATTCTAAATAAAATGTACAAAATTACAATCCATAAGATCATAAAAATTTAACTAGTGCAACAGTAAATAAATTCTAGGTGTCTACATCACCACAGGTATGTGGCTCACTCTTATGGATGTGCTAACATGGTTCAAAAAAGAGGCTTAGAAATAGGCCTCATAACCTGTTAATGTGGCTACTATTTTGGTTAAATGAAAATTGTCTTCTCATTAAGATACTAAAATTAATTTCTCATTACCATGAGAATAAAGCAAAGTTAAAAACAGTTATTATTACCCTTGTACAAAATTTTACATGCAAACAACAATAACGTAAGACACCTTCTTGCCCTTTTGCTTTTTCTCTCCTTGGCCGTGTCTGAGTCCACGATATCTGCTCGGAGGCAGTCCAGTGTCCCTGAAAATGAAAGATGCTCGCCGAAGTACATGCGGTAGCACAGTGGCATCGCATCCTGGGACTGAATCCCTGTGTGACTCAGAAGAGGCTTGAAAACAACCTAAAAGACATAACACATTCATATTAGTGCAATTTATATAATTCATCATTTACTGCAGTGCTTTTTCTTATCCTACCCCAGTTCATATGTGCAGTGTGAAACACAAAAATGTCTTCTGTATAATTAGATAAATATAATCTAATTATACTTTAAAACCTGTTAATGCTTAGGGCCCACTCTCCCACTTGTCTCTGGTCATTTGAGGAACTAAAAAGGTTTCAAAGATTTTGCTTTGTACTCTCCATATTTAAGCCATTAAATAAGACCTTCATAATATTTCTTCTTTATCTTATCAAAGCCACAGCCATCTAAGCCTCATTACCACTTGTGTGATCTGTTTCAGTAACTCATCTTTTCATCTTATTTCTCTAATTCAATCCATTTAGCACATTGCTACCCATATCTAGTTCTTGTCACATTATTCTTTTGCTCTAAAATATTCAATGGCTCCCCACTGCTCATTCAAAAAAAGTCTTATCATAACATTGAACACAATAGGATTTTAAACTTATCTTTCTAGTCATGATATCTAGCTAATCTGTATCTCAAAAAACAATCTTACCAATGTATATGTGATAAACAACTATGCCATTCTTCTGTTTAATGACTATCTATAAATGCTTAATTAACCCATGTCCTTTTTGAAAACAACTCCTTTTTTGCATGAAGGCTTTAGGTAGACAAGCACAGAACTAAGGTTTTCCCTAAATTCCAAGGTGAATTAGAGATGGCTCCAGCTGCTCAATGCTGCCTAAGAGGATTTTACAACTGGAGGGACAGGCTGGCTCACCTGGGCATCAGCCAGCTGAACCGCAGGAAAACCTTGGTTGGCTTCTTCTACACCTGCTACATCATCCTGACTCATACTGTGCTGAGAAGGGGTCCCATCCAGAGTGTTCTGGTCACTAGACAGGACAGTGTTGAAATCGGAGGCTGAGGGTATTGTGGGAAGATTGGGTGCAACACCTAAATGGAAAAATGTTTGAGGATGAAATCTACAGTACTGGAAAATAAAAGACATAAAGGGGCATGGCAAAGTAAACTTACAAAGCCTGTATTGAATAGTATTACCAGACCATTTAAAGAGAAAAAAAATAGCACTTTTAGGTTATTTTATAGATGTGATTATTAAAAAGTGAAATTAAACTACATTCTTAGAAAATATCCATTGTCCTCATACATGAAATCCTCATGACAGCCAGTCAGCCCAGAATATAGACTTTTGCATTTGGAAGAGCCTCTGCCATCCCCTCAGCTGGACACCCAGAAGCAAAGGTGCAGAAAGCAGCTGGGCCACAGAAAGCAGCAGCAGGAGGCGGACTATCATGTCTCGCGTAGCACATTCAAACTTCCTCCTACTGAGGTGGAACGACAATAATTAGCACTTTCTTTTCTCTTTATCCCTTTCTTCTTTAACCCCCAGACAAAAGAAATGCTCCTTCCTGGCTTCCTGAAATGTAAACTCTATGCAACAGGGAAACCAGCCCCAGCAAAGTGCTGACAGCCGGTCAAGCACATTCTTCCATCTTCTTCAGCCAAGGCTGACGCTGAGGACTAAGGTGCAGTTAGAATTCATCACCTGCTCACCACTTCATTCCATGTTCAAAATGGTCCACATACCAGCAAGAAAAAGGACTAAGTAGTCATGTGTCAACCACTTTTCATAATTTTTATATTTTCTGTCTGAATAGAATTTACTAGATGTCCCAATAGCTGTTACCCAGATCAATTTTAGCTGCCCTCTATAACTAGAATCAAAGGCTACCTCACATATTCTTATTCTTAAAAAAATTATTTTTACTAAAAAACAAACATGTCTAGTAAATTTGAACACACACACACACAGAAGAGGAGTGGTGACTTCACTTTTACTTCAGGAGATAGCCACCAATCCTTCCTTGTGAATTACCTATTAGCCTTCTTGCTACTTATACATATTCTTTTAAAAATTAATAAACTGCTCTGATTCGTTTCCCTCCTTGAGGGCAAGAACCTTACATTATTCTTCTTAGTACTCCCTTAGATTTAAATATTTTAGTAACTACAAAGAGCATAAAAATACGAGTTATCATGTCCCAGAGAAATCTGAATAAACTGAAAACACTTTCTGTGTTGTAAGTATACGATGTTGTAATTATATTTTTTATTTAACTCCTTTTGGTGTTTTGAAATTAAACCAGCCACATTAAATGGAAGTTTTAAATTCTTTAAATTATAGACACTCTCATGTTTGACTTTCCACAGAAACACTGAATGACTGCTTATGACTCCATCAGCTGCTGGATTATCAAAGGCAGTTCATAAACGGGTCAGTTTCAACTAAAACAATACTTAAGCATTTGAGATTTTTTAAAATCATTTTCTGAAAAATAGGATTTTGCAATAACTTTATAGGTGCCCCTAAGATGATTAAGCAAAATAATGTGACAAGTCCATACCTGTTGGAAGACTGTTGTGTCCTGACTTTGTGACAGGAGATTCCTGCACGACGCTTCCTCGATTACCCACTGCATTGGACATCCAGTTATAGAAACTCACAGATGATGGCTCAGACAGTAAGGGATGTTCAGATAACATATCTGTAGCCATTGTATTTCCTGGAGGGAAAAAAAGTTTTACTGAGTATAATATTACTTACGTACTAAGGAGGAGAAAATGTGATTTATGTAATTTTTTTGAAAAGTCACATTAAAATACCTATATTTGCAGATGTTTTCAAATTCATAGTATGACATCTGTATGTGAATATTAAGGCACTAATCAATAACTTATTTATTACACCATGGGAAAATTCATTTTTGTCTGATCTTGACAGCAACCCACATCACACCTTGGTTGACAGTAATGTCAAATGCTACAATTTAAAAATGCAAACTAAGGGCAAGAAGATAGTAACCTGTTACAAAGGGAATTTTCCCAAAATACTCTCTCAGAGATGAGTTGCAATATGAAAGATTAGTTATGCATCCAAAGTATATATCTAAAAATCTTAAACCTTTTTTTTTTTTTATTCTCTCACAGAAATAAACTTGTAATTGTCACACCTGTTCTTGTCAGGGAGTTACTTTTCACAGCTGCACTGCTCCTTTGAGGAGTGCCCTCCAGGAGGTTGTGCAAGCTCGGGAAGCTCCCGGTCAGGTAGCTGAGCAGGCTCTCCTTCCGTGGACTCTCCTTCACTGGCATCCCAACACGGCCCACATGCACTGGAGAATCCGTGGCGGTGTCTCCACTGGTGTAGCTCAGGGAGTGGTATGGGTGGATGCCCTGCAGAGAAACCACATAGGCTCTTCCTTACACACACAAACGTGATGGCTTAGAAATACAATTGCTGTTACCCTTGCCATTACTGCTTGCTATGGTTCACACAATACTAAACAAAACAACAACATTGAAAACATAAAACAGCCTCACTCGAACTGTATATTGATCATGCATAATTATAAAATGATGAATATTCTCAATACTATATTTTACTAAATATTCAATAAATTTAAACGAGAGCCCTGGTAGTTAAAGTAGTCCTTATTCAACAATAATTACTATTGATGATATAATTTTCAAAGAAATGTGCATACTAAAGGTTACTAATCATGTTAATTTCAATATAAAATTTAATTAAACTGTGTTAATTTCAATTTAAATTTTTACTAAATTTAAATCTTTAGGGTAGATACCTAATAATTGAATTTGAGATGGCAAAAGTTAGGTATTCTCTGCAAGTCTAACACTAACTAAAGACAGTAATAATGAACCTTTATTTTTAACGCAGAGTCACTGTGGGTGTGAGTCTTGGAGAGTTTTCTCATTATCTCAGCACCAGTCACAGGCCCAGAGCCGCTGGGGGGAGGTCGGCTGGCTGTTCCTTCCAGCAGCATCGTGTGCTCGCTGACTGTGGCTGAAATCAGTGAAAAGAGTGAATGGGCCACAGATTGTCAGACACGTTCCTTAAGCATCAATTCCAGTGTTCCTGGTGGTGCACCTACTACACTCAGCCATAGATATTCCTTGGCAAGTTAATTGTGTAATCTTCTGTAATATTCATTCTTTTTTAAATTTTTATTTTACTCTTCCAATCCCAATCTTCTTACTCAGTCTCAGAAAAGAAATAAACAGCTTCTATTCAATCTCACATATGCCACCAAAAGAAACCAAAAACCAATTCAACTCAGCTCACGAAAGCACAGAATTTTCACAGAGTAATGCAGGCATTTGTAGATAATTAATTAGAAGGGATAGTTATTACAGTATTCTTTCAACTTTTGTACATATTTGAAATTTATCAAAATAAATAATAAATTCCAGCCTATTACTCATTAAACATTCATTCCTTAAATAAACTTACAAATGTTTGAAAACCAAAAAGAAAAACTGGGTAAAGTATTACATATCAACTAGAGGCCCAGTGCACAAAATTTGTGTATGGTAAGGTCCCTAGACCTGGCCAGTAATCAGGCCAATCGGGGCCTTCAGGCTGCCGGCCAGGACCTTCCTTTGTTCTGCACCACCCCCTGGTGGTCAGCACACATCAAAGAGAGTGATCAAACTCCCAGCCTCCCTGTCAATCTCCCCTGGGGACAATTTGCATTTTTAGCCCTTTATATATATATATAGATGTTCTGACAAAGCTCTAATTTTAAGACTGCTTTCTTTGCCCATGGTACTTTTAATATTTTTTCAAACTATCATAAAATAAATTACAATGAATAGAACATTTCATGATAATAAAAATTACACTTTGAAAAAGAATTAAAGTATATATATAGGGCGGGGCAAAAGTCGATACATGGCATTTATGCCTGCATTATTAATTTTCCATATAAACACCTACGACTCCTCTGTGTGCCCCACCTGTACACACTGTGAAACACTGGGGTACCGCCTATGTTCTGCACAGCCATCAGGCTGACAGAACTGAGGCTGAGCATAGGCCTCCAAACATTACATAAACTCAGGTCTGAAAAGGCACTGAGTAAAATTCAAAGGCTTCTTTAAAGGCACAGGGGAAATAGAGAGGCGTGACATCTCTGGTGGAAAAGTTTTCTATTATATTATAAAATGCCTGATGCCAAATCAGTTTGAGAAGAACATCTTTCTCACTGCTATGTACACATTTACTGTAATTACCATGGTATTATGTGTTACTGAGGATTTTGAGATCATATTTAGAAGACTATGCTTTCTAATTAAGCAGTGACCCAGAGGTTGATTAATTGCTATTATTCCACAGTTATTTATGAATTATTGTAATTTATTTTTACCTTATTTAGTAAGTACCTCAATATCAAACATAACTATTTATTCTTTAAATATAAAAATAATAATAAAATAAAGGCACAAGGCAAGATGATAAAGTGATAGATATAATTTTTAAATAGAGGTTAATGTGTTTATACAAAGTTACTATACAAAGATATCTGTTGTTTAGACTGGATAGGTTAGGAGAAAAAGCCTACTATATTTCACAAAATTAAACTTGAGAATTAAATCTGTATAAGATTCCAACATTACCACCATTTATTTGGACTAATAGAATTAAACCATGACAAATTACAATATCAAATTTGGGACACAGATTCTTAAAATTATGACATGTACTAGGTTATCAAGCGCATAATAACTAAAATATTTACAAAATTACCTGCATCAAATTCAAATTCTGCTCCATCAGCACTGGTATCACTTTGAAGACCACCTCCATTGTCCAGCCCAAAGCCATCTTCGTGTTCATGGTCCACAGCTGCTTGGGGCTTTAAGGGCTGAGTTGGCCGATGTAAGTTGACTCCTTTAAAGGTTGGTGTCACCACAATAAACTTCATCCACTGCCTTGCCAGGGCAACTAACCCTTTCTTTAAGGTTACCAAGGCAGGAAGTCCATCACCCTGTAACAACAATGATGTGGTTAGAAGTCACCTTACTATAATAATAACACTTACCATTTAAGTGCTCTGCATACATTTATTCATTTAACTCTCATAACCCCCACTGGGAAATGAGGAAACTAGAATTTATACATTAAGTAATTTGTCCAATGTTACACAAAAAAGTCAGTGTTTCAAGCTGACAACAGAACTCAATCTCTAGACCCAAGGTTGCTTCTCCTATCATGAAGAACACAGCAGCTTCAGGGAAATAAGACTAAATGCAGGTACAAGACTGGGGTTCTTCTGAAGAAGCATTCATAATCTTTATCTTTTTACCAATTGAAGAATCAAATGTATTTTGAACAACCTGAAATATTCATTAAGCAAAAAGGGAATGAAATTATTCCCTTCAGAGATTATTTTTAGCATAAAAAATAGTAAATTACTATAAGTAAATGCTGAATGTAGCTGGCTTTGTAACTGCTTTGAAAGTTAAATGTATTATTAACAATAATAAAATTTAGAATACAGTATATATGATTTCACATGATTTTGATTATAAGAAAGAAAACTTGGCTCTTTTTCCTATTACAGCTTTAGCCTGAGGAGAAAATATCCAACTCCTCTCCATCCCCTTCTCCTAAGATTCCGTGTTAGAAGAACCTTGTTTACTTTCTGCACCTGCCCTTTAATTCCCAGGCTCAAGTGGTCCTTCCTCTTAATGGAAAGCATACCTGGATCGAGTGCCCATGGAAATGAAGTCATTCTCTCTGTTCCCGTCTCTGCCTATGGTACCATGGGTAGGTTAGCCTCACACTGGGGACCTCCCAGTCCTCAACTCTGAGGTAACAGTAGAAACCAGAAACTCTACCAGCCTCAGGCCAAGTACCTTTTTTATATCCATGACTTACTGGAGATTCTGGCAATGCAGGTAAATAAGAGCTTGACTGGCCATTACCAATATGGATTCACTGACCACTAATTGGCTACAGATTCTCATGTATTCTCTATTGACCAGAGCTTGATGAGGAGAAGGAAGCTTCTCCAGTTCTATATCCCTAGCACTTCAACTTCTGAAGTGCTTTTCAAGGGGCAGAGATAGTCTATTTATTTTGTACAATTACATAACTTCTCCCCATCACAAATGAGTCCTTATTTTATTTAGCACTGCTATAAAATTTGACTCCAGTGATAACTCTCTTACTTGCAACTCACTATACTTTGGTTTCCAGACATTCTTTCCTGGCTCTCCTTTCCCTCCTCAGCACTGTGTACCTCCATCCACCCTCCCCACCCCTTTAATATTGGTATTCTTCTGGGATCCATCCTTTACCAGGTTCTTACTCAACCCTCCATCCCTAAAAGTCTCATCCACGTCAACAGCTTATAACACCTTCATGCTGTCAATTCCCAAATCGTTCAACTGAGCCTGCTGTTGTCTATTAGCCTGTATTTCTAACCATATTTCTCCTGTAGACTTTCCATATGCATCTCAAACTCTGTAGGTCAATGGTTCCTCAACAGAACAGAGGCAACTTCAGAGCTAACACATGGTTTCAGTCACTCACCATTGTAGCATCATCGATGATGGAGTAATTTGCCTGGTGCAGGTAGTGGTGGAGTATATTACACAGTAAACAAGAAGGGTTTTCTTGGAGAAAGCGGGCCAGTTTTGTAAGTCTGTTGTATTTACTTCTTAGGGGAAAATGCATACTTTTATTCTGAAACAAAGCAAAAATAACAGGCTTACAATGATGTATTGAAGACAGTACAAATGAAAGACACTCAGTCACTAAGTACTCATAAGTCAGATGTTTCCCAACAATGATAAATGATCAGTATCGTTTTCAATAAATTCTGTATCTTCATGTATTGTTGAAGACCTACCTCTAGCGCTTCAGTCATGATGCATCCCATCACAGCACAGAGTCTCAGAGTTCCCTCTGTTTCCAATTTGTTCAAAGACGACTTGAGCTGGTCAACGGGAACGAGCCATGCACCCACCGCAGGGGTCGCAGTGCTTAAGAGGTTTAGCTGCCTTCAGGTTTATTTTAGAAAATTATAAAAACAAGCGTCAAGATTTGTATTTCAAATGATCTTCCATATCTACTGTTCTTAGTAGCTATTTTATTTAGGCAAATTACTTTTCCTTTTGACAACCAGATAAATTATGAAGATATAACTTCATAATTCACGATATTCAAAGAACAAATAATAGAAAAGAAAAACTATTAAAAAGCTTATTAGAGGTGAAAAAAATAAGTTAATAGCAGGGTAACATGTGGAAGTAAAACTAAGCCTTAGAAAAGAAAAATGGTCAAACAAGCTGACAATAAGGTCAACAGAGAGTCTGAGGTAGGAAAGATGGGGAAGAGATGGCAGCCCTCATATTAGATATATCCAAAAAGTCATTTAAAACATGCATGAAACAGAACTGCATGCCATTTAAATAAATAAACACCAAGAGATAGTAGTATACTTTTCAGACTTTTTACCTAGAAAATGCATGAGTGGGAGACCTCACATTGGTGGGAGCTGCAAAACTAAACCAAATCTCTTGGATGGTCAGCTTCATACTGCAGGAATCGGGGGGTGGCGGCATAAGAGGCACATCTTTCTTCAAATCATCGGATTCAACTCCTTCATCCTATATAATAGAACACCCAAAAAGTTTTATTTAAGGGCATTAAGTTATTTTTTCCAGAGAAGGAAAGTGAAAGAAGGAGGTAACTTGCCAGAAGCCACACAACTCTTGAGCAGAGTGGGTGGTAGAATTAAGGACTTCTGCTTCCCACTGCAATCAATTTCCTTTTCCATTTAACGGAATATTTCAAACTTCCAAATAAAGAGCCATAATAAATAGTATTGTAACATTTTCAAATAAATAATGCTCTATAAAAATTCTTATGTTATCTTAAGCTATATTAAAAAATAGAAATATCTTTTAAATGTGTAATCACCACCCTGCAGGATGTAGGCAGGTAAGAAGCATGATATTAAAGAACAAACAAAGAAGTCTCCTGCCTTTTACATCTACTTCAAGTCTCTGATTCACTTTTAGATATCACTGGTCAAAATAAAGAAAAGACTGGCATTTTCTTGTGGGGTTATTAAGGAATGAAGAATACACACAAAACACCTTTGAGTCCTAAACGTTACAGAACAATGTGAACTATAGGCCCCAGTGATTTTTAAAATCAGCAGGCACTACATATAAGTCCACACTCCCTTTTTTGCAATTCTAAAATCCATGACATTCTGAAATAAGTCAGTCAAAGAAATATAAGTACCACATGATCTCACTCATATATGGAATCTAATGAACCAAATGAATTGATGATGATAAATAGACCCAGAGACATAGAAGCTTGAACAGACTGTTGAACCTCACAGGGAAGCCAGGGGAAGTTAGGTGGGAAGAGATCAACCAATGAACTTATATGCCTATATGCATAACCCTTGGACACAGACAATGGGGTGGTGAGGGTCTGGGGGAGGAAGATATGGGAGAGGGTTGGAAGAGGTTAATGGGGGGGGGGGGGGGGAGAGGACCTATGTAGTAATACTTTCAACAATAAAGATTTTAAAAAATAAAATCTAATATTTTTCTGTAAATGTGGCATCAAAACCTGTTCTGATCTGTTAAGAAGCTATTTACCCTACATCTGGTATTTTTATTAAAATTGCTGGCTGCAGAAACATTTAAGTATTTCAAGATAAAGCTACCTCAGATTCCATTGGGAGTCTATGCAACATATAGTACACATACATTACCAAGTTCTTACTGTGTGATAGACCCCGAGTTAAGCCTTTCCTATGTACTGTCTCCTCCAATCTTCACAACTTTAGAAGAGTAATGTCCTTACAATACTCCTTTACAGATTAAGAAACATGGGAGACGGAAAATAATTTACCCCAGGCACCAATCAGTGACTCAACTCCTTAGTAATCTAGAATTTTAAATATTTTCATTATTGCTGTTCCTATTCATCACTATGAAATTCTACCCTAATAAAAATAATAAATGAGTGACATTAAAGGTATTCTTCAAGACCCTAACTGAAATTGGCAGATATTGATAAAAATGTTAAGAACTTACATAAAATACTACCAGTAACAAAACTAATTATTTAAAAAATGATTCTGCTAAAATAATTCAAACAACATAAAAACAAAGCCTGCTTTTTTGAAATTCTATTAATTCATTAATTTAGCAGATGTTTTAAGTGCCTAATATGAACACAGTATTATGCTAGGAACTATGATAGACATAAATATATATAGAAAATTATATATTTATAAAATTATATATAAACAAAAAAATTATACTCTAGTAGAAGTGTAATCATCACAATGCCTTGACTTAAGCAGAATCCAAACTACAAAAAGACAAGCAAATATACTTCAGAAGTTAATTTTGAGTTGGTACATCATTTTCTAAGTTATGTTTCCAAAGCATTATTATTAGAAACCTGCTCATGTTTCCAAAGCATTATTACCAACCTGCTCATCGGAAACAGAATTTCCATTTAAGTCTGAAGAAGGGCTTGTTCGGTCACAAGGAAGATTATCATCAGAGACATCGGTGTTATAGCCACTGCCAGTCGGAGAATCGGAAGAATTATTGGATGTCAGCACTCCACCCCCCTCTGAGACACTAGCTTTGCCCATCGTTCCAAAAGCATTATACAAAACAGCACCAGACTGTCTTCCTCCTATACAAATATGAGAATGTATTTATTAAAACACTCAGTATCTCAGTGATGTACTCTAGCGTATCCATAAAGATAAAAATTAAAATCTCACAAAGATCTCTTTTATTCTCACCAAAACTTGCCCTTATCTATAAAAGTGATATAAGATTAGATTATCAGACAAACAATTGTAGGTATATACAACTATTATATAGGACTAAATCTAAAATTCTTATACACAAGTCAGCCTTCATATTTTAATATATTACTCAATAATCTATAAGAAAACATACATAATTGTAAGTAAGACTCTGTCTCACTGAATAAAGGATTTGAAATATTTTCATCCTAAATGGCAAAGCTCTGCTAATCAAAGATCCACTTTCCAAAGACACAAGCTTTCAAAAGCTGGGTGGCTTTGACTTGAGCCAAGATTGCTCTACTCAGACACTGTGGTTTTACATGTCTAGATACTCTGCTAGTTTTGGATCACACAAAGGAGGAATCGGGATGGGGCATCAACCCTGGTAAATAATCCCAGCTACCACACTTTCAGCTTGAATATGCTGATTCAGTTATTGAAAGTCATGAGTCTAAAACATTTCAGCAATGTGGGGTCAATTTGTCCCCACTTAAGCAGAATTATTTTTTTAAAAACCCACCTTTTATGGTTAAATTTTCAAGACCACATTCAAACATTATCCAACCCCATTTTTCTTGGCTGGGACCCATTCGCGTTATATCTGGAATAGCTTGCTGGTCAGTCTCATCCACAAAAGCAAACTCATCCAGCTCTTCTAGAGTAAATAAGACTTTGGACTTCTCAAAAGGAATCGCAGTGATGGCACAGGTGCCGATATCTATTACCAAAAAAGAACAAAACCACCACTTTTAAAAATAGAGGTTTTATATATTTTTAAAACCAACAATGTAAACATCAGCTTCATAATAAACTATTTTTAAATACTTTCTCATCATTTTATTTAAAAATTATTTTAATTATCCAGCTTTAAAAAAACATTATTTTCTAATATAAAAACAGCATTTACTAAAAATTGGCTTTATGCTAACATATTCTACATAACTACAACTGATCACAGTCATTACAGTATTTTACTGCTTACAATATACAATATAGAAATGAACATCCCAAGATCCTGGCATTTTTTTTCTTACTTCCTACCTTACTTTTTAAAAGTTCTCTGATTATAGTTAATGAATACAGAAACACAAAACAAAAAAGATTAAAAAAAAAAAAAAAACACGTAAATTTATTATTCAGAGATGACTGGCTTATTACATTTGGAGTAAGTTTCCTTCTAGCTATTTAGAGTTCATTTTACAAATCCAGCTTTGTTCCCAATTTTCATGCAATAGTAACCATGATAATTTCCTCAAGTCATTACAAATTATTATTGTTAAAATTATTGTTTCAATAGCTATAAAATATTCCATCAGAAAAATACTATACTTTACATTTATCTTTTATCTGTCTTATAAGACAAATTTTAGAGAGGAGCAGTTTAACATTGGAAGGGTTTCTAGTTCTGCTCAGAGTTAGAAATTAAAGTAATGGCACAAACAATTAATACTATAAATCAGATCTTAAAGCAAAAAAAAAAGGGGGGGGGAGAAGGATTGTTATGTGTTAAATTTTTTTAATTACAACGCAGAGGGTTGCACAGCAGCCGAAAGGCATCAGATCTCCAGTGCAATTGCCTCTGCCGAGTTAGCCCAGTGGAAGGATGCACAAACCAGACAAGAGTTTTACCAGATCCAGTAATAATAAGGGGAAGAGGTTGTGTTTTGTCTCTTTTCAGAAGGACAAGCACAGCCAATTTGGGCGCCAGAGCATTACGTGCGTCACCACAATGGACCTAGAGAAGCTCCTTGTCCCTTCATTCAAAAGACAGAGCTGCCCCAATGACAGCAAAGAAGAAGAAAACAAAGACTACACAAGGGGCCAAGGGGCCAACATGGGGTCAGCTAAAGAAGTTAACGCCTGAGGCCCAGCAGATGGTAGAAAAGCAAGAAGTAGAAGCTACTCCTCAACCATGTTTCTGGTTCTGCTAGCATTGGTTAGCTGCCAGTCTTCTGTTAAGTCTTGCACAGTCAAGTCTGAGGACTGAGTAAATATATACCAGCAGCAAATGAAACTTTTGTTTTGTAGTTAAACATGTTAACATGTCAATAGATTGATTTCTCTCTTATTGCTGTTTTGCATTGGTATTATTTTGTTATTGATCTAATAGAGCTCTGTTCTTGATGTTTAAGTTTTACTGTAGTAGCTTAAAAACAAAAAAGGGGAGATATAGGGAGCGGCTCTAGGATTAAGTGTTGGACTGACCTGTGGCCGGGTTACAAACAAGTCCAAGCTTGGAGGGCTGAGCCCTCTTAGCTTAATTAAGCTTAACCTTATTGTCTTCCCTAGTTCCTTCCTAGGTAGCTAATGGGCTGTGGGCAGTGCAGCAAGTGCTGCCAAAACAAGGTGAAACTCATAAGAACATTGTAAACAGGCATGGGAGATCCACCAAGCCCCAGCTATATTCTCTTGTCTGTCTTTTCTTTAATCCTTCACCACCCCTCCTCAGGCTCACTGAACCCTTGGCTGTGCTGGCACGGCAAAAATAAAGTTGTGCCAACAGAACAATTTTAAAAAGTGAGAAAGACTATAAAGACCAGACTCTCTAATGAGCAGCAGACATAATGAAGAAATCAGATGGGTTCCTAATTTGGGGCCATATCACTTACTTCCTTACCAAAGTTTACCTTCTGTTATGCATAGAATGTGAATAAGGAATAAATACTATGTGTTTAATATATTGCAGAAATACTTTTCTTTTAAACTACTAAAGTTGTAGCAATATTCAAAGAAAAAATGTTTCTTTTTTGCAAAATCCTCTTATATTTTATATATGCCACAGAAAAAATATTTGTTGTAAAATTCTACCTTTTGTATCAAGACCCCTGAGTTGCCCATGAACTCGATGAATGTTTAACTTGGCAGCAATTTCTTTGCCTTTTTCTGCTCCAGTGTTCGATCTGAGAGATCCAGACGACTGTGGCTGCATTTTAGAGGCGTGGACGTATCTATCAAACTGTGATGTCCGACCAGGTTCAGTGTTGTTTGAAATCTCTTCAACCACACCTCTTTACAGAAAAGAAAGAGAATATGATTAACATTTAAACAACATTTAAACAGTTCAGGAACAAAACTGAACTAATAAGTAGCTTAAAAAAAAATTCCAGTCTGGTCGGTATGGCTCAGTGATTGAGCATCAACCTATGAACCAGGAGGTCATAATTCGGTTCCTGGTCAGGGCACGTCCAGGTTGTAGGTTTGATCCCCAAACCTACAACCAAAGATTCTCTTTGGAGGCAGTCTACCAAAGATTCTCTCTCATCATTGATATTTCTAGCCCTCTCTCCCTTTCCCTTTTTCTCTCTGAAATCAATAAAAAACATATTTTAGAATAACCAAAACATTCCATTGCTTTAATTAAACCAATATTCATAACAAATTGTTCAGTGTTTACTAAAATATAGTATAAATAAAAACAGTACAAACTTTCAAATATCTATAAAATGAGATTTGAAATTCCAATACCAGTTTTGAGTTTTAACATCAGAATTTTCAGAAATGTATTAAGATGATTAAGGCTTGCTTTTCCATCAAGGAGTGAGATAGTAATGGCTCAAACTAATGAAATCTTTCTTACCTGTTCATACGAACTTGTGTAGCAATTCTGTCAAAACACAATGCAACCAGGGACATGTGAGTAATGCTTCTACTGGAAGCTGTACTTGGAGATTCTTCCACTGAGGCTTGTAACAAACATAAGTTTATCTAACACAGAAAATGGCATAAATGTCATTGAAAAGTAAAAATTATCAAACATATAAGATACACACAAAAAATGGCAAAACTACTGTTAAGAATAGCGTATCTAAGTGTCTGAGAGTTATGAAGACAAAGATTATATAGAATCTCATAATTGGAATTAAAATTTTACTGGATGAATTTGGAATATTTTAGTATAACACCCAATATTCTATTTAAGTAAACTTATTTATATTACATTAATTTTTACATTCAATCATCAAGGGAATAAGATACATGTTTTTTATATTCCACCACCATTAATTTAGTAAATACAAAGAGTAAAACTACCAAAATGTACTCCTCTATCAGGAAAAATTTTTTAAATACTAAATTGTTACCTTTGGTATGCTGATGTTAGCCTGAAGACCTTTAATTGTCACATTATCTTGCTTCATGATAAGATCTGTCTGTGCTTGTCCTTGATTAGTCGTTCCTATAACAGTGTGCTCAGTTTTTGTTCCTCTAACATCTTGTTTGGAAGATAACTAAAAAGAGTGCAAGAAAAATTATTATTTCACAAACATTTCATAATTTCCACATCATCTGCAATGCTCCTTTATGTCCATGGGTATGCTAACTGCCATTGGGTTAGCACCCCTAGTAGTCTTAAAGTCCAAAACAGGTTGGCAACTTCAGGGCTGAGAGAAGTGATACATACTCAAGTGAAATCAGCCTACAGAGAAACAGAAAAATGGTGATAATAATAATAATGGGTATATTTTATGATTGCTAAATTCTACTTATTTGAGGGCAGATTTGGTTCCTTATAACTGATTCCTTGTTGGCTGAGAAAATTTTCAATTTTCTTTTGATCTGTACTCCTCTACTCTAACTACCAATATATTTTGAATAAGTGGATCATTAAAAATTATCAGCCTCACTTGCACTTTGCCTCTGGGCCCTGGTCCAAATATGACCCAGATAAATTTGAAAGTGTAGCGGAAAGTCACCAGAAGAGCATTAGAAAGTGACTACTAGCCCAAGCCGGTTTGGCTCAGTGGAAGAGCGTCGGCCTGGGGACTGAAGGGTCCCGGGTTCGATTCCGGTCAAGGGCATGTACATTGGTTGTGGGCACATCCCCAGTGGGGGGTGTGCAGGAGGCAGCTGGTTGATGTTTCTCTCTCATCGATGTTTCTGACTCTCTATCCCTCTCAATTCCTCTCTGTGTAAAATCAATAAAATATAAAATATAAAAAATAAAAAAAAAGAAAGTGACTACTAAAAAATGGCTTCGTGCTTGGATCACAGCATAAATGGAATACTACACACCAGAGGGCAGTGACTTGAGTCATTGAAATGAACAAAAATAATCTCAAAAATATTAGGAAACAAGTTATCTAATCATAGAGAAAAGTCAAAATAATATGCAGCTTGCTTTCTTAGAAAACAAATGCACCAGTCCTAGAGAGCACTTGTTCACTTGGGACCAACACTCTTTAAGGAAGGCCTGATATTACGCTTTCTGAAATAAAAGAAAAAATAAAGCCACATTTTAATAAATAATTGATTACTATTTAATCCAAAGTATAGTTCTATATGCAATCTCTTATGGAGCCACTGACATATAAAGACTGTTTAGAAATGTCCATATGTTCCAATTTAAATGACTAACAAAATTTTAATACATTCCATTTTTTCAAGTTTGAATATTATGTGAACATGAAGAATATTCAGTTTTCCATACTTTACTGGGTAAAATATTCTTACATTTTCTGAGAAGGTAGTCCTGCTATTTTGCATAGCTTCCCTGAGGACCTTGGCATGAAGGTCATCCACAATTGCAGCTGGATGGCGGGTGTGAGCATAATGAACCATTGCTTCAATATATCTGCAGGAGAAGAAACAGAAAATGAGAAACTTTAGTTTACTGAATCTTCCATTACATTACATTCTAGAGTTTACTCATGTTCATTTTATCTCCCTAAATAAACTAGATAGTAGTAATAATATCAAACATAATAATTAGTTACTGGGTATTTGATCATTTTATGCTCAACAGACCAAAAGCAAAAAAAAATGAAAACTATAATGCAATATTCTATCTAATAAAGAGGGAATTATCATTCTATCTAATAAAGAGGGAATTATCTGCTTGAGAGAAGGCCCTCACATTGGCCTTCTCTCAAGCAGAGAGAAGTTAAGCAATTGGTTTTATCACACAGTTATAAGTGTCAGAATTAGGGCTGACCACAAAATGTACAAGCCAGATTCATGCATGTCATCACTGCATCATCCTATTTTTTCAGTGTTAGAGTAGCCTTGCCAGGTTTTAATTTTTAAATCACATAGATAGCGGTGCCCACAGCCAGTAAAGAGGAAATACGCTAATTGACTGCCCCACCCTCAAAGATGGTGGCATCCACATCCAATAAGGAGGAAATATGCTAATCAATTGCCCTGCCCTTAAAGATGGCAGCACCCATAGCCACAAGATGCACCCAGTTCTCTCAGCCCCTGCGCCTCCAGAGCCCCCCTGTCTCCTCAGCCCCCCAGCTGCTCAGGGCCGCCCTAGGCTCAGGTAACCAGGGTCAGATGAGGTTTTTGATACTGGCAATTGCAGCAGCAGAGCTGTGATAGAGCGTTATCTTCCCCTGATTGCCAGGTCGCCTCCCACTCCTGAGGCTCCCAGACTGTGAGAGGGGCAGACCAGGCTGAGCGACACCCTTGAAGTGCAGAAATTTTCATGTACCAGGCCTCTAGTAATTCTTATAATACTGCAATATAATTATTTGAACTGATAAATAACAAATGATAACTAAATGAAACACAGACATTTTAAAACATATCTTCATTTTTGTTCAATCAAATAGCCATCATCAACATTCTTCTTTATGAACATACTAGAGGCCCAGTACACTAAATTCATGCATGAGGAGAAGAGGTTCCTTCAGCCTGCCCTGTGCCCTCTTAAAATCGGGGACCCCAAGGGGAATATCGGGCCTAAATTGGCAGTTGGACATCCCTCTCGCAAGCTGGGATGCTACATGTACCAGTGATCATACTTTTCATTCGCTGAAAGGCATCTTGCTATTGTACAGGCAGCTACATTTTTGCCCTGATTATAAAAAGTAGTACATAGCATGATTCTTATGATTCAGTAATACTATTTCCTCCATCTTATAGGTGGAAAAACTGAAGCAGAGAAAAGTTAAGCAATTGGTTTTATCACACAGTTATAAGTGTCAGAATTAGGGCTGACCACAAAATGTACAAGCCAGATTCATGCATGTCATCACTGCATCATCCTATTTTTTCAGTGTTAGAGTAGCCTTGCCAGGTTTTAATTTTTAAATCTAAGGGACTAGCCAAAACCGGTTTGGCTCCATGGATAGAGCGTCAGCCTGCAGACGGAAGGGTCCCGGGTTCAATTCCGGTCAAGGCATATGCCTTGGTTGCGGGCACGTCCCCAGTAGGGGGTGTGCAAGAGGCAGCTGATCGATGATTCTCTCTCATCGATGTTTTTAGCTCTCTGTCCCTCTCTCTTCCTCTCTGTGAAAAATAAATAAAATATATTTTTTTAAAAACAAAAAAACCTAAAGTGTTTAAAAAAAAAAATATATATATATATATTTGACTATTCCCTATATATAGGGTAGGGTCCCTAGGCCTGACTGGCAATCAGGGCCATCTGTGGGGCAACTGGCAGGCAGGGCGATGAGGGCCCCCCTCCCCTCCCCCCCCCCCCCGGCACCCACCTTGACTGGTGGCCTGGTACTGCCTGCCCGCTGGCCCCTCCCCGCCCTTGTTGCCTCTCTCTCAGGGAGCAATGTGCATCATAGTGACCAGTCGTTCTGCTGGTTTTTCCATCATTTAGTCGATTTGCATGTTAGAGTTTTATCATATAGGATATTACTTATACTAATTATAATATAACATATATTTGTCATTTTATCAAATAATAATTATAGTTTTAGACAAAAATCAATACCTGTCTAAAGCTTCAGCCACCAGGGGAGTTAGAACAATGTCAATAGTTCCTTTGACCTCAACTATGGCTGTTGTCCTGGTCTGAGAGATGGGCTGATCCAGGGTCCACTCTTCCTTTACTGTTTCATCATCTGTGCTATCAACAGCTCTCTTTTCCAAAGGAGTATATGGTGTTCTGTGCAATGTAACCAGCAAAGTACATATTACAAAGACCATGAAAAATAGCAGGAGTTGGAGCTTCCTTAAGATGAGTGATTGCTTAAACCTACATTTATTTCAACTGAAAATTTCATGGAACTGGACTAGACATTTCTTCTCCCAAATACTTTTCAAAGACAGAACAATGAAATACTAAAGTAAAAATTGATCAAGGATGGTTAATATATCAAGTGTGTGTGTGGAGGGGAGAGGTAAAGGGGAGGGGGCTGTATTATATGATGGAGCTTTTCCAAACAAGAAAACTTCAGTTCTGAATTCTTACTAGTTTCTAACCTTGTTATGCCAGTGATCGCTTGCATAGTATGCTAAAAGAAATGCCACTGACTGCTCATAATGTAGGCAAAGCCATCACAGACAACGTGATAAATTGTGGTAATTTATTCATAAAGTTTATAGTCAATTAAAGAATGATTATTCTTTAGAATAAACTTTATGTATATTATAATCAAGAAAAACACTTTAAAAAGAATATAATTTTTACTTACTTTGAAGTTGATCCCGAAAGTTGCATTCCTCTGTCTAGTAAAGAATTAGCTGTAAGCCCCTGTTTGATAACCTAAAATATAAAATTTTGCTTATAGAGTAGAATTTTAATATTAATTATCCTCTAATTTTATGCTATAGACTGATTATTTGTAAATATCCAGATTACCTTGTTAATATGATTTTCACAGATATAATATAAATATTCCACAAATTGGAAAAAAAATCATAGAAAATATTTATTTGGAACTTTCATTTTCAGTTTATTCAGACAAATGCCAGGGCAGGGCTGCAGAACTCAGCAGTGAGAGTAAAAAGCTATGACAAAGAAAACACTTGCGAGTGCTTCCAAATCTGACGTCTAGAGCACCATTTACACTGAGCTTAATTTTAAACTAATTCATGCACTGGGCCTCTAACTCTCTTATAAATGTATAATTTTATAAAATAGTTTTCATATTGACTATTGTTACTACATTTACTTTAACTTATTTTAACTCTTCTTTAAAAAATCATTTAAATAATACACTACAGAAGTGGCCAATAGCCAGTCATACTAAATTATAAGACATCAAATTTCAAGTGAGTGGAACTGAATTTGCAGAAAAGCAGTTATGGATTAGTACACCAACTATCAAATAAATTTAAAAATTTATTTTTAAGACACAGAAAATACGAATTCACAGAGACTTGATCCTAATCTTAAGAGTACAGTATTATAGAAACTATTACATTTATTGACTAACATTGTGACTATCAAGTCTAACCATTCCTCAATTTTATATGCTGCACTTTATAATTCCCACCACTAACCCTGAGACTTACTATCATTCATGAAAGGTAGCTAAAATGACTAATTTCAGAAAGGTAGCTAAAATGACTAATTATAAAAACATCTACAAAATACATTTTTCTAAATAAATATATCAGTGTAGAAAGTAATTATTTGATTTATACCTTAAAAGTTGGAACAGAGAACTGTTCACATGATGATGAACTTTCTTCACTGGTGGGTGTATCCAGATCAAGGGGCCGATGCAGGGAAGACTTGGAGGTCCTTTTGTGGGTTGGGTGCTTCACTGACCAGTTAACCACCTGGAATTGAGTAAGGTAAGTCTGATAGCAACTCATCACTGGTTGCTGAGAAGTGATCTGCTCGCTCTCTACTGTTTTTTCACCCTCTACAATATACAGATGTTCTATAACATCATCTTCACCACCTAGTGCAGAAACAAATGAAGCCTGGGAAGGGTGAGTTTTGAATGGCAGAGTTCGGGGATCCTGAATGCTTTCTCCATGGCCAGTGAGAGGTCCCTCGATACTGTGATAAATGGAACCCCTACTGTAATCAATCTGCTGAGTCTGCTTTTTCTTCTTTTTTCTACCTGGATAGGTCCCAGGGCCTTCGTCACTGCTAATGGGCTCAAATTCTTCAGCAGCAGAAAAGTAGGCTTCACTGTCAGCCATTGACATGCTGGAATCCATTGATCGATATTGATGGAATGAATTAGAGTCCGCTGATGGTGTGTATGGAAAGGAGCCGAAACTTCTTCTCTGCTTTGGTGAGTCCAATACATTCTCATCACTTCGGGAAACATCACTACTAAACTGGACTCCAACTGTGACTGGCTGTTTGTCCCCATAAAAAGCTGCAGTCAGGCTCTTGGTACTTCCAAGTCGGGTGGAACATACTGAGGCTTGTCGTTTCAAGGGAGACCGCAGAGGGGATTGACCTACTGACTTATCCTGATTATTAGGAGACACGGGGCTATTTCCTGAAATTTCTGTAGGAACACTAAAATAGAAAACAAAGCTATTATCCATTACTGTATATCATATCATTTACTCTAAATATAAAGAAAAGTACTTATAAAATCCTTTTAGTAATTTTAATCATTTCTTTTACAAACAAATGAAAATCTAAAATTTTATAATAAACTAGCCATACAAAGTATCAAAACAATACAATGTGTTCATATCCCATACAGTTCCCAAAAATGAGGAAGCTTAAAACAAAAGCAACAATAAAACTTAAAGAAACTCATGAATATTATCTATTCATAATCCATGAAAACTATTCATTAGATGATGTTATTTTTTTCAAATCCTTTAAAAGAGTGTCCAAGAAAATGCAACAGAGACCTTTGATTAACTGAGAGAACTTGAGAGAAAAAAGTCAAATAATCCCAATACTTTGGCAACTGATGTAGAGGTGCCATTTACTAAAGCAAAGCAAGCTGACCATGATAAGACCATATGCTAAGCTTGAGGTTACTGTGTAATATCCAAGCAGATATATCAAGAAGGTAACTGGGCTTGGAGAGACAAAGGCTTTGCCTGGAGTTTAAACATGGTAGCTACAGATCATAATTGAAGCCAAACAGAAAGACCATCTGGGGAGACAGTATGAAGAATGGAAAAAAGGGCCCAGAGTTATGAGGGATATCAACATTTCATAAATGGCCACTGTAAGAGGAAGAAAAAGAAGGGAGGAAAAAAATGGAAGACGTGGAAACAGAGCCTGAGAAGGACTAGCTGAGGAGAATGGGGAGAACCTAAAATGTGCTATCAAGTCAAGAAGAAAGTATGTTTCAGAAAATGAGGAGTCAACCATTATAGAAAGAGAAGGTCAAAATATTCACCAGTCTAGGATAATGCCCAAAGGTTAACAAGAGTTCACTCTGAGAGATCGAATGACAAGAAATATTGTCATTATGCTTTTCTGTATTTACCTAATATCTGTAATGAATACTTATGTTCTACTTTTATAACCAAAGAGACAACAGCAAATGGACATTTAAAAACATGTTCAAGAGGAGAAAAACATTTTCTACAGTGGGTAAGAGAAAAAAAGTTTTTCTGGTCACAATTTGAAGTAATTATAATCCCATTGTGAGCAGGTTCCCGCATCTACTTGGTAACTGACCTCACTGGGCCATCATCTCTTTTCATTCCATGCAGGAATTCCTTCTGAGGCACAAGGTCATCGGCCACAGAAGAGGGGCTTTCCTTGTCCGCAGCCAGTAAAGGCTGGGCCGCACTGGAGCTACTGTTGTCATCTGAGGACGAGGACGAGCTGTGACAGCGCATGGGGACCTGCAGGCTCAGGTGCTGAGTCTTCCTCTCCACTTCCAATCCTCCTGATTTATTCTCCCATTCTTTCCTCTTCATGCTGGTCATATGACCTACACCAACCAACAAAAGCAGGTTATGTGAACATAGTAATTTCAAAAGCAATTTATGAATAACCTGGAAACTTAATTCAATTTCTTGTTTTTAAGTATAATGATTTTTTTAAAAGCACAAGTATATAATTTCCCAAAGCAAAGTATCTAAGTGTGGATCCAGAATCCAAAGACAGTGAATTTTTATCTTCTTTACTTTGGAAAATTTTCAAACTTACAGAAAACTTTCAAGAATAAGCTCAAAGCCATCATATATCTTTTACTTGGATTTTTCCTATTTTAAACGTTTGTCCCATTTACTCTATTTACATATAATATACATAATACTTCTTGAACCCTTGGAGAGAAATTTGCAGACATTGTGGTCTTTTAACTTAGATGCTCAAGAGCTTATTTCCAAAGGGTAATATATAATCCTCATATAGTTACTGACTTAACAATTTAGTATTCATAGAGATTACTACCGCATGCTTTCTAATTTTCTCAGCTACCCAATAAGGCCCTTTAGAGCATTCTGTCCCCTCAGTATAGGATCCAATCTAGGATTGTACATGATTGCATTTGGTTACCATGTTTTACCTGGAACACATCCTCAGGTCTGTGATAAGAGCCTTATGAAGTTATGTGATGGGGAGAGGCTGATTCTAGCTTCTGCTCAGGCATGTATGTGGCTATATGACTTCATGTACCTTAGTCTCAGTGATGAAACTCAGTTTATTCACTATAAACTGGGATGATATACAACTCATATGGCAGTTTGGGGATTAAGTGAGAAAATGCCTTTGTAAATCTTTAAAAACAAGCATTATTCAAATGTACATAGATAATAGTACAAGAAGACGATTTAACTGAAGGTAAATTGTACTTAACAACTTTCTTTCCTTTCCATGTCAAGAAGTTTTGATGTTTGCCGATTTTATAAGATAATCTGCTTTTATAAGCCAAACTGCTGAAGTCAAACAACCTTAAAATAATGTGTACACACTTCTATCTTATTATTCAGTGAAAAGTCACTTAAACAGAAATTAGGCATCTGTAGATATGTAGTCCAGCTCTTTCCACTAAGGCAGTGTTAACTTAAAGGTTTTGAATGAACAAAGGAAAAAAGACTAAATATTGGTGAAAAATCAAGACTTTTTTACATTTCATTTGTTGACAGCATAGGAACTTAAGCAATAATTACTACCCTTAATTGTAGGAACATACAACTAAGAAACCCAGAGGAAAATCAATTTCTGAAGTCTTTAGAGCAAAGATACAAGATAAATCTAAATCTAATATCTAGTGAATACACCATTCACTGCTCAGATCAAACGCCTATATTTGCAGTTATCCTACAGAGGCTATGGAAAGACCATACTTCTCTTCTTGACTATGTTTAATTTTAGAGATAAAAATATTTTGCCAATATAATTGATAATAGGGAACCAATGGTATAAATATTACTATTGCTAACTTTTTCCATTGAAGTGAACTGGTAAAACCACCATTACTTTAAAACATAACTATTCCTGCCAAAATCGGTTTGGCTCAGTGGATAAGAGTGTCAGCCTGCAGACAGAAGGGTTCCGGGTTCGATTCCGGTCAAGGGCATGTACCTTAGTTGCGAGCACATCCCCAGTGGGGGGTGTGCAGGAGGCAGCTGATAGATGACTTTCTCTCAACGATGTTTCTAGCTCTCTATTCCTCTCCCTTACTCTCTGTAAAAAATCAATAAAATAAAAAGAAATAAAAAATAAAAAAACATAACTATTCCTAAGTATATCTCTGGAAGCTGGCTTCCAGGAAAATGATGACATAAAAGGAAATATTTAGAATAAGTCTGGATGAATAGTGGACCTACTTTTGCCTTGCATAAATCTGAAAAACTCACATCATATCTGGCTTTAGTTAAAACACCTGCAAAACAAGGCAGGTTATGAAATCCTACCTCTGAGATGACTCAAAAAATTGAATTAAACACATAACAGTGAACTCCTCTCAAATGGCATAGGGATAAAGATGAAAAATATTAGCACATTTCATTACCATCTACCATTTTGGGAATTTCCTTGGTAATAATCCATTCTCCAGGCTGTAACAGAGACTGTCCGTAGTACATGTCCGACTCTGCACTTGTGCTTGAAAATGCAGAGCTACTGGATGGTGTCAACTCTTCAAGCCTGAAGAAATCTAGGCCAGTCACTGTGCCACCAAAGAATCTGCAGCCACCGAGACAGCCACATTTGTGCCTGCACCTCTTATTCCTTAGAGTGTCATCAGGCCACAAAAACCACAGCCTGAACAGAATCCCAAACAAAAAAAATGAGAAACAACAATGGAACAAAAACTCATTAAGAACAGAAAAAATTTTTGGCAAATAATTAGTTACACATAAGTTAATTATTAATATTTGTAAAAAACATGATAAATACAAAAGTTCCTTTTTACTGAGATATGTCTTTTTAATCATTCTGCCATTTTAAACAAACAAACAATAGTCTCACCGTGGTGAGATGGAAATAAGCAGAAACAATAAGAGACACATAGCACACATTAAAATAAACCAAAGTGCTAAGAAGCAGCAAATATAAAAATAATTTAAATCCAGTTTTAAAAAAATACAGTAAATATTCTCAAAAGGACTAAAAATTTTTAAATTTAATCTAAAAAATAGACAAAACCATTAGTATAGATTATGTTTAATAGATTTGGGCATCTCACAGCCTATTTCACATGGCAAATTTAATACACCCAAAATATTATAAATATGGGCAAAGTAAAAAATAATTTCTTAATCAAATCAAAATAATGCTCTATTTTAGAGGGGGGAAAAAATTACAAATATTTTGTAATTAGTACTCTAAATAAAGTATTAAGAACTGAGATAATATGGCCTGGCTAGGTGTAGCTCTGTGGTTGAGTATCATATGAACCAGAAGGTCACCGTTTGATTCCCAATCAGGGCACATGCCCAGTTTGCAGGTTCAATCACCAGTGTGGGCATCCCCAGGAAGCAGCCGATCAATGATTCTCTCTCATTATTGTTGTTTCTATCTTTCTACCCCTCTCCCTTCCTCTCTGAAACCAATAAAAATATTATTTTTAAAAAGAAACTATACTTTTCAGAAAACACTAATAAACTAATGGCCTACATGGTCAATAACTTTTCTGGTTATATCAGAAATTAATACACATGTTCCCAAAACTCCATGGAAACAAATATCCACAAAGGCACCCAAAGTTGAAGGTCAATGATTTATCATGTAGGGATACAATCATATTAGGTCTTTTACTTAATTAGTATTACTTAAATATTCTAATTCAATTTCTAACAGTAAAACTCCTCTATAATTATCTGGCAATTTTCATCTTAAATTTCACTTACCTCTTAGTTCTGGCATCGTGAATTTCTAAGAAATGTCTCTGGGCCTCATGTTTAGAATGATGATCAGCTGCCAGTGCAATATCAACAGTGATTAGTCCTAAGGTAGCTGAGCCAGCTTCTAGCCAATAGGCCCTTCGCAGAATTGCAGGCTGGAGCCCAGCTCTGGGGTTATTCAGCTGTTCGATATACTGTCTCACTTGGAAGTCCTGAATTGCTGCACTTATCCCTTCCCCAACCGATTGGTTGTGGAGATTACAGTTTGCAACCCGGATTGCCCCCATCTAAAGTTGAATGAAGAAAATGGAACAAAATTCTAGTTTCTGTATTTTTTTAGCAACTTAGAATAAACCACATATAATAGGTAATTATTTCAAGTTGCAAAAAATAGAAAGGGAAAGGAAAAAGGGGGAAAGAGCAATAGCAAAAATAAATGTAACAGAATAAAAACATTCAATTTAAGAAAAGGATAAAAGGAGCATAGAACATAGTCCAAAGAAAAACAAGAGAAGGAAGAAAGAAAGCTAGAATAATAAGTAATAAAATCTTAACAAAGCTTGATTTTAAACAATAATGCACAAAGCAGAGGTGGTAAACAAATGTTTTCTGGCTCCAGGCAGGAATCATAATGTATAAAACCTGTAAGAATTCAAAATCCAATATTTTAAAAACATTATCAGTTCACTTCCCTGCCATAAAAGCAAGCTATTATATCTATATCTCTGCCACAAAGTAATGTTATAATAATGCAATTAGAGTGAAATAGTAGAAAAGTATCCCTTTTAAAAGTAATCCTGGAAGAGACCATTAATGAGTTGAAAACAGCAATCTCCTAGAATTCTATAGTATAATATTTGGTCAGATGGCAAATTATAAATGTGTGTTGTATTTCAAGAAATAGAGGTCTGATTTGATAAAAAGGAAAAAGAACTACACTGGCCAAGAAACAGACAAACATGTACCTTTATATTTGTAGCACAACCATGCTCCACAATATAAATATCAGCTCCATCTACCGCTAAACGAGTCATGGTGTATTTCAAATCATTTGAAGCTGGACAGGGGCCAGGAATACAACTCAACTAAAATGGAAAAAGAGAAGATAGTTAATTCTATTTAAATACATAAACAGAATTCTGATCACATGTGTGTGTGTTTTTTAAATCAGTATGTTATATTTCAATTTTTGTAATGATAAATAAAATCATCAACAATTAAAGTCTCTCCAAATTAGAAAACTAATCACAAATATCTAGGTACAATTTTCATTTAAAAAGGGCAAGTAGCAAGTTTAAATGGACAGAATATAACTTGTTACTGAAACTCAAAATGAATCATCAAGGTTAACAGTGTTATAGGTTTATAAAAATTAGTCTAAAGCTGTAAGATTTTTTATGAGTTCTCCATACATACTTGTTTTATACACACACACACAAATAAATCAACTGTGAATTTTATGGTACTACCTAGGACTAGCCACAAAGATTTAAGTTAGTTTTACTCCTAACACACAAACTTGGTCATATATAGGTTGGACGAAAACATACAAACCATCTATTTCAATGAGCTTCCCAGGGCAATGGCAGTCCTAAGTAAATACTAGCCAAACAGCATATAACTGCTTGTTAGTGGCAGAATGCGCTTTAGGAATATATTTCCTGATTTCCAAGGATGCAGCCTTGGGAAAAAGGGTTGTTGATACCATCTGGACTGAATACAGGGCTGAACCCAGCTAAGGCCACTGTATAAACGTTTAATATACTGGCGAGCACGTGAGGAGCTTTACTCAGCTCTCAGCCTCTGGAGACCAGCCTTGCAGGAGAGAGAGAACTACGTAACCAGACACCCAGAGAAGAGAGATCATGGGGAGACAAAGAAACAGCCAGCATATGAAAGAAAAGCAGGCATCACCAAAAAAGGAAGTAAATGAAATGTAGGCAAGCAACCTGTCAGAAAAAGAATTCAGAAAAATGTTCATAAGGTGGGTGAAAAGAATGGAAGACAAATTCAACAACATATGTAAGAACCAAGAGGAAATGAAGACAAACCATGAAGAAATGAAAAATGACACTGCTGCTGTAAAGAGCTCAATAAAAAGCATCAGGAGTAGACTAGAAAAAAGTAGAGGTCCGCTTCAGTGAGCTAGAAGACAAGGTAGGAAAAAAACCCAAGTAGAGCAGTTTCAAGGAAAAAAAAATTAAAAAGCAGGGCAAGAGCCTAAAGGAACTTTGGGACAACACTAAACAAAGCAACATCTGCATAATAGGGGTTCCAGAAGGAAGGGAAACTGAACAAGGAATAGAAAACCTGTTTGAAGAAATAATGACAGAAAACTTCCCTGATATGATGGAGGGCGGAGGGGGGGGGAGGGGGAGAGACACACACACAAATCCAAGAAACTCATAGATTCCCAAGCAAAATGAACCCCAAAAGACCGATGCCAAGGCACATTATAATTAAATTGGCAAACACCAAATACAAAGTAAGAATCTTAAAAGCAGCCAAAGAGAAACAGAAAGTTATATACAAAGGATCCTCCATCAGACTTACAACTGATTTCTCAACAAAAACACATCAGGCCAGAAGGGAATGGAATGAAATATACAAAGTCATGCAAAGGAAGGGTCTGAATACAAGAATACTGTACCCAGCAAGACTATCAATCAAAATTGAAGGTGAAATCAGGAGCTTCATAGACAAAACAGGACTAAGGGAGTTTATTACCACCAAACCAGTAATGCAAGAAATGCTAAAGAGTCTGCTGTAATAAAAAAAAGAAATTGAAAGCGAAGAAGGAACACAGGATAAAGAATAAAAATGGCAACAAACATGTACCTATCAATAATAACTTTAAATGTAAATGGATTAAATGCCCCAATCAAAAGACATAGGGTTGTCCTGACTGGTTTGGCTCAGTGGATAGAGCATCAGCCTGCGTACTGAAGGGTCCCAGGTTCAATTCCGGCCAAGGGAACATACCTGGGTTGTGGGCTTGATCCCCGGTAGGGAGTGTGCAGGAGGCAGCTATTCAATGATTCTCTCTCATAATTGATGTTTCTATCTCTCTCTCCTTCTCCCTTCCTTTATGAAAACAATAAAGAAGTATATTTTAAAAAAAGATAATTTTCATATCTCCATTTATTTGTGAATGAATGTTTTAATAATTACCTCATATTTTATTTTTTAATTGACTTTGGAGAATAAGAGAGAGGGAGAGAGAAATAGAAATATCAATGATGGGAGAGAATCATTGATCAACTGCCTCCTGCACACCCGCTACAAGAGATTGAGCCCACAACCTGGCATGTGCCCTGACTGGGAATCAAACTATGATATTCTGGTTTAGAGGTTAACACTCACCACACCAGCCAGGCAATTATCTCATATTTTAGATACTTACAACTAAATAATAACTGGCTATGATTTGCAAAAGTAATTTTATTAATTAAAAAAATTGAACTATAGTATTTACTTCATGCCTATGTGCATTTGCTTTAAAGCTGGTATCCCAATCAGTCATTTAAAAAAGTCCATAAATGTTTATAATGCTGCTATCTTATTTATCAACATACCTTGGATTCACAGAACCGACGATCAAGTCCATGTTGACATGTTATTACTGACTTGGGTCTTTCCAGTTCATACTCCCGACATACCACGTGAAAAACAAATGTCTGCCCCCACTCCAAGAGACTAGCCAGCTGCAAAATAAGCAGTACAGGTTGACAACATGTTAGCACACTACACAAGCACTCGGAGCTCAAAAGCTAATTAAAAATATTAACAAAGGTTGAAAGATACCAAGCACTGTCTTACAAATATTGCTACATAATTCACTTGTTAGTCAATATCATGATTTTTCGACCTTGACATTTTTTATAAACTTGTGTTACTTTACATTAATAAATGACAAAATACACTGCCAAAATGAATTAATTTCAACTGAAAATTTCAACTTCTAAAGTACTTTTCTTCAAGGTTATATCTTCCTTCTTATAGGACTAACCAGAATCCTCACACCTAGAATTCTCTACCTAATAATCAACCAAGCTTTAGTGTGAAATTTGAGTATTTAATTATCATATTGAACTACAATTTGGGGAAATCAGGTACTTTGAAGATTCCGTTGGTTTAAGTAAATTAAATCTTAAGTAACCACATATCAACTCTTCATCATATCTTCAGATTTTAAAAAACCCTAAATTCTATAATTAATTAGAGTTAGTAAACACATTGAGACATGGATATACATAATTTAAACTACTGGAAAAGATGAATTTCACTTTTAAAACATACAAAGAATGGCATAAACAATAAAAGCACCTAAGGAAACATGAATCTCACAGAACACAGTGATGTCAAGACTCTAGTGCAGAAGTATTTCATTTTCTAAGAAATGCAATTTATAAACATATGAGAGTCTAACAATCCTTAGGTTAAAGAAATCATGTCCAATCTTGGACGGTTGGCATAGCTCATTAGAAAACAAGCTTTTGTTATATGCTTCAGCTTTTATTTATAAATGGAGAGACAGGAAATGGTGGATAATAAGGACTAATTATGAGGCCAGGGAGCACTGAATATTTTTTGCCATTTTTATACATTCCATTATATTTGTATCCATTTCTATAGAAAATATCCCTTTGTAATTCATTCATTTTCCTATTTTTAGAATCTTAATTTTGCTGTCTCCCAACAATTTTTCAGATATAGAAGATACTTCGATTCATTATTCATCTTGTTGCTACTCCAACTTCTCAATTATATGTTTTATACCCACTCTGTAACTTTTTATTAAAATTGAATATGTACATTTCTGTCACATTTCAGTCTTTTGAAATGCCAGGTAAGCATGCATATTACCATAAATACATGGCTCAATAGGTGAAATGTTACAGTAAAATGCTATTCTACTAAATTTCAGTGATCCATTTCTAGAAGTAAATAATCTTTAATGCCTCCAAGTCTTCTAAAGACAGGGATGGATGGTGAAATGAGGTAGAAATTATCCAAAGGATCTCAACTAGCCCTCTAAACCAGGTTTACACACCAGTAAATTTGTATCTATTTTTTTAAACCAGCAACCCCACATCACTAATAGTTGGTACAAATGATGGTATCTTGCTTTGAGACATGACAAATAAAGAACTGTGCTACCTAATCCTTAATATCATAAATGCTAAGAAATCCACAAAAAAGCAAGGTTTTTAGAAAATTATTCTATTTACTAGGAAAAGATTATTCCAACAGTGGAGAATCAAATAATATAAGCTTAATAATACATATAGATGCAATATATATATCTCAGCCTAAGTTTTTCCCAAAGAAAGTTTTAAATTCTTTAAGATACTATGTAGAACTATACAACATTACTCATCAGTTTCATGTGTCTCAGAAAAATGAAACTGTCTGTTATTCATCTATTGCTAAGAAAAATTTTGACTATCAGGAATCAGAATGTCATTAGTAGAAATGCAACAGACATTCAAACAACTTGCTCTTGGGGCAATGGGTGAGTGGAGGAAAAGGAAAAGAATGTGGCAGATGGCAACTCTGACACTCGTACCTGTGGTGCCGTGACCTTAGCGGTGAGGCTTCCAGCTTGCACGTCAATTAACCATGCGTATTCTAGGGAATCGCTTCCCAAAGGAAGACCTTCTGCTGAGAACATGGCATGTGCTCTCAGCTGGAGACCTGTCAGATTGATATGACCTTCCTTGAGTGCGTCATCTACAGGAGGTCGCTGCTGAAAACAAGAACAAGATAGTAAGAAATACATACAAGAAAATTGCATTATGATTTCTAGTTGTTTTTTCCCCAGAGACAAACAGTAAAAAACATACTATCTGGGAAATAAGGATTCAGGATTCACAAGCTCCTGACACCAGCCTTTTACCCATGAAAGTCTGAGTAAAGCTTCTGCAGTGACAGTACCCATGAGAGCCCAGCTACAAAGCAAGACAGCAACGTCCTACAAAAAACGTCGCTCTCTGAGTGGTCCCTGCCTTAAGGAAGAAAAAGAAACCCAGACTCTAACTGGCAGGAAATATAACAGGCCAATGTCTTGTAGGAAGGTAGGAATCATGAGATTAAAATATTAAAAAGAAGAAAATAACAGGGAACAATAAAGATCATTAAGACCATAAAATGGAGAACTAGTGCAGGAAGCCGTCTTCCATATAGATTTTGTTAGTAAAGGCATATTTTTTCATGTTTTTGTGTCAAGACCATGATATGCTACCAAGCATCTCACACTTCTCCTTGCAACATTTTACACTTGAAACTATTTATCTTAATGGTAATTCCCTCCATATATCTATCCACCAGCTGACTAGGGTAAAGGCCATTTCTGCCTTGGTCATCAAGATTCCCACTGCACCTAACTTGGTGACCACAAAAGCAGATACTACTGACCGAGTACCTGCACAGATGACCTCACAGAAGGTTGTAGAGACACCAACACATGGTTATACACTGAGACAGTTCATAGGTATTTCCCAAGCGAGTTTTACTATGGCAGCCTTTTCAGTGTGTGTGTGCAGGCCAACTTACAGTTAGTGTTCTTTGTTTCAACACATTTGTGGAAATGTGTTCTTAAAAAATTGTTTTAAGGAAAAGGGCTAAAAAAATCTAATTCATAATGACTTCTTAGAAGGAAGTTTCAAATTATGACTATAATATACCTCTAGAACTTCTAATAAATGTTTTATTTTATTTTCATCTAAATTGTTTAACCATATACAAAATCGCCTAACTTCTCCAGGCCTCAGTTTCCTTGCTTTATCTGAGGGAGTAGGGGAGGATGGTGAGTAAAAATCTCTTCTGGCATAGAGAATCCATAATTCTCAGTATAAAATTTTCAATTTTTTTTAAGCTTAAAAATACATGTGGAAATTGTCCTGTCCTAAAGGTGTAGCCTACCTACCCTGTTTCCCCGAAAATAAGACAATGTCTTATATTAATTTTTTCTCCCAAAGTTGCCCTAGGTCTTATTTTCAGGGGATATCTTATCTTTCCATGCGCTAGATCTTATTTTCGGAGGATGTCTTATTTTTGGGGAAACACGGTAGTACACGAATAAAGGTTATATTCTAAATTTGTATTATAGCTTGCATCATGTTATGGGGTGAATGGTATCCCCCCAAAATTTATGTTCAAGTCCCAAGCCCATGTACCTGTGTATGTGACTTTATTTGGACACAGGATAGGGTCTTGGCAGATGCAATCAAGTCAAAATTAGATTTCATTGAATTAGGGATTCCTTCTTAGACATGTCTTATTAAGAGAAAAATGGGGACACATAGACACATGAATGACATATGAATATGGAAGCAGAACTTGAGTGAAGTGTCTACAAGACAAGTAATGACAAGGACTGCTAGCAACCAGCAAAAGCTGGAAGAGGCAAAGAATATCCTCACCTGTAGCTTTCAGAGAGAACATGGCCTACCAACATTTGGTTTCAGACCTTTAGGCTTCAGAGCTGTGAGAGAATAAATTTCTGTTGTTTCAAGCCATCCAAAGTGGGATAATTTACTACAGGAGCCCAAGGAAACCAATATGGGTCAAAAGATGACCATGAAATGGAATGTGTAGTTTCCTACATCAGGCACAATAATCCATCCATCGCTTTAGATCAAAGGTGGGGAAAGTCCAGTCTATGGGACTTGACCTCTCATAATGAACTCAATAAAATGTTTTTTATATCTGGTCCAGTCTTTTGAGAATGTAGTGATGGAAATAAAACTTCAAATGTCACCGAAATCGGTTTGGCTCAGTGGATAGAGCATCGGATCGCGGACTGAAAGGTCCCAGGTTCGATTCCGGTCAAGGGCATGTACCTTGGTTGCAAGCACATCCCCAGTAGGGGGTGTGCAAGAGGCAGCTGATCAATGATTCTCTCTCATCGATGTTTCTAACTCTCTATCCCTCTCTTCCTCTCTGTAAAAAATCAATAAATTAAAAAAAACAAAAAACCCTTCAAGTGTCACCAAGTATTCATATAAAGCAGATAATTCATTAAGATTTTCAAAACTCAGCCATTAGGAGATACTTCACTTCACCCTTATTAATTTCCTCAATAGACTGAAAACAAGGAGGTGGGCTTCCTCTCCACACACTCACCTCTCAGAATTTAAAAAAAAAATCAACCAATTCTAATGATCCACTAATTAGGCAACAAGAATTGTTTTTAAGGTTCTTGCAGCAAGCTAAAATAAAAGTGTTGTGCAAGTGAGATCTTTCTAATGATAGTACAGTGTTGCATCCAGATTTCATTGACTATCTAAATGGGTAAGTAGACACACACTATGCACACCCATTGTACCATTGTCAACTTCCTGGTATGATATTGCACTATAATTATGTGTAAGGTCAACATGGGGAAACACTATAATTATATACAAGATCAACATGGGGATACAGGAACTCACTGTACTAACTTTGCAACTTCTTGCGAATTTATTATTATTTTGAAATAAAATGTTTAAAAAGGAAGCACATTTTGAGGCAAAAGAAGAATGTAATATTAGTTTCAGCTACTATATACATATGAAAATATAAATTAAAATTCTATGTAGGAAAATATAATCATTTATGGCAAAACAGTAAAAAGCTATTAGAAACAAGACAATTACTATACAGAATCCACCATCCATTGATGATCTGAGGTATCAGATTCACCTTCCCACCTACATATTTACCTGGCCTTGTATTAATTCATTTATATTTCTAAAAGTAGGGAAAAGCCCTAAAGTAATGATTGAAAGAGAAGGCATTAAAAAGTAATAATTATGAAGTGATAATCTACGCAGGAATATAAATTATTCCCATGTGATGAGTATCATTGGCTCTCTTCCAAAACAGCCCCAGGGATACAGTGAAAGCATTTACAAAGTATCCTGTAGGTATGTCAGATGAAAAGAATAAATCATTAGCCATGCAGATATACATGTTTTGAAGATATCTGGTACTGATTAATAATAATACTTAGGTTATGATTGTCAGCAAAATCCACCAATATTTTCTACATTTTTCCTTTCCATAAATAAATGAGAAAGTTATAAAGTATTTATTATCATTTCTAAAAACAATGGATATAATATATAATCGTCTGGGACCACATAAACTGGGAAAGCAGAAAGAAAATGAATCAGGTTCTTGAAAAACTCTCATACATCCATATACACATACAAAACTTCTTACTATGATTAAATGAAATGTCTCTAGTTTACAGAGCTGTAGACTCCATGCACTGAAGCTAACACATTGTTTTCACCCTATAAACAGTAACAAGAAATTTCTAAGTCTCTACCACGACTCACTTTCACATTACCTGATAGTTGTCACTGACGAACACACTCAGGGGTGACAGCACAAGCTGCAGCATGGTCTCTCTAAATCCTTTTTTCATTTCAAAACACAGTCTTTCCAAGAAAGCTGTGGGACACTCAGGACCATCGGCCGATCCATGCTAAAGTCAAACAAAACCCCATAATCAAAATACAGAAAAAGGCGAAGACCAGGGAAGTATAAGAAAATAAAAACTGTATTTATATGATTAAGAGATTTTGAATTTTAAAAAGAGAAACAGTGCTTTACTGACAAATAAAAGTCACTGGTACCCCAATAAGGACATTAGGTGCACTAAGAACAGAGGTGGCCTCTCTGCTGTGCAGCCCTAGGTACACAACATGGAGGCGGTAGGCAGCCTAAAGCTCAGGGCCACCCTACCACATCTGGCCTGGCTCCAATGGCTATGGGTTCTTTGGGGAATATAATGCTATTCCTAGTCAGCCCCAATAGGCCCACAGTCATCCTTAGAGTGAACCAGCATTCAATGCTGGATCCAAAACTGCAGGGGCACAATTCCACCTCCAGGATCAAGCCTGAATCTTGGTTTTGTAATAGGTCCACCATGAGGCCCCAAACTGGTCTGGAGTTGGAGACAATTAACAAAATGTAAAATCCTAGAATATCCTTCAAGCTAACTATAAACATGTCAAAATGTTCTGATTACACAGAACAACAAAGAAGAAACGCAAGTGAAAGGAGAAAGAGTAAAATTATAAATGATCAAGTAATCACATTCTGAAGAAAATAAGCTAGCTCTTTATAGAGATAAAAAGATAAATTTAGAAGTTTTCAATCTGAATTTTTCTATAACTATATGTGTGTGCCCACATACATACAGTTTCCTATGCTAGGTGAATTTCACATGATATTCCAGACTATTTTGATAAGTAAACACTTACAACAGGCAGACGCCCATGAACTTTGTACAAATTTACAAGCACGGTAATATCCCATGGACGCAAGGACAGCGGATGAATTGACTTGGCTGAACTTTCGTTTTCCTTTCTATCACCCTCCATTCCGACTGCAGTCCATCCAAAGCTAGATGATGTTGACAGGGACAAAACTGGGCTTGAAATAACCTCTTCAAAATCCATATACATGTCATCTTCCCCGAAGTAGTTTTCCTACAAATATTAAGAATAATTGGCTATCAAAAGAGATACGTAACGATAACTTCTCACCTTATAGCCTAAAGTTTATAAACTAAGCATTTCCCTAACCTATTTTATTTCATTAAAAGCATCTGGTCTGTTTCCTTAAAATGGAAAAAAGGATACACATATTTAAGACATATGCTTACTTGGCTGCTTATCAAGTAAATATTCTATAGCAAAAAAAACACCCAAAGTTACAAAGTTTATGTAGTAAAGCTTCATGATAATACCACCTCCAATTATAGCAAAAACTTGCAACCTACATCCTAGAAGAACTCTCTGAAGATTTATTAGGTACAACAGTTGTCAACTGTAGTTTTCAGAGTGTAGAGGAAATAATACTCAGATACATCATTTGGGGGAAGCAGATCACTTTGCTAAAAATCAATTTGGGTAAATCCAACTAGCTAAATACTACAATTCATATATTCCAGTTAGAATATTTATCAAGAATGTTTTAACAGTTTAATAAGAATGTCCAATTTTGGTTATTGCTAACAAAAACATGTGTTATAAAACAGTTACCAAAACTTCCTTTCACATAATTCATCCTGGTTTCTTATGCATTAACTAGTGTCCCAGTGCATGAAATTCATGCACATTAAAAGGGAATTAATTAGAGAAAATACTTTAATATTGCTATTTGCCCTTTCTCTATAATAGAAGTGTCCGGTCAGCCCCACCCCCATTGGGCAACACCAACACCTAGCCAGCCCCACCCTTGTCAAGCCCCGCCAGGTGGGGGACGCAGACTCACTTCCTGGTGCCAAGGCAGGGGGTGCAGGGCACGGCCACAGATTCCGAGCCCAGTGCTAGAGCAGGGGGCACAGTCTCGGGGGCATGGCCTCAGGTCCCCTGGCTCAGCGCCATGCAGTCTCAGGTCCCTGCTATGATGATGTGATGGTGTGATGACCGTTTGCATATTAGCCTTTTATTATGATGATTAGTGTTCCACTACTAATAATATTCTGTTTCTTTGCATCAGATTTTATTTTTAATTAAAATGTTTTTCTTGCCATTTATTTTGTATATTATATATTTGACCTGTCAGTATTAATCAAAAGTTGTTAAAATATCCTGTTAACATTGTTAACTATATTTGTTCTATATTAGAAACAAATCAATGTTTTGTAAATTCTGCATTCTGGTTATTGACATTTGTTTTCTGACTAGGATTCCAGACATCAGGTCAATTACTATCTTTTCATATAGTGCCTGGACTATAAAAATCCCAAACTTCTGACTCATACCACCAGCACTTCTTTAAAAATATATATTTTATTGATTTTTTACAGAGAGGAAGAGAGAGGGATAGAGAGTTAGAAACACAGTGAGAAAGAATCATCAATCAGCTGCCTCTTGCACACCCCCTACTGGGGATGTGTCCACAACCAAGGTACATGCCCTTGACCAGAATCGAACCTGGGACCTTTCAATCCTCAGGCTGTCACTCTATCCACTGAGCCAAATTGGTTTTGGCACACCACCAGCACTTTTTCTTCTGTTTCCTGCCTCTAAATAATACAGGTCCTACTTAGAATCTGCTTGACATGAGATTTTAGGTACCTTCTAAACCATTCAACTAGCACTTCTCCTCTCAGTCTTGGCTAGCAAACCTTGACTGTCTTTCTCTGCCCAGTCCTGATCATTCCAGAACCTTGTGTGTTATGGGTTTTGCTAGCTAAGCATTTGCTATCCCAGCCTCTGCAGCAATGAGATCACAAAAGGAAGTATGTAAGGAAGCACTGATGAAACTAGACTCACACATGGAACGCCACTGCTCATGACTGTTAGGATTTGGATAATTAATCTCTCTTTGGTTGTCAGATGTAGTAAACAACCAAAGTGAATTTGAAAAATCTTGGGAAAATGCAAAATTTGATGATAGTAATGTCAGTTTCATTGAATAACTGCTCAAGTCTCTTTTTAAAAGTATGAGCTGAATATCAGAAGAATAAGAGTGAGATCTAGAAAACTGATGAAGTCGTCACCCACTGTTCTTAAAGTAGCCTCTCCTCATAATGATGTTAAAGACTCCAAACTCTAAGTGATCTCATACTGTAGTCATTCCATTTCAGTGAAAGAATTACACCAAAACTAATCAACACTTGATTTAGTCCTTACTCAAAAAATAGTGCATATTTTTTCAGAACCTAAATTTGTGACATTCTGAAATAAACTTATTTACATATATTTGCTTCAATTGTTAAGATGGAACTCCAAACAAACCTTTGATTAATTACCATGAAATAAAGTTGTCCATTTTTAATGGTTTCACTTGAGGTAGACTTTTCCTGGTACCAATTACCCACAGATAAAAGATTACTTGTACATATATTACTGCATTAAGAATAATGTGTTAGCCAAAACTGGTTTTGCTCAGTGAATAGAACGTTGGCCTGCGGACTGAAAGGTCCTAGGTTCGATTCCGGTCAAGGGTATGTAGGTTGGTTGCGGGCACATCCCCAATAGGGAATGTGCAAGAGGCAGCTGATCGATGATTCTCTCTCATCAATGTTTCTAACTCTCTATCCCTCTCTCTTCCTCTCTGTAAAAAATCAATAAAATATATATTAAAAAAAAAAAAAAGAACAATGTGTTAAAAGTTTGTCCACCTATGTCCATCCTGCTTTATCCCTCCTAACTTTTCTCCTTAAGAGCAGATACAATATCATTTCCATCTCTAGCAGCTAGCACAACTCCTAGAACATGCTAAATGTTCAAAACGATAAACTGAGGAGTACACTACTTTAATAATTTTATAATTGCTATGACACACATTGATCACCAGGGGGCAGACGCTCAATGCAGAGGCTGACCCCTGGTGGTCAGTGCACTCCCACGGAGGGGGGGGAGGAGAGGGGAGACAAAGGGGTGCTGCTCAGCCAGAAGCCGGGCTCATGGCTGGTGAACGCAGCGGCAACAATGCTAAGGACCACTCAGGGGATGTCCGACTGCCAGCTTAGACTCACTACCCAGGCATAAGCCAGGCTGAGGGGACAACACCCCGCCCAGTGCATGATATTCATGCACTGGGCATCTAGTGTACACACACACACACACACACACACACACACACACACACGAGGCCCAGTGCATAAATTTGTGCACAGGTGGGGTCTGGCTGGCCCGCCCTGATGGGGATCCATCAGGGGTGGGGCCAGCTTGGGGAAGGGGCCACAGGCAATTGGCCAGCCGACCCCATCCCCAATCAGGGTATTGGGGGCCAATCGGGAGTGGGGCTGGCTGGGGGAGGGGCCAAGAGAGGGCTCCAGTGCGTGTCCAACCGGTCTCAGTCCTGACTGGCCCAACCACAGCAGCAAGCTAACCTACCGGTCGAAGCATGTGCCCCCTGGTGATCAGTGCATGTCATAGCAACTGGTCAACCTGTCTACTCTCTGCCCCCTGGTGGTCAGTGCACATCATAGCAAACATTTGAGTGGCCTTAGCATATCATTAGCATAGTATGCTTTCACTGGTTGAACAGACAACCAGATACTTAGCATATTAGGCTTTTATTATATAGGAGATATATATATATATATATATATATATATAAAATTTATTTTCAACATATATAATATATTCTCAACACTTTAAATCATCCAATTGGTTATTGCAAATGCTCCCAATTTCAATTAGATATTAACTGCTTTGCATACACCTGCACTAATAAAAAAGATATAAATTGATTGTACCTTCACAGCATCCACCAGCCAATCAGGAGTGAGTATGCAAATTAACCCAACAAAGATGGCGGGTTAATTTGCATACTCAAGTGCCCAGTGGCCAAGGGCAGGGTGGGATGCTTGCATCATCACCATAATGATGACACAGACGTCCCTCATTGCCCCAGCTATTCCAGGCTTCTGGGCAGCGTGGGAAGGCGGAAAGGGGCTCCAGGCCAGAGCGAAAAGGTGCTCTGGCCTGAGTGAAGGCAGTTCTGGCAGCCAGGGGATAGAATCCTCATTCTTGAATGAATCTTCATGCATTGAGCCACTAGTTTAAAAATATGCAAATTCTTTTTTAAAAAAATCATACCTTTATACAAAAAAAAGCATTTAATAGTGGTCCGTAGAGAGTTATCTGAGAGTCTGGAGAAAGTTCCATCTCTACATGCAGTTTATCAGGTGGCAGCTCAGAGGGGTCAACAGGTGGGCGGGAAGAAGTAGAGGGAGAAGAAACGACTCGGTCTGACGTCTTCTGGGATGGCCTCAATACAGACAGCATTGTTTCTTCCATTTCTGACACTGGGATAAATTCAGACACAAAAAGTTTGGTGAAGGGCCTCTTAGAAGTTCTTCAAGGCAAATAAATATGAAAGCAATTAACTGTGATATAATACATATAGCATTTAAGGAAAACAAACCTGAAAAACTAATAATTAAGAATACAAAATAGACTTCATTGAAATATGTGCAGAAATACATGAATCAGACTGCACAGAATCAATGAAAAATTCCTGTTAATGTCAAGTCCCTGCAACATAAATTTGGGTCATGATTAGGTTTTAACTAAATTTTGGCATTAGAGTACAGTTGTTTTCCTTTAAACAGCTATTCAAATATAGTGCGATATTACCAAACTCCATACATCTGAACAATTTTGAAAACTATTCTTTAAGATGTAACTCACTGGAATAATACAAAGGAGTAATCATTTCACTCTAATTCCATTTTGGACCTCAATTATAAGGTGCATAAGCTTCAAGATAACTATGGTAGTTATCAAATGCATTAAAGAAACTAACACTTTCAAAATCAAGTACTTTAAATATATAGTTTGACATACACATTGTTATTTCAGCTCTGCTGCTTTTAGCTGGACAGACCTGAGAAAATTAGGTAATTGCTTTTTCTGAGCATATTTCCTTAACTCGACAATTACGTCAATATCTAGCTCATAGTTGTTGTAAGGATCAAATGAAATCATGCAAGGCAGGAAACATCTTGGCCTACTAGTTTATACATAGTAAATGCTCAATAAAAGTTAGCTATAATTATACCAAAATCCTTAAAATATTTTAATATATACAATTATGTCAAAAAAAAAAAAAAACAGATCTTTTTTTGTATCTTTGATGATTACCAGATGTTTCAAAGTACAAATTATATAAAAAACACTTACATGATTGTTTTAGCTGCTCATCTGCTTTCTGTGGGTAAACTGGATGCCATGTATAATCGATCGTAAGCATGACACTTGGGACAGTCCAACATTCAACCCAACCAGCCCTTTATGGGTAAAGAATAAAGTTTCTAGTCAGGTACTTATTCCTTTCATTATATACACATAGCAGGTACAGATAATCAAAGTTATTATTATTCTTAGAAAGACTCTGGAGAATAGTTTTCCACATAAAAACACAAGATACTTAAGTGCCTCCTGTTAGGTACTCACTTTTCTTGAGTAAGGTTCCGCCATTTGGGTTTAACTGTTTTCTGGCTGCTCTGACACTCAGCAGGAAGACCAGTGTCGTGAGTCATTTTATTTGGGTGGCAATCCTTTACCAGCATAAATAATGAATATTTACTAGGGTGACAATCTGGTAGAAACAGATGAAGATCAACATCTTCTCCCTAAAAAATAATTTATAACCCACAGTAATAAAATAGGTACATAAACATGTAAAGTTACTATTTAAAGCCAAATCTCTCCATAATAATCTTGAGAATAATTTTTTTAAAAGAAACCATAAATTCCAAATGGCAGATTTAACATTGAACAATCACATAAATAACTGCAGTAAGATTTTACAGAATAAAACTACACTCTGATTACAATGTTAAGAAAAAAGTTAGGATAATAAACAGCATAGTTTCCACAAAACAGTAAAATGATTATCTTCGGCTCTAGCTGGTTTGTCTCAGTGGACCGAGTGTCGGCCCACAGACTGAAGGATCCCGGTTTGATTCTGATCAAGGGCACATACCTCAATTGCAGGCTCAATCCTATGCAGGAAGCAACCAATCTATATGTCTCTCACATCTATGTTTCTCTCCCCCTCCCTTCCACTCTGTCTAAAAAGCTATGGGGAAAAAAATATCCTAAGGTAAGGATTAACAAAAAAAAATATTATATATATATATATATATATAAATATATATATATATATATATATATATATATATATATATATATATATATATCTTCAATGGGTAAACATGAATATTTCACGTGTAATTCAGAAAAATATAAAAAATTGTCTCACTAATATAAGCTCAGGTGGAATATGTTCTGTATTTTTACCAATTTTTAAAACATGATTGTTTCGCCCTAACTGGTTTGGCTCAGTGGACAGAGCATCAGCCTGCGGACTGAAAAGTCCCAGGTTCGATTCCAGTCAAGGGCATGTACTGGGTTGTGGGCACATCCCCAGTAGGAGGTGTGCAGGAGGCAGCTGATCGATGATTCTCTCTCAACAACGTTTCTAACTCTCTATCCCTCTCCCTTCCTCTCTGTAAAAAAAAAATCAATAAAATACATTTTTTAAAAAAACATGATTGTCTCTTTTGATTCTAATAACTTAATTCTTCAATGGGCTTTTAGGAATTCTGAATTGGTATATCAAAGGATCTTCATTCTGCTACACTTCTGTCCTTTTATTAGTAGGTTCCCTAATCTTTTCTCTTTTTTTTCTTTTTTAAAATATATTTTATTGATATTTCACAGAGAGGGAAGGATAGAGAGAATTAGAAACATCAATGAGAGAGAAACATCGATCAGCTGCCTCCTGCACACCCCCTACCGGGGATGTGCCTGCAACCGAGGTATAATATAATACATTCCCTTGACCAGAATCGAATATGGGACCTTTCAATTCTCAGGCTGACACTCTGTCCACCTAGCCAAACTGGTTAGGGCTCCCTAACTTTTTTCATCCTGATACCCAGTTTCTTAATAAGTAGCACAGTACAGTAGAACCCTAAGCTATATTTCCTGGGTTCAAATTCCACCTCAGCCACTTAATAGCTACATAACTAGTTACTAAACTTGGCTCCTCAGTCTCCTAGTCCAGTGGTCAGCAAACTCATTAATCAACAGAACCAAATATCAACAGTACAATGATTGAAATTTCTTTTGAGAGCCAAATTTTTTAAACTTAAACTATATAGGTAGGTACATTGTTATTAACTTAAATTAGGATATTCCTAAGCTGGCCTTTGCTAAAAACTCAAGGGGCCAAATAGCCCCATGTAGCTCGCGAGCCACAGTTTAGCAAACACTGTCCTAGTCCATAAATGCAGATAATAATAACACCTGACTCAAGAGGGTTGTTCTCAGAATAAAATGAGTGACTACAGATGAGCCCTGGAAATAGTGTCTGGCACATACAAAATGATTAACAGGTATTAGCTGCTTTTATTATTATTGTTATTATTTTTTATCACATAACCTCCATCAATACTACAACTACTACTGACTGCTTGTGCCAAAAAAAATTAGGCATTTCACAAAATTCTGACTGCATACGAGGTGGCTTTTAGATAAAAAGAAGAAAGTTATTTGTGGCTACTGCTTTAGTTTATGGTTACAAAGAGGAATTATACATAGGAAGTATAAAATCTAGTGCATAAACATAGTAAACATTACAGCTAGAAGGGGAGCTTAGAAAGAACATAGATCAGCCTCAAAGGTTAAGAAATAATCAACTCAGAATTGTTTCCTTATTGCCCTACTTCTTTGGGAAAGTTGGAAAACTCGGGAGAATGGCAGAACACAATAGTCAACTACAAAAAAGAGGCAAGGGCCATTCTGTGCCACAAACATTCGTGAGTAATGGAGGAAAGCTAAACTACTTCCGCATGGCCACGGGTCCGAGGTAGAGGGATGTGGTTGGGGGTGGGGAGTTTGAGAAGGATGTGATAGAAATAAAGATAAGCTTTGGGAAATCCAACTTACTAACAAACCTTGTGGGTTAAACAATGCATCCAACTATACGTACTCTTAGGGAGAACTTGGTATTACACGTAACTGGAACAAAGTCCGTAAACGGCAAAGAGAAATCAATATTTAGTGTTTCTCCACAGGCTGCCAGATATACTATAAAAAAAGAAAGAAAAGAAAATTTATTTTTAACTTCAATAAATTTTTAAATAATAATTGCCTTAAATATGTACCTAAACAAAATTAAGTTTAAGACTATATGTTTAGTCCAGTACAAACTCTAAAATACTTCACTGAGAGTCTCACAAAATAATGGGAAAAATTCCAGTATCTATCACAACTATATAATCAATATCAATTTGTTGGTATTTGTCTTAATGAACAAAATATTCAACCTAATTTTTTTAAAAGTTCTTACCATTTTCCTGTTGTTTAGTGGAACAGTCAATCCAGTTGTGTTGATTAGCAGCCCAAATCATTTCAAATTGATGAAACATTATTTTAAAATTCCATGTATATGGAACAAATGAAAAAATGTCTGGAGCATTATCACTAGACCAGTCTTGAATTAAATCTAAAGTTATCAGGATGGGAGACAGAAATTAAAATTAAGTGAAATTCAGAAAACAAATTATAAAAATTCTACCACCAGTCAAAAATGAATTTTTTAGTTATAACTCAAAAGAACTCTTATATTGAAATATTAGAAGGTGATTAAAGAAATTGCGTAAGATTAAAGAGAAAAACATCACCTGATATTCCACTACCCACACATCCAACACTGAGGATACATTTCCTTCAAGATTTTTTTCTGTGTAGATTTTACACTATCTTATATCCTCCTGTGAGAAATGTATGCTTGACTATTTAATTGTACCCTATCCTGTATATTTTTTAAATATATTTTTATTGCCGAAACTGGTTTGGCTAAGGGGTAGAGTGTTGGTCTGCGGACTGAAAGGTAGCTCTAGCCAGTTTGGCTCAGTGGATAGAGCATTAAGCCAAAACTGAAGAGTCCCAGGATCTATTCCAGTCAAGGGCATGTATCTCAGTTGCAGACTCCCAGACCTGGTCAGGGGGCATGCAAGAGGCAACCAATCAATGTGTCTCTCTTACATCGGTGTTTCTGTTTCTCTCTCTCCCTTCCACTCTCTCTAAAAACCAATAGAAAAAATATCCTTCGGTGAGTATTAAAAAATACATAATAATAATAATAATAATAATAGGTAAAATTAAATATTTAAAGTAGTCTTCTTTAAATTTTAATGGAAATTTATACTAAAAAATATTAGATTCAATACTTATATCAGATGTCAAATTTATCTATATATATAAAAGCCTAAGCGACCATCACAACCGAACGGAACGACCAAACAGGCTATATGGGATGACTAGGCTGGCAGTAAGTTAGTGAGGGGCAATCAAACAACCAAATAGTAGGCTGTGTGGAGTGACCAGGCTGGCAGAGGGGTTAGTGAGGGGCGACCAAACAACTGAGCAGCAGGCTGCATAGGGCTATCAGGCCTGCTGGGGGGGGGGGGAGATTTGGGGGCGACCAGGCCAGCAGGGTGGGCAGTAAGAGGCAACCAGGTCGGCAGGGGGCAGTTAGGGGTGACCAGGCCAGTAGGGGGGCGTTGGGGGTGAACAGGCGGGGGGGTGGGCAGTAAGGGGTGACCAGGCCAGTGGGGGAGGGGGAGAGTTGGGGGAAACTAGGCTGGCAGGGGGGCAGTTAGGAGTGAGCAGGCCAGCAGGGGGTGCAGTTAGGACTATCAGACAGGCAGGCAAGTGAGTAGTTAGGAGACAGTTGTCCCATGTTGGAAGCTGCCCATTGCCTTCACTAGCAGAAAGAAGTAGACAAGGAGTCCGAAAGGCTGGTTAACCTTGAAGGCTCTGGCAAGGGTCAGAGTCAAGCACCCACTGTCTATATAATAATCAAAGGGAGCTGAAGCAACTTCCACCTTTTAGTCTTACTTAAATCCTTGCTAATGGGCTATCTTGGAGCTATTACTGGAATTGCCTGCCTAAGAGCTATGGGTGGATCCCAAACCTGAATAAAAGGGATTGCAAGGCCAGAGCAAAGCAGAATCCTTCCTCTTGAGCTGGCTCAGCCTGGCCCCCAATATTTCCAAATTAATATTTTCTAGTCTCTTTCATTTGCGTGTAGCCTCCTCCAGAACCCGAACTCTGAACCTGAACTCTGAATCACACAGGACATGGGGAGGTGTACACTACAGTCCTGGATTGTGAGAGGAATGTCCAACTGCCTGTTTAGGCCTGATCATGGGGCCTAAACCGACAGTTGGACATCCCCAAAGGGTCCCAGATTGAAGAGGTGCAGGCTGGGCGGAGAGAAACCCCCCCATCCCCCACATGAATTTCAAAGAAACTCATTTAAAAATCAATGTACATATGTTTGTGCAAGATATTAGAAATTCCTCTTAATAAAATAATACATTTAATATCAAAAGTTATAATAATTTAAATTAATATTAGTAAGATGTAAAGTTTTACTATGTCAACAACAAAAGGCATATGGCTATTAACCTGGTCTATGAATAGAGAAAGGAAAATTCCATTTATTAATTTTACCTTAAATGTAATTTTATTTAACAAGTAAACACAGTGGCTCACCATACCTTATATTATCTTACTTCTACATGCCACCCTACCTAAGTAATGGGACTCATCATTACCTTCTAACTATTCTGTAGCACAATGTCTAGCAGCTAGGAGATGCCCAAAAGCCATCTCTGGAACTAACCAACTCCAGAATACAAATCCATCATTCACCAAGCTGATTTTATCACTTTTCTCTATCAGAAACATTTTTTATTCTGCACTTTTACTCAAACTATTCATCTATCTAAAATAAATACACTCTTTGTTACCCTCTCTTCTGAAGGAAAACTCTAACCATCTTTAGTAACAGCATCATACTATAAAGAGAGCACAGGGTGTACAGTTGAATAATTGTTCTTAAATGTCTTTTCCACTAACTAGTGATAGAGGAATACAAGAAAGAAAGGAAGAAAGAAAGGGAAAGAGGAGAGGAGGAAGGGAGGGCCATTGTAGCATTTAATCAAGCAAATATTAGGTGCTCTGGGACAGCCACCAACCTTGGCAAATCAGACCAACTCTGTTTAGCTAAACTTGTCACAGAAGTCTCAATATATGTAACTTGTTTTTATATAGAAATATTTATGTTACTCAGAGACCAAGACTACATGTTTGCATACTTATGAAATATGAGTAGCTATCATAATATGCTGCAAAAAATGAAGGAATTTTTTGACGAATGACAACATCAACTAAATTGTCCATGCCAAGAGGAAATTAGGAGCTCCCAATACAAACATAGCATATTTGAATACTTAAATATACTGTTTGTAGATTACAATAATCAAAACAAAATCATGAAGCTATGCTGATGCCTAATTCAGGAAGATAAATTAATTCACCTTCCCAATCCTACTCCCCACTAGACTGAATCAAAGTACCAACCCAGTCTAAGATAGGTGTTTTTTTTATTTCCTTGCAGCTCAATTTTGGGTTCATATTTTCCTTTTATTATGTAGGAAGAGAGCACAACATATCTACACTTAAATTCTCCCTTTGATCTTCTTGGCCCAAAAAGTGTGAAAGTAAAAGTTTGAATTGTGTCATCAAATCCCCAGACTGAATCTAAAAGCAAAACTCACATGAATAGAAAACAGTTCCCTGTAACGAATTTCACTGCATTTTTTTTTTCATTAGAAAATTACCTGTGGAAGAATCCAAGATGGCTGCACAGGTAAACACCTAGCAGCAGCCGCATACAACAATTTCAATAAAATACAACTAAAATATAAAATGGACATTACCCAGAACTACAGGAAAGTCGACTGACTGGAAATTCTACATTGAGAAGGAAAGAGAAAACCAGAAGGAAGAGCGGAGGAGCTGTAAAAGCCTGAGGTACGGAGACACACAGCGCGCGGAGAAGACGGAGCCGGAAAAGAAGGGCGGGGCGGCTGAGTGCCTGGCTGGCGTTCCCTAGCAGGAAGGAGATAAAAGCTCCAACTGTGCTGGGCCCCAGTTCCAACTGCTCTGAACCCCAGTTCTAGGCCAGACTCCGGGGACCCTGGCTCATCCAGAGGGAGCTGGGCTATAAGGAGGAACCCTGAGGGAGCGGTGAAAGGAGGTCCCGGAGGCGCGCACATTGCACACTGAGAAGGGACGGTTGGCTTTGCCACAGGATTGCCCTGGCGGGAAGGAGACAAAAGCTCCAGACTGCTCTGAACACCACCTCCAACTCCACTTCCAACTGAACTGAACCCCAGTTTTGGGCTCATTGGGGGAGAGCCTAGACTATTTGGTAGCAAGCGAAAATCGAGGGCACCTTTCTCTCAGAGGCGCTTGCAGCAAGTACTGAAGGACCCTGGGGATTACTGAGACCCAGAAGCCCCATAGGGCGGGGCTGATGGAAGCCAAGGCTGTAGGCTCCACCCTGAAACACCGCACCTTCAGGGAAGCTGCGAAAATGCCAAGACAACGAAATAGATCACAAACAAAAGAAATAGAGGACAAAAAGCGACTGGATATAGAGTTCAAATCTACACTTACAAGGTTTTTCAAGAATTTCCTAGAAAAGGTCGATAAGACCTATAAGGATATGAAAAAGGATCAACTAGAATTAATAAGGAATCAACAAGAAATGATAAGGGATCAACAACAAATAAAGAATATATTGTCTGAAAATAAAAAATATTATACAGAGTCCTAAAAACAGATTGGAAGATCGCAAGAATCAAGTCAAAGATTTGGAACATAAAGAGCCAGAAGACACTCCTCTACAGAAGCAAGAAGGCAAGAGAATCCAGAAAATTGAAGATAATGTTAGAAACCTCTGGGTCAACTTCAAGCGAACCAACATCAGAATTATGGGGGTCCCAGAAGATGAGAGAGAGCAAGATATTGAAAATATACTGAAAGAAATAGTGACAGAAAACTTCCCCACCTGGTGAAAGAATTAGACTTACAAGTCCAGGAAGCGCACAGAACTCCAAACAAAAGGAATCCAAAGAGGACCACACCAAGACAAATCATAATTAAAATTCCAAGAGCAAAAGACAAAGAGAGAATATTAAAAGCAGCAAGAGCAAAGCAGGTAGTTACCTATAAAGGAGCACCTATATGATTGTCAGCTGATTTCTCAACAGAAACCATGCAGGCCAGATGGGAATGGCAAGAAATATTCAAGGTGATGAATAGTAAGAACCTACAGCCAAAGATAATCTACCCAGCAAAGCTATCACTCAGAATCAAAGGCCAGATAAAGAGCTTCACTAATAAAAAAAAAGCTAAAGGAGTTCATTACCACCAAACCAGAATTATATGAATTGCTGAAGGGGATTCTTTCGGAAGAAAAAATAAAGATAAAAATTATGAACAACAAATACGTAACTATCAACAAGTGAATCTAAAAACCAAGGATTTTTTTTTTAAATCTGATGAACAATATTAACTATTGAATATAATAGAATCAGAGGTATAGAAGGGGAGTGAACTGATGATTCTTGGGGACAAGGGGAGAGGGGGATGTGGGAAGAGACTGAACATAAACTGTGCACCTATGGATGAGGACAATGGGGGTGGGGAAAGGGCAGAGGGTGTGGTGGGAACCTGGTGGAGGAGAGCAATGGAGGGGGTTGGGGGAAAGGAACATTTGTAATAATATGAACAATAAAAATTTATTAAAAAAAAAAAAAAAAAGAAGAAGAAGAAAAGAACATTACCTGTGAAGAAATTCTTCTGTGCAAAGATGAAGTGATAGGTGGCTTTATACACTTCTAATTCACACTGCCACGTCTGGGGCATATTCCATACTCGGGGGTAACTGGCAATGATGTGGAACTGAAAAACCAATGTCAAGTCAAAATGTTAGAGTTTAAAATGTGACCCTATGTGAAGAGCATCAGAAATAAACACACACTGGTGAGTAATGAACACTTATTTTCCGACTGAACAGAACAGAAGGTCCCTTTGAGATTTTAATATTGCTGTGGCCACGGTTACATCCAGTTCCTTGAAATATTAAGCCATGAGGTGGTAAAAAAAAAAAATTTTTTTAAATTGAGGAACAACAATCAGTTTACAGTTTCAACACTGTACCTGAGCTTAACTCAAAATAACAGCAATGCCCTTGACTCCTGGTCAGTGAGAGGTTCAGGAGCAGACAGTGCATGCAATGAATACTGTCACACACAAGTCTGGCCCCAGAGCCTCCTGGGTTCCCATTTGACAGCATGGTGGTTACAGGTCTGTATTCCACCTGCCAAAGCTGGAAATTCTGCAAAGGCGAGAGCTGTTTGACCAGGACCAGCAATTTTTCATGGCAGTACTTAACAGTTATAGCTCAGCAAACATTAAAATGCTGACTATGCCAGTTCAATATACATTTATGGTATTCAATATATTCTTGGTTAGTTGCAAACATTTCCTCTTAACTTATATATATATGTATATATATATAATGTGTAAATAGCTTGTTTAGGCAAACAATTAAGGAACTACTGATATAATACTATACAAAAGAATCCTCTCTAAATATCAGCCATTCTACAACATGGCTTCTATTATTATTGTTATTGTCGTTGACCCTAACAAAAAATAATTATCTGCCTGATTACTGAGTCCCCCAATCTGAAATTTTGGTCATAAGTACTTGCATATTTTTTCTCTTTGTACTATGCAGCAATCAGGGTATTAAGCTTTTCTTCCTTTCACCTTATTCATCAAGTAAAAAGCAGAATGAATTATTAAACCCTGAGAAAGAATCCAATGGGGCCAGAAAATATATAGCAAAAAAATAAAATAAAGTAGCCCTAGCTGATTTGGCCCAGGTTCTATTCCGATCAGGGCACATGCCTGGGATGCAGGCTAGATCCCCAGTAGGATGCGTGCAGGAGGCAGCCAATCAGTGATTCTCATCATTATTGTTTCTATTTCTCTCTCCCTCTCCCTTCCTCTCTGAAATGAATAAAAATATATTAAAACACACACAGAAAAAATCTGGCTCAATGGTTGAGCATCAGCCTCAACCTATGAACCAGAAGGACACAGTTCAATTCCTGGTCAGAGCACATGCCCAGTTGCGGGCTTGATCCCCAGTATGGGGCATGCAGGAGGCAGCTGATCAATGATTTTTTGATGTTTCTCTCTCTCATTTTTGATGTTTCTAACTCTCTCTCCCTCTCCCTTCCTCTCTAGAATCAATGAAAATATTTTTTAAGGTAATTCCTCTAAAAAAAAAAAAAAAAAACCTGCTGAAATCGGTTTGGCTCAGCAGTAGAGCGTCGGTCTGCGGACTGAGGGGTCCCAGGTTCGATTCCCGTCAAGGGCATGTATGTTGGTTGCGGGCACATCCCTGGTGAGGGATGTGCAAGAGGCAGCTGGTCGATGTTTCTCTCTCATCGACGTTTCTAGCTCTCTCTCTCCCTTCCTCTCTGTAAAAAATCAATACAATATATTTTAAAATAAATAGATAAATAGGGAGGATCCAAGATGGCTGCTCGGGTAGACATCTAGCCGCGGCAGCACACAACAATTTCAATGGAATACAACTAAAATGTAGAGTGGACATTGCCCAGAGCTACAGGTAGTCGACTGACTGAAATTTCTACAACAAGAAGGAAAGAGAAAACCAGAAAGAAAATCAGAGGAGCTGAAAAAAAGCCTAAGGAACGGAGACATGCTGCGCGCGCGCGCGCGCGCGTGCTCGCCCGCACGCGCGCACGGAGAGGTCGCAGCCGGAGAGGAGGAGAGGGCGGGGAGCCGCCTTTCCTTCCCTAGCAGGAAGGAAATAAAACCCCCAGCCTGGGCTGAACCCCCGAACCGGCAGCGCTGAGCCCCCCCGAACCGGCAGCGCTGAGCCCCAGTTATGGGCCAGACCCTGGGGACCCAGGCCCCGGTGGGAGGAGACGGGGCTGTGAGGCGGAAAAACGGCGAAAAGCAGGGCCCCGGGAGTCGCGCGCAATGCAAGCGCAGAGGACTGAATGCTGACTCTGATGCTGGGTTGCCCTAGCCGAAAGAAACAAGGCCTCTGGCGGCGCTGAGCCTCAGTCCGGACTGCTCCGAACCCCAGTTCTGGGCTAATCCCTGGGGACCCAGGCTCAGGCAGAGGGAGACAGGGCTGTGAGGTGGAGTTTGGGGAGAGCGGCGAAAGGCCGGGCCCCCGGGGCTCGCGCAAACTGCGCGCAGAGGACAGTCTGTTGACTCTGATGCTGGACTTCCCTAACGGGAAGGAGAAAAAAAAAAAAGCTCTAGGCTGGGGGAACGCGGAGGGGAGTGGAAGCCCCTGCCAGACTCCAGCCAACCGGGCACCAGCAAGGAGGTGGGCCACGGGGCCCCTAGGGGCGTGGGTGCCCCTGAGCCTTTGACCACTGAGCTCGGGCAATGGAGCCAAGGCCGGGGGCTGCTTCCTGGGCGGCGCTGTCCCTGCAACAGGCTGAAGCAGCGCAGGAGCCTGCGGAGAACAAAGGGGTGCCACAGGCCAACCTGCTGAGCTCCCAGGACAAGGAGGAAGAAACCAAAGAAGTTCTCAATGTGAAGAAATCAAGTGAGAGCAAAAAATAGTAAAATTACTTAAGAAAGAATACAAAGAAGATCTTGAAAAATCAAAGACTAAGTCAGAACTCAACTCACCAGCCAACATTGCAACATAAATGCGTTTTAAAAAGAAAAAAAAAAGGACAGAATGTTGGAACAGCGACGGCCAGGCCTAGAGTGGCCAGGCACAAGGCAGTGGCAGCCAGACCCGGAGCAGCAACGGCCAGGCCCCAGAACAGCAGCAGCCAGAACCAGAGCATCAACAGCCAGCACTGGAGTAGCCAGACCTGGGGCAGTGGCAGCCAGGCATGAGGCGGAGGCGGCCAAGCCCAGGGTGGCCAGTCCAGGAACACCCAGACCCGGAGTGGCCGGGCCCGGAGAAGCCGGGCCCGGAGCAGCTGGGGTGGGAGCAGCCAGACCCAGAACAGCAGTAGCCAAGCCCAAAGCATCCAGGTCGGGAGTGGCCAGGCTCGGAGCAGCCGGGCCCGGGGCAGCCGGGCCCAGAGCAGCCGGGTCAGGAGCGGCCAGGCCCGGAGAAGCGGCTGCCAGGCTGGGAGCGGCCAGGCCCGGGGGAGCAGCCGGGTCGGGTGTGGCCAGGCCCGGAGCAGCGGCTGCCAGGCTGGGAGCGGCCAGGCCCGGGGGAGCAGGCGGGTCGGGTGCGGCCAGGCCCGGAGCAGCGGCTGCCAGGCTGGGAGCGGCCAGGCCCGGGGGAGCAGGCGGGGCTGGTGCGGCCAGGCCCGGAGCAGGGGCTGCCAGGCTGGGAGCGGCCAGGCCCGGGGGAGCAGCCGGGTCGGGTGCGGCCAGACCCGGAGCAGCGGCTGCCAGGCTGGGAGCGGCCAGGCCCGGGGGAGCAGGCGGGTCGGGTGCGGCCAGGCCCGGAGCAGCGGCTGCCAGGCTGGGAGCGGCCAGGCCCGGGGGAGCAGGCGGGTCGGGTGCGGCCAGGCCCGGAGCAGCGGCTGCCAGGCTGGGAGCGGCCAGGCCCGGGGGAGCAGGCGGGTCGGGTGCGGCCAGGCCCGGAGCAGCGGCTGCCAGGCTGGGAGCGGCCAGGCCCGGGGGAGCAGGCGGGGCTGGTGTGGCCAGGCCCGGAGCAGCGGCTGCCAGGCTGGGAGCGGCCAGGCCCGGGGGAGCAGGCGGGTCGGGTGCGGCCAGGCCCGGAGCAGCGGCTGCCAGGCTGGGAGCGGCCAGGCCCGGGGGAGCAGGCGGGTCGGGTGCGGCCAGGCCCGGAGCAGCGGCTGCCAGGCTGGGAGCGGCCAGGCCCGGGGGAGCAGGCGGGTCAGGTGCGGCCAGGCCCGGAGCAGCGGCTGCCAGGCTGGGAGCGGCCAGGCCCGGAGCAACAGCAGCCAAGTCCAGAGCAACTAGGTCGGGAGCGGCAGTGACCAGACCCGGAGCAGCTGGTTGTGGAATGAACCAGAGCAACAGAGGCCAGGCCCTGAGCAGCCAGGCCCAGAACAGCTCGCTCCTTGCCTGCCCCTGCCCCACGGCTGCTTCTCAGACATGGCTGGAAACTTTCATGGGAACTTGAGGGTCTGCTGAATCAAGTGATGAAGGCTTAGATCTGGATGTGTTGAGTTAGTTTAGGACTGGGGTGTTGATCTGTGAGTGCCTTGGGTGGGGCCTGGATGAGGCTAGTGGACCTATTGGGAAATGTCTTTTGTGTGAAGTGTATCATTGGGCATGTGGAGGTATTATTGATATGAGAAAATGCTAAGTAACTGATTTACTATCTGAAAAGGGATTTACTATTTGGGAAATTGAGGGAAGAAGAGACTGAACATAAACTGCACCTATGGATGAGGACAATGGGGGATGGGGAGGGGGCAGAAGGTGGGGTGGGAACCTGGTGGAGGGGGGAAGAAATGAGGAACCTTTGTAATAATATGAACAATAAAGATTGATTAAAAAAAATAAATAAAATAAATAAATAAATAAATAAATAAATAGATAGATAAATAAATAAATAAATAAATAAACACAATCTTATTTACAACATTAGAGAGAATAAGTCTAGACATATAGTGAAGTTGAAAAAAACAATATCCTAACAACTGATCATATTTTTAAAGGCCAAAACCCCACATTTAATTGCCTTATTTTCACATTCCCCATTCTAGGAGCAGATCAACAGAGTGTGCCAGAGAGTCTACATCACTGGGCATCTACTCCTCTTTCCAAATTAGGGCCAAGGAGCACCTGGTGTTTCTTGAACAAGAAGATGGACCATTTGATGACTTCTTGGTCATTAAAATTTTACATTAAAAAGTTAAAACCAAATTTATGTTTTATGCACCTATATATATCTTCATATACCCCAGACTTACTGCTAACATTTCTGCTTCTAACAGGGTCCGGTACTGCATGCTGGTAGTGGCATCAACATGTAACAGTTGTCCTTTAATTGCAGGAGTATAACCTAGTAAGTAAAAAACATAAAAATTAAGAATTTACTGGAAATAAATTCCACCACAACCCAAAGAATAAATTCCTGAAAAGTGGTGATCAGTGGCTATTTAAATATACCCAATGATGGGGAGGGAGCTTGTAACCAAATAGGTTTCCTTTCTCAAATGACCACCTCTGAGGGAAGAAAGTTCCATCTTCATATAATGTCTATCATGACTTCGCTTTCCAGTGCAAAACTACAAGGCTGTTCTCTAAATGACAGTTTTGAACAGTTTAAGATGGCTCCCATGTCCTCTCTTCTTTCACTAACTCCAGCATACCTAATTTCATCCTTTTCAGCCACTCTTTATGCAATGACTGTTTCTGTACAATAGCTCTCCTTATACAGTGACAGTTACACCAAACCATACAACCTATTCTGAGTAAAAGCAGCAGCTCAGAGTATTTCACCTCTTTTCTGGATGGTCTGCCCTTCCAGAAACATGAACTCTGTGGTCATTATTATATGGCTACTCCAACATACATCCTGCTCTGGGCTTTTTTGTTTTTTTCCAAACACCTGAATCTCTGAAAAAAGTTGAACATGTATTTGAGTTCTATTTTTGTCTCAGACCTAAACCCCTCAGTCAGTCACCTTAAAAGTCACCTCACCTTGACCAAGGACTCCAACCAGCCTTTCCCTGGACCTTTCCCTCACTCTGAGTCCCACAGCCTGTATGCTGGCACACTTCCCATGAATTCCTAATATGTGTGCTCCATACCCCACAGCCCTCAGGTGGCCCCTCACCTAGTGCACCAATAATTATGTACAAATTTTTTATATAAATCCTACTTTCTATGTTCATCATCAATTTAAAATGGTAGCAGCACTCACTCAAATGAACTCTTCTCAATTTTGTGCACCACCCAACTGCCTTTTCCCTTATACAGATCAGTAATTAAGGCTGTCCTAAGAGATGCTTCTTTCCAATAGACTACACTGAATCTACCTATCCTAGAGACCTGCTTCAAGACACTATAGGATTATTCTTTTAGAACTAACTAAAATAAGGTTTTGTTCTTCACTAAAACAGCATAGAGATTACAGGGAAAAGACATACTCTGCGGTATCAGTCACTTTTTCAGTTAATTATCTCAGCAGGCTACCCCAACTCCTCCTACTTTATGGATCCAATTAATACAGTGAGTGGCAGGAACAAGTACAGAGAGTCAAGAATGGAATAAAAATTACTCTCTACTTAGCAATCATAACATTGCTGGTTAGTTTAAAAATATTAAGTAAGTTGCTATTCTCTGCATGCTCAAGAAAGTGAATAAATAGAACAGAATTTAATTTTAATTACTCTCAACTACAAATGTAATAAAAGGATGAGAGGCAAAAAAAAAAAATGAAGACAGCTATACAATATTTTGGTCAATTTAACACAAAGTGGTCATGTTGTTGATTAACTTGTTTCAGAGCCAAATTTTAAATGCATAATGAATTAGATTATTTCAGATCAGATGAAACAATAGCTATCAGGGCCTTATTTAATATTTGAAATATGAAACATTCTTTTTTCTTAAAGTTTTGCCATTCAAAGTTCCCAGTTTACTCCCTGACAAAAATCTACTATTATTACCAAAAACAAAGTTTATTAGCCATTCAGTCAATACTGGCCATGAACCACAAACCAGTTACTGTATTTGGCATCAGGTTTACACAGTGAAAACAAAGATAAAGCACCTGCTCTCATGAAGAAACAGGAAAATTTTAATAAGCAAAGTATGCTCACTTACAAAAGAGAAATTTAGAGTACTAGTGGCCTGGTGCACAGATTCATGCACATCAAAAGTAAATTAGAAGAAATATTTTAATATTGCTATTTGTCCTTTCTCTATAATAGAAGTGTCAGAGATTAAAGAAAATTAGTAAAATGTACATGAAAATAATATATAAGTTGATTAATAAATAATAACAACAAAAACATGATATAAAAACAAAAACAACCAAATTCACCATCAATAATGACATATCGAGCTTTATATGTATCATGCATTCATGAGTCAGTGTTTATTTTTAAGCTAGTGGGGTTCCCTCGGCCTAGCCTGCAGGATCAAGCCAAATGGGCTCTCTGACATCCCTCGAGGGGTCCCAGATTATGAGAGGGCGCAGGCCAGGCTGAGAGACCCCATTGGTACACGACCGGGGCCAAGGAGGGGGAGGGACACGGGAAATTGGCCAGCATGGAAGGGACTGCAAAAGAGCTCCAGAGCATGTCTAGCCCATCTCACTCAGTCCCAATGGCTGGGCTCCAGCAGCAAGCTAACCTACCACTTGGAGCATCTGCCCCCAGGAGGTCAATGCCTATTATAGCAAGCGGATGAGTGCCTTAGGATATCATTATCATATTACACTTTGATTGGTTGAACAGCCAACTGGACAACCGGACACTTAACACATTAGGCTTTCATTTATAGGATTATCAGTGCAGGTCATATGTACCGGCCGGCCGGTTGGTCAGTCAGATGGGTGGTCCGTCACTTAGCTTTTTACATATATATAAATAATGAAAGCATGAAATTATAAGACTTAACTTGATTTAAAGAATTTTTTCTCTTTCTCTAGCTCCACAAATGATTTAATTATGTACTATCTATTGTTGATAGCTAAGGTACATCAAAATATAATAAAAAGCTGAAAAAGAAAACCCCATTAATTAATGTTAATTTAAGTGGATTAACAAACTACTGTTTATATATTATTTTCTTACTCATCATTTGGAACAGAGAAGCACTTGCTGTAGCTTACCATTTTCCTCAACTGTCATGGGAATATTGATCTCCAAATAGGAGCCAGCACCAACATTGACATGCACAGCATTTGTTTCCTAACAGCAACAAAAAAAAGGTAAGTCACATAAAATCTAATATATATAAAAGCCCAGTGACCTGGAATGGCAGAACAACCAGAAAGACCAGTGGCTATGATGCACACTGTGGCAGCCACTGAACCTGATCCAGGCCCTGATCACAACTCCCTCCTGCCTGGCCTGGCCCCAATCAGCCCCCAACAGCCAGCAAACCACCTTCGGCCTCTCCCCCGAGCCGGCCCAGCCCAATAGGCCCTCATCAGGGCAGGCCAGCTGGACCCCACCTGTGCACGAATTCGTACACCAGGCCTCTAGTATTCCTTATAATTATTATACATTCCCATCTTCACCTTTTAGTTATTATCAGAGATGATATTAAATAGGTATTCAAAATGCCTGAGAACACACCCTTCACAGTGTGGGTCTATGATTAGATTGTTGGCCCATGTACCACAGGGTCCCAGGTTGATTCTGGTAGAGGCCACGTACCTAGGTTGTAGATTGGATCGCTGACTCCAGTCAGGCGAGTGTGGTAACCAATTGATGTATCTCTCGCCTCTCTCTCTCTCTCTCTCTTTCTCTCTATTTTTTTCTACTTTCCTTCCTCTCTCTAAAAATCAATGGGGGCCAAGACGGGTTTGGCTCAGTGGATAGAGCGTCAGCCTGCGGACTGGAAGATCCCAGGTTCGATTCCGGTCAAGGGCATGTACCTTGGTTGCGGGCACATCCCCAGTGTGTGGTGTGCAGGAAGCAGCTGATCGATGATTCTCTCTCATCGATATTTCTAACTCTCTATCCCTCTCTCTTCCTCTCTGTAAAAAATCAATAAAATATATTTTAAAAAATAAATAAATAAAAAAATAAAAATCAATGGGGAAAATATCCTCAAGTGTGGATTAACAAAAAATACACTAAAACCATTTGGACTGATATAAAGGAGAAAATGAACAAGACTATAGCATAAAGATTTGTTGATTAACTTCTGTCTACTATTTGGCACTTAATGAAAGTAGCATATATACAATTATTCGGGGTACAGTGGCAGGAGCTCATAGAAATGAATCTCAGTATAGGACTATCATCAAAACTTGCTCTGGAAAATAATATTCAAATTTTAAGCACTATTTTCTCTATATTATTTCAATAATTACCCTATTTTTGGTAAACAGCAAGTCGATAGTAGCATCTGCAATAATATTCATTCGCAGTTCAAAGGCAAGGATCTGTCTTGGTTTCCCTGGCTGTGCAATTTCAGAAACTTTCAGAACTTGATAATCAGGTGGGAAGAAAAACTTCCATAAACAATCTCTATATAAGAAGGTAGAAAGAATAGTGACATTTTACTCCAACAAAATGATTTCTAATAAGGGACCAAAATCAATATTTGAACTTGATATGTTTTATCACTGCTCTCTCATTTAAAAACAGACAAAATACAAAAAAAATAAGTCATAAACACCTAGAATAACTTCTCAATAAACAAAAGAATGTTTTCTACTGTGAAAAATGAAAGACTTTATTTAAGTAGTATATCAATTGTCTAGATGGCAAAGTTTCTGAACAAACTTTAAACAACGTCTATTTACATAAAAACTTGGATGTGATCTTATCACTACTGGTAAATCCTCTCCTTTGTTTAAAATTCTTCCTCCCCTGGCTAACACTTATGTTCAAAACTCAACTCACATGTTCCCTCTATCAAAAAGCCTCCCCCAATTCTTTTCTTCTTTAATCTTTAAAAGGATTTGTTCTTTTCTTCTTTAATCTTTTACAGGCTGAATTGCGTATCCCTAAACATTTTTATGTGGAAGTGCTAACCTCAGAATTTGGCTATATTTGGAGACAGAGTCTTTACAGAGGTAATTAAGTTAAAAAGAGATTTTTTGGTGGACCCTAATCTAACATGACCAATATTCTTCTAAGAAGAAGAAATCTGGACACAGAGAGCTTACAAGACACACAAAAAGGAAGACCACATGGAGAAGCAGGGAGAAGAAGGCTATCACAAGCCAAGCAGCGAGGCCTCAAACACATCCTTCCCTCGCCGCCCTCATAAAGAACTAGCCCAACACTTTAGTTTCAGAATCCTAACTTCCAGAACTGTGAGAAATTTGTTGTTTAAAATCACACAGTCCATGATTATCTGCTATGGGAGCCTTAGCAAACCAAGTCAGTACCTTTCTAAGTTTTTCAAGAGTGTTTATTCACTTCTATTATAGTATGTAATAAACCTCTTTTGTCTCTTTTTTCCATCCACTAAAACTAAGTTATCTATGTATTTAGCTCTCAATCTGCATCACCCTAACAATCACTGACATATTTATTGATTACTAATAAATACTTAAGAAAAAATAAAGAAACCAATAAATGTGCTGCTTATTCATCATTTTTCTAATGAGTTAACTTCTCTTTTGCAGTGAACTTGCTTAAACCAAATTTCTATATACAAATTATTATTTGGATTAAAATGTCTAGGAATATCTTATCCTGTCATAATAAAATAGCTTAGAAAACTATACAGTTAATTTTAATAAAAATATAGTATTAGCTCAATACATTTGAAGGACTCATTAGAAATATTATTTATTAAGGTACCTTTGTCTATCGGCCCATGGCCCATAGTTGAAATCTGTTCCTTTACCACAAACTATATCAAGTCCCCAACATGGAGGCAAATCTTGTAATTTGCAGTCCTCACTACTCATTTCTCCTTCAATGTTTTCCTCTGTTTCTTCTGGAACAAGTCCTGTATTACAGAATACACAACATAAAGGCAGTTATTTAAAACAACCATTAAAATGTTCCTGTAGATCAGTAGTTCTAAAAAAAAATTTTTTTTAAATTTTAGGATCACTTTACACTCGTAAAAATTATTGAGGACCTGCCCAGCTGGTATTGCTCAGTGGTTGAGCATCCACCTATGAACCAGGAGGTGACGATTCAATTCCTGGTCAGGGCACATGCCCAGGTTGCAGGCTCAATCCCCAATCAGAGGTATGCACAGGAAACAGCTGATCAGTGATTCTCTCTCATCATTGATGTTTTGATCTCTTTTTCCCTCTCCTCTGAAATCAATAATTTTTTTTTAATTGAGGACCCTAAAGTGGGTATTTTTGTATTATCTCTATCAATACTTATCGTATTAAAAATTTAAATTGAGCATTTTTAAAAAATTTTATTTAATTAAATAAGAAGTGCATTATATGTTGTCATTAATAACATTTAATGAAAACAATATAAAATATTTTAATGAAATGTTTAATTTCATTTTTAATAAAAATATTTTAATAAAAATAACCATATTTTCTTAAAAATTAATTTCTTGAGAAATATTGGTATTGTTTTTATTTTGGCAAATCTCTCTAATGTCCAGCTTAATAGAAAACATGTAAATTCTCACAGCTGCTTCTATATTAAGTCTGTTGTTCAAGGATTTGAAAAAAACCTAGCCTCATACAAATAGGTGGATAGAAAAGGAAGGAGTATTTTAATAGCTTTCTCTGATTGTTCTGGATATTCTTCTCTGACACTATACCAAAATTCAACAAGTAGTAGTTTCTTAAAGATTACAGCGTGGAATCTGAAACCATATCCCTGAACTTCTTTCATTAAAATGTACTATCTCTCTTGCACTTTGAATAAATCTTTTATCCATGGCCTGACTTTGCAACAGCATGCATTGATCATTTGGAAAATATGGGTTCACTACAACATACATACTTTTTCAAATATTAATAAATTTTATTATTAAACATTTTAAAAATCACATTTGTTAATATCACTAGTGGTCTTATGAGAAAAATTCTGAAACTCATAGTTGCAGACTTAAATTTTTTCAAAATCCTAATTTTGAAAAACCAATCAATCCCTAGATATTCTTTCAAGTAAAGAATCACTGAAAATATCAACATGGTGAAAAAGGCAAACAGCATCCTACTTTTACTTTTAAAATATTTTGACCTTATAAAGCCACTGAAATATATAAAAAGATCAGGAGAAAAGGGGGCTAAAATCCAATGTTCAGAAACTTTTATAAAATGGAAACCATCCATGAAGCATGGTAGCTGGATTAATCCTGAAACTGTCAGCCTCAAATTTAACATACTGTGAGTTGTTTTCCTAACATGAATTACCTTAACCATCACCATATTTTCAAAGGTTTTCACTCATGGTAATTTGCATTCACAATTTTTTTTTTCATTCATAATTTTTGAGGTATTAGGTCTAGTAATAATTAATGTCGTTTTCTAATACCTTTTTTAAAATCGAATTTATTTAAACAATACAACAAAATTTAATCAACAATATAGTTGCCGTTGTTTTCTACTACTTGTGCCCAACGCTCAGGAAGCATTTTAATCCCTCTGTTGTAAAAATTCTTGTGATTTTGATGCAAAAAATTCGGTCAATGCATTTTTGAGGCATTCTTCATTATTAAATTTTTTTCCAAGAAGAAAGTTTTGCAAAGAATGAAACAAATGGTAATCGGAAGGGGCAATATCAGGAGAATATGCAGGTTGAGGGAGAACTTCCCATTCCAACTGGCGCAGTTTTTCAGCAGTGATTCTTGCAGTATGCGGTCGTGCGTTATCGTGGTGAAGAATTACGCCCTTCCGATTAATCAGCGCGGGTTCTTTTTCTCTGAAAGCTTGGGCTAACCTTTCCAATTGGGCACTATACACTGCACTTGTAATGGTTTGGTTAGATGGTAAAAGTTCATAATGAAGAATTCCTTTAAAATTCCACCAAACACACAACATCACTTTTTTCGCATGCAAGTCAGGTTTTGGCGTGGGCTGCGGAGCCTCATTTTTGTCCAACCATTGAGGCCGCCTTTTCAAATTAACATACAGCACCCATTTTTCATCTCCGGTAACAATTTGCTCTAAAAACGGCAAACGGTTTTGACGAGAGAGGAGAGAACTGCAAATTGTGACTCTTTGATTACGGTTATTGTCGGTCAACTCATGAGGAACCCATTTTCCAAACTTTTGGACTTTGCCAAGTGCACGCAATTGATTGGAAATTGTTTTTTGTGAACAATTTAAAGTTGTCGCAAGCTCTTGTTGGGTAATTTGAGGATTTTGCACCAAAAGAGCTTGAAGAGCTTCTTGATCAAAATTGGACACACGACCTCGACCACTCTTGTCATCTAACGAAAAATTAACCTCGCGAAATTTCTCAAACCAATGCTGGCATTTTCTGGCGCTAACTGCATCTTGACCAAGAGCACTACAGATGTTTTTTGCAGCCTCACTTGCTTTTCTTCCTAATTGGAACTCGTAAAGCATGCAGTGCCGAATATGCTCTTCATCCGCCATCTTCTTAGCCCTAGTTTTGCAACAAAAACCAAACCAAACACAAACTTTTTCAAGCAAAACTTGTTCATTGCACTTCACACGTTCTGTAGATACCACGTGTTTGAAGGTTATGTCAATACAAGTCAACGCCAAGCAAGATTTTAAACGAATGTTTTTAAACGACATTAATTATTACTAGACCCGATATATTTGATAACATGGAATTTGAAGGAAAGATTACAATATCATTTGGTCTGAAATACTAAAAGTCATATTCAACTTTTAACAATGACACAGGTATTTCTTAGGTAGTCATTCTTACCATTTATTGATGCTTATTTATATCCTAAGAGACTTAAAATATTATTAATATCCAATTTCATAGAAGAAACAGAATTGCAGCTATGAACTATCCTTTCAAAAAGTCCTACCTGGCTCGTCCATGTAATAGTAGATATCAACATCATTTGACTGCATCACCACAAAGCCTTCTCCCATTAATCTCGGTGGCCTATGAGGAGGGGCAAGGCAAACTAAGTACATCTTCAGAATACAAAATGTTCAGGGTTATAATTAATGGTGGTGACAGGTGAAAACAAACAAAAAAACAAATGCATCAAGGGTAGCATCTTGAAAAGGTGAGCCATCTTTCACAGACAATAAATTGTTCTATAGTTATAGTCTATATTAGACTAACTAATAAAATTATACTGAAATATTTTTAAATCAGATTGGTTCCATAAGGAAAAAAGAAACAAATTGTTTCACATTTTCATCTTAAGTTGTGAATAACAAAAATCAATTTAAGAAAGTTAACTGAATACAATTGAAAAACAATGTTCATCAGAATTGATTATATTCTGTATTTACAATAAAATTAAACTTTAAATTCAATCATTTTTTATTAATAACACTACAAACCTGAAGAATAAATATCACTTTATATATCTGTGAAATAAAATAAGCTTTCCAAAATATTACAGAAAAAAAAATATTGTCATTTTTATTTTTAACAAGTTTACATTATCTATATCCAAGAATATTTATTTGATCAACTTGAATTAAATTTAAAGCAAACATCTTGAATTCAAATTCTGGATTGACTGTTTCTCTACAATCACTTTTCCATAAACTGTTCATCTTTAATTGCTTTAACAACTTTTTACTTTGTCATACACTACAGTATCTTCCTTCCACATCAAAATTAACTTCAGTCATTAAATAATAACACAAATTCAGCAATATTCTTCTTAAAATATATTAAATCTTAAGGTTAATGTTTATTTTTTAAATATATTTTTATTGACTTCAGACTGAAGGGAGAGAGAAACATCAAGGATGAGAGAGAATCGTTGATCTGCTACCTCCTGCATACCCTTCTACTGGGGATTGAGCCCAAAACCCAGGCATGTGCCATAACCGGGAATCAAACCATGACCTCCTGGTTCATAGGTCAACACTCAATCACTGACCAGTACCTGCCAGGCTTAATGTTTAATTTCATCATTTAACTTTCACACTTTTGAAGAGTAAAAAACACAATTTTAAATTTTTTTATACAAGTTAATAGCAGAATACTTTTTCATCTTACTCTCTAATAATTTTCACAAAATCCAGATTTATTTATTCATGCAGTATTAAACTTTTAACTGTAAGTGCAGCATTATGTGCTAAGCAAAGCCCCTGATCCTGAAAAGTGAGTCCAGGCAGACGCACAGCCTCACCAGTCTCCATAGGGAAACCTCTCTACCACTCCAGTCAGTCCCCGGAAAACTGAACAGCAAGAAGTTGTAACTAAAAAGGAATAATCATGCTTTTCATGACCTCACAGACTTTATGTTGCCTACAAAGATACACGCTGGGATATAGTAGAATATAGTGAATACTAAATTACACAAATTCAACCAGAGAGTCACCTCACAAAAAGAACAGATATCATGAGCCCTCATCCTACCATGAACATATGTCCTGGAGTTCCTTTAGGTCCCAGGCCTCATAGGGAAGCATCCTGCCACCGCGAGGGTGAGTCCACAGTGTGACACTAATGCTCCCTGTCTCCTAAACGCAAGCATCTACTTCACAGATGGAAGACAAATCTGGGAAGCTAGATGGAAAACTGCCCAGGACTTGAATGCCAAGAAAGTTCCATCCTAACTGTAGCATCCTAACTTCAACAGCTGTTCAAAGGTAATTTTTAACTTTTTTCATTAACTCAGAATGGTACTCCACTATAATGAATTTGTTGAATTTACTATTTATCCATTCCTACCTGTAATATGTAAACATTAAATACCAGGGCTTAATTTCCCAAAATGAGTTTTTCAAATACAGTTGAGAAAGAAAAGAGTAAAAAAAAAATAGTCTTAATTGTACAGAAAAATATTTAAAATTAGTTTACCAATAGATAGTATATCCACTTACCTTATAAAGTAGGACTACACTGTTAATTTATTAGAAAAATATACCTAATTAATGCCCAGCTTGTAAAGAAATTAAAAGGGTGCTAAAGATTGAATTGATATATATATTAGACATATGTAAGATGGTCTTACTCATCATTTTGAAGACCAACATATCTTGGACTAGGAACAAGCATGACTCGAACATTTTCAAGCTTTCCTTTCACAATATGCATGAATTGGTCAAGGTGACTGGAAGGTGGTTTTGTAGTATAAGTTAAGAAAGCATCATCAAAGTTGATACACAGAGTTTGAGGTTGGTAATGATTTCCAAAGGCCAGGCGACCCTACAAAAAGGTAAGAGATAGTATGCATACAATAAAGGCTTTACTTTTTTAACTGACCTAATAACAAACATTTTCAAGCCACAACTAGATGATTCCACTTTAGCACCATCTATATTTAAATCACTCTATTGATCAATTTAAACCTGGGTTTAAAAAGATTTAAGCACTTGTGAATAAATAGCCTGTCAGGTCTAACAAATTTATGCTAAAATAATATTGGTGTTAAAAGAATTCTTTCACATTTTATGAAAATTGGAACCCAAAAAAAACTACAAAATTATTTTATTAAGTAAAAAATAATGTTTGCAAAAAAAATAAAAGGTTCTGTTATTAACCCACCAAACATTAATTGTAGTACAATTACTTACTGTGCTCACGTTGACCTTTATAACTGGAATAAGTGATCTCCATGAAGATGTAGGGTCCTGAGATTCTGTTTTTACTTTAACTCTAGAAGAAAAAATAAAAACTGAAGTATATAAGAAAGACTTAACTACCTAAAGATACAGTTGACTTACTCAAAATAGACATTATTAATACCAGCTGTACTTTTTCAGATACATCTCATGATGGCTCCAGTAAATGAAACAGAGACCATCTAACAGAAAAATATTGGCCACACACAAAGTACACAAAATTTAAAGAATGAAAAGTTTATAGCAATTCACTAAAGATTTTGGATGTAAACTTGAAGCATATCTCTTCAATAATCCAATTATCTCCTAAATGGCACTTCTGAGGCCAACTCCACAAAGGTGACCCTCAGTGCATAAAACTAAATTTACATGTTGCATATTAATAAAATTTAAGTGTGACAATGAACCTTTCCATTTTGGACTGGGTTCTTGTTCTTCCATTTTCCCGTGTTTTATCATCCTCTTTCTTGGGGGGGATTATTGTTGGCTCCAAACCAAATAATTCTTGAAGACGTCCATAAAGATCCGAACGATTGTAGACATGAAATTCAAAGTCATTAACTGTGATGTATAATCTGGTTTCTGCCTTTGGATCTAAAGACATCAATTACAAAAAAATAAAATAATTTTTTACATCAATTACACACACATACACGCTAAAGTTTTTAGTCAACTTTTTAAAAACTTAAGTCGTTTTTGTCAAATCATTTTCCACACTTAAAGTAACTTAAATGATTTACTTTAAAACAGAATTCTATGATAAAGAGGTAATATACATATAAAACACTGGCAAAAGAAAAAAAAAGGCTAATGTTACTAGAGCATTTTAATTTAACATTCGAAAAACAACCTGAATTTCTAGATTTTGGTTGTCTACTGCCAGAATTTAAAGATTTTACCCTAAGAATAGAAAAGTGCCATTTACAGAATAAAGGTTAAAACTTTATCCTAACATAGCCATAAATTTATACTAAAATATAAGTAGCAAAATGTTCAAAGTATAATATACTTAAACATCACATCAGTTATTTAAACTTGTGCTTCATGGAAAGTAGGATTTTTCATAAAATACTAGTTTGTTTTTAAAAAAACTACTTAATACTAAAATAAAGATCTTATTAACTGTACACTTAAAACAATTTCAAATAAAAGACATAATTACATTAAATATAAGTAACAACAGAAATTTACAAATCCATCTATAAAGTGATAGATGGGCAATTGTTTCTGTTGAGGAAATAATCCAAGACAGAGCATTACATGTTAACCAAGAGACTTAACAGAAAGGTACCACAGTCAGTGCCTTCTTTTGTTATGAATCAAACAGGTGATTTTTTTTAAGACTTTTTAAATGTTTGTCCATTTTTATCCCTACAGAACAAATTTAATTTAAGGTAATTAAAATTAGATATAACCAGTTAGAAGATTTTAATTTTTTTAATGGGTAAAGAGTATTAACTTTCATTTTAGTAGCTTAAGCTTGTAGTTTAAAGTCTAGAGGCCCAGTGCATGAAAATTCATGCACTGGTTGGGGGTCCCCCAGCCCAGCCTGCCCCCACTCACAGTCCAGTAGCCCTCAGAACCAGGAGGCAACCCGGTGATCAGAGGAAGGCGATGCCCCATCACACCTCTGCTGCTGCCACTGCCAAGCAGCACAAGATGGCCACCACAAGATGGCCAGCAGAGAAGGAACCAGGCCTGCAAGGGAGGGCAGTTGGGGGCGATTAAGCCTTCAGTTGAGGGCAGTTAGGGGTAATCAGGACGGCAAAAGAGGGAAGTTGGGGAAAACCGGGCCTGCAGGGAAGGGCAGTTGGAGGGTGACCAGGCTGGCAGAGGAGGGCAGTTAGGGGCAATCAGGCCAGCAGGGGAGCAGTTAGGTGTCAATCAGGCTGGCACAGGAGTGGTTAGGGGGTGATCAGGCTAGCAGGCAGAAGCAGTTAGGGGCAATCAGGCAGGCAGATAGGCAGGCGAGAGGTTAGGAGTCCTGGATTGTGAGACTGATGTTCCAGATTGAAGAGGGTATAGGCTGGGCTGAGGGACACACTCTCCCCATCCACATTTTGTGCACCGGGCCTCTAGTTCTTTAGATAAAAGCAGAACCAGAAGAAATTCTAAAGTCTGTGTTTACCATTTTCTGTTCATCCTTTTCATATCAGATAAATTATAATTAGTAGAAATATCAGGAAGAAGTATGAATAAAGACACCAAAGATGAAATGTAGCAAAGTGTTTTGGTAGACTAGTTAAAGGATATTGAGAAGACCATTTATCACCAGTATGGGTCAGGCCCACAGATGTAACATGCAAGGCTAGAATTGTGGGTAAGAGTCCTATTAAGGATAACTCTGAACAAATAATCAGCTAAAATGAACCAATTTAACCAGGCAAGAGAAAGATTTTTAAGAGAATTTTTAGTAAACTGATGATAAAATCAGAGTTTTGGCAAGTCCAAAGCTTTTAAAAATATTTTTATCTATTTTAATAACCATAAATGAAAAAGGATTATATCATTGACAATTTCAAACAAATAAAATAAAAACTCACCATGCTGCTTCTGTTTTGGATTATACATTTTCCACCACCGAAAAATTATAAATCCATCTTGAATTCTAAGCAAGATAAATTACAAAAATGAAAACAGGTAAGAATTTATTTAACTTGATTCTTAGTTAATTATTGTAAAAGACAGGCAACTGATAATAAGGAAACAAAAATTCTTAACAGAACTCTGACATACTTAAATGTTTCATACTCTTTCAGTTAAAAAAGTAAAAGAGGATATTCACAGGTTTAAATTAGCTTCTTCTACTCAGGGAAATGTAATACTGGATTCCATTCAACAGTAAAATGAAGTGCTAACAGAAAACCTTCTTATTTTATAAATATCTTTAATGTTGTAAAAACTACATAAACAAAAGGTCAAATCTTGAAAGGGGTACATTAGCACACTAGAGAAAACTTTTACAGATAATTCTTCATTTCTTAATGATATATCACTTCATGCTCCCATTTTTAACTTTTACTTTTTACTTTTAATTTGGAATAATTTTAGACTCACAAAGAAGATGCTTCTATTGTTTCAAGAGAAGTATAAGTGGTACCAAACTCTGGCATCTCTCAATTCAAAATTTTCCAAGTTCTAAGTAACAAATTTTAAGAAGATCACAAAAATAAAAGTAAGCTGCTCAGCTGGTGTGGCTCAATGGTTGAGCACCAACCTATGAACCAGGAAGTCACAGCTCGATTCCCAGTCAGGGCACATGCTGGGCTGCAATCTTGATCCCCAGTGGGGGGCATGCAAGAAGCAGCCAATCAATGATTCTCTCTTATCATTGGTGTTTCTATCTCTCACTCCCTCTCTCTTTCTCTCTGAAATCAATAAAAATATATTTTAAAATAATAATAATAACAGAGTAAGCTTTTCTTATAATACAAAGCTTACATAAGAGAGAACAATATAAAACATATTATTCTTAATATATTAAGATTTTTGTTTTCTTCTTAAAGTAAAATTAGAGTTGGTAACAGATGCTAAACAATTCTAAACACTTATTGCCTAATAAGAACCTAATGGGTGAGCATTATCAACATATCTGATCCTTATTTTATATAACAAATGACCACGATAAATTCTACAACAGAAATGATCAGGTAATTTAATGCCTCAATTTTACATCTTGCAATGACCTGAGATTATTGATTTCTATATGTTGCTATTAGGTAAACTTTTAGCCAGTCTAAACTTTAGCTAAATTAATCCATGGTTAGAAACATTTTAAAACATGAATTCATTAAGTCTAATTTACTGAAAAAATTATTTCTATATAATTTATGGTTTGGGTTTTTTGTTGTTGTTGTTTATATATATATATTTTTTATCTCAAAGAGGAAGGGAGAGGGGGAGAGAGACAGAAACATCAATGATGAGAGAGAACCACAGACCAAATGCCTCCTGCACATCCCCCACTGGGGATCAAACTGAAAGCCAGGCCATGTGCCATTGACTGTAATCAAATTCGTGACCCTTCAGTCCACAGGCTGATGCTCTAGCCCTGAGCCAAACCGACCAAGGCTGATTTATGGTTTTATTTGCTGAACCGAGTAATATTAAAACAAGTATCATAATTAGAAAATACTTTCAATATTTCAAGTTTAAGGTAGGTTCTTTTATTTGTTTTAGGTTTTGTGTTTGCTTTTTACCTAATAGACATGTCTTCTGTAATGTAATAGATTTCACGAACCATGATTTTTCCAGAAAGAACAGAGAAAGAGAAGGAGCCTGTTATAGGGGACAAAAAAAAAAAAAGCAATTAATTTAATTGTTTTGATACAGTAGAGCTCTTAACACTTAAAATAATCTTAGCAACCAATTCGTTCAATAATTAAATGTTCTCTCCTGACTCCCTTCCAAATATCCTTTCAGCCTTACTAATTTCTATCATTTCTCCTGAAAAAGTGCCACAGGTGTCATAACAATGGACTGAGTTACTAAATAACCATATAAGAACATTAATTTGAATAGCTGCTTCATACAATTTCTCTTAATTATGCACAGCCATTAATAAACCCATAGCAGTGATTAATTCACCATTTTTCTCCATTACTCCAGGAACCAGTCACTGCCTCAAATTAATGGAAGACTATTTGTGTTTGAGAGAAGTTCATGTCCATTAAAAGGTACTCAACTCCAGGGAAGGTTAGAATGATTATATTCAGTGCCCCCTCCTTCTTTCTCATGGGTTTGGTACTTTCCAGAGTATATAGCTAATAAAGCAGGCACAAAATGAAATATACAAGATGACTCCAACTTACAGGTTTTTAAAGTACGGGTTACTTAAAGAAAAAAAAAAAGAGCAAATAATTCATTGAGCTTTAGAAATTTTCTCTAGATGGACTTGTGAGAAATTTCTATTTCCATATTTGGTATCTGTCTATATTTTTTCAAATTATTTTCACGAGCATCTTTTATAAATAAAGTCAAAGAGTAACTATGGAAACACTTTAACAAATAAGAATGAGGTAAAGGGCATAACCTGTTACACAGTGCTGGAAGAGAGAAATTCAAAGTAGGTTAGTTTATCCTTCATGAAACAATGGTAAATTTCTAAAACTACTATCTGTTTATAAAAGATAAATGTATAATGTATACCTCAAGATTACACAGAAGAAAATAATGCAGGTTTACTTCAACTCACCAATATGGATATAGCCATGTTTGTATAATCTGTTGACAACCAAGGTTAAAATAAGACCAACATTCCGAGAATTATAATATGTGAGATAAATAATCCATCCACAGGACAAAATGGTAGCTGTTGGGAGAAAAAAGTACAAAAGGATGTCACTTTCAATCACCTTAATATGTTAGTAAACTTTGTCAGTAAAAGATCATTTACCACACTCAATAATGATAATATGGTAGTAAGTCCTCTTAAAATTTAATACCTTGGGTTTTAAAATCAGAGCTTGGATCTACTTTATCCCCTTTCCTCATTAGCCAGAAAAAAAAAAAAAAAAAGAAAAAAAAACAGATTCAAATCAGATCCATTAGAGCCTTTTGTTTTTCTTATATCTTTTTTCACTGCTTTGTACTGTTTTCTTTATTAAATACTAGAGGCCCAGTGCATGAAATTTGTGCGGCAGGACAGGGGGAGGGTCCCCTCAGCCCAGCCTCTGCACCCTTTCCAACCCAGGACTCCTCAAGGGATGTCCAACTACCGGTTTAGGGCTGATCCCAGGGCTAGGCCTAAACCGGCAGTAGGACATCCCTCTCACAATCTGGGACCACTGGCTCCTAACTGCTCACCTGCCTGCCTGCCTGATTTGCCCCTAACTATCCCCCCTGCCAGCCTGATCGTCCCTAACTGCCCCCCTGCTGGCCTGGTCACCCCACGCAGCCTGCTTGTTCAGTCATTTGGTCATCCCTCACTAACCCTCCTGCCAGCCTTGTCGCCTCAGGCAGCCTGTGTTCAGTCGTCTATCCAGTTGTTTTGGTTGTGACGGCCCCTTGATTTTTATATATTAGATTATGTAAAGATGTTTTGGGACAAGAAAACCTATAATTCTGAACATTATGAAAAACATTCACCTTTATCAGGCTAAAAACTCATTCCCAAGCTATTCACTGAAAGCTAAAGTGACGTAAAAAGAAAGAAAATTAATGATTTTTTAAATCAATAAACTCTGCTTTTAAGAAAGTAATGGAGTTGGGGAGCAGGGACTGGAAGTGGTCAATGGTGGGGGGTACATATGTAATATTTTCAATAATAAATAATTATTTAAAAAAAAAAAAAGTAATGGAGCCTGGCCAATGTGGTCACTGGTTTGATTCCTAGGTTGTTTGCTCAATCCCCAGTAGGGGCATGCAGGAGGTAGCCAGTTGATGTTTCTTTCTCATTAGTGTTTCTATTTCTCTATCCCTCTTCCTTCCTCTCTCTCTAAAATCAATAAAAACATTAAAATAAATAATGGAAATAAGTAGGAATTTAGCCTACTTAAAGGCATATCTATATTAAATAGGACATCTTATACTATTTTACTATAATTGATAAGACAATAACCATTTAGCCGAAACCGGTTTGGCTCAGTGGATAGAGTGTTGGTCTGCAGACTGAGGGGTCCCAGGTTCAATTCCGGTCAAGGGCATGTACATTGGTTAGGGGCACATCCCCGGTAGGGGTTGAGCAGAAGGCAGCTGGTCGATGTTTCTCTCTCATTAATGTTTCTAACTATCCCGTCTTCTTTGTAAAAAAATCAATAAAATACATTTTTTTAAAAAGACAATAACCATTTAAGAATGTCTGCTTTTACTGAATAAATAATAAATGATATTCCAAGTTTGACCATTTGTCAATCTATCATGAAGTTTATAATCACTTACAAAATTTATAATATTCCCCCCAAAAAAACTAGACCATGAATATACAAAAGGCAAAATACCAGAAAGCATTTTCTGATAATATTTTTTACTTATCTATTTTTAAAATATATCTGTTTTCTAAATTAGGACAAAGTAATGTAAACCAATTTAACATATGTAACATTTAAGCAACATCAAATTGAGTTCCTAACTTAAAAAAAATTATTTAATATGATAAAACAAGGCAATCACCGATACAACATTTCACAGGTTAGCTTAGATTAATGATAATAGCTTTGATATAGAAAGTGCTATGATGTATCCATAAAAATTATTCCTATGACAATTATTTTGAAAATTATTTTGATGACCTTTCATTATGTTTTAACTTTAAAGTCATTTTGTAGTAATTTTTACTGTAAATCACTGTGTCAGGTTGTTGTGGGCCATTCAGAAAGGTAAGAGGATTTTGAAATGAAAGTTTGCTTCTAGTGTTAAAGAACCTAGGAACTATGGCCTTTTCATTGTGACATGTCCCCAACCCCTTCAATATCATAAGGCCAACCACTGTTTAAAATTTGGCAATTGCTACTCCAACTATAAAAAAAAAACAAAAACAATAATGTAGCCCTAGCCAGTTTTGCCCAGTGGATAGAGTATCAGACTGCAAACTGAAGAGTCCCAGGTTCAATTCCTGGTCAGGGCACATGCCAGGATGGCGGGCTCAATGCCCAGTGTGGGGCATGAAGAAGACAGCTAAACAATGATTTTCTCTCATCATTGATGTTTCTACCTCTCTCTTCCTCTCCCTTCCTCTCTGAAATCAATAAAAATATATTTTTTAAAGTAATGTACCAAAAAATACATTCTACTTACCAACGAGGAGCCACACAACATTAGAATTGTGTTCTGTAAGGAAATCTTCTAGCTGGGTGATACTAGGAACAATACTGTCATTTTTCCTTTGATCCATTTTTGAGGTTTTTCCAGAGAGGCATCTAAAGGTCTAAGAGTTCAAAGGTTAATTTAGAATCAGATATTTATTAATCTGCAAGAAAAATCATGTAACGGGGGGGGGGGGGGGGGGGGGAGGGGAGGTGATTTAATAAATATTAAAGTTTATTAAATCACATTCTGTTCCTTAAATGATAAGAATACAAAATACAATAAACAACAAAAACATGGCCATATATATATATATATATATATGACAACATATCATGTTTCTAATGTTCTTATTTCACCATACTAAGTATGAGTAGAGACTCGGATTCAGTTAGTATATTCTGGATCCAGATAAGAGGAACCTTATTATTCTGAAATATAATCAAACATATTTACCTCAACAATAAGAAGAAAGTACTAGTAAGTAGGGTGAAAATTAATGAAAATAGAATGGATAGGCCAGAAGGGGGAACCCTCACACACTATCACTCAACATGAATTACACACCCCAACAAAAAAAACATCATTCACAACAGGCTCCAACAGGAAGAGATGCACCTTGCAAGTCAAACTATTTTACTACTTCAGTAGGAGGAAGGGAAATACTAATACCAGACTGAAATAAATGCATCATCCTATCTAATAAAAGAGTAATATGCAAATTAACCATCACTCTGTCATAAAGATAGAAGCGCCCATAAGCCACAAAATGGCAGTGCCCAGTCCTCTCAGCCCTGCTGGAGTTCCCAGACCGGAGAGGGTAGGGGGAGAAAGGGGAAGGCAGCGGCTGCTGAGAGTGGGCAGCGTGACCAGCCTGGCAGAATGCTTGCTTCATCACCACAGTGACAAGGCAAAAGTGTTTCACCTCAACCGCAGAGGGCCTCTGGGCAGCGAGCACCGAGTGGTCAAGGGGGTGAGGGTGGGGGTGGGGAAGATACGCTGTGTCATCACCCTGTCATTGCTCTGGCAACTAGGCAAGCATTCCGTGCCCAGCCGTGGATGGGCCTCTGGGCAGTGGGCACAGAGCGGCCAGGCCCCATAGAGACCTACTAGCACAGGGATTTATGCACAGGACTACTAGTTAAAAATAAAAAAAGTAAGAAATTCATCATTATAGAAGTTCATAATTACGAACACTGCAAAGATCATCAAGTATTTCCAAAGATCCTGTTTACCCTCAAGAAAATACAATGATACATGTCAATTATATCTCACAATATAAAACTGGAGTCTGGCTGGCATGGCTCAGTGGTTGAGCTTTGACCTAAGAACCAGGAGGTCATGGTCCATTTCCCAGTCAGGGCACATGACCAGGTTGTGGGCTCAATCCCCAGTGTGGGCCTGCAGGAAGCAGCTGATTAATGATTCTCTCTCTCTCTCTCTCCTTCACCCCCCCTTTCCTCTTTGAAATAAATAAAAATATTTTTAATATGCTTAAAAACGTGGAAAAAATGTTCTCAAATTTTCAAAAGTTTTGAAAAATCTATTAACCAGCAACTTAAAATGTGGGAGCTAACTTTATAACATTTTCTCTTTCTCCCTCTTTTAGTTTTGTTAAACTAAAAAAATATTTTAAAGAAGGAAACATTTTGAAAACCTTTAACCTAAAACCAAATATTCACATGTAATGGTTTGCACATTACATAATAACATATGTACCTATTTCATACATATTTTTATCATTTTACAGATGTATCACCAGCATAACACTGGGATAAAAAAAACCTTCTACTGCCTCCTAGAGATACTCCATGAGGGATATGTCCCAGCATTCAGCTCTCCCCATGAAAAGGGGTCTGTTTTGAATCAAATCCAAGGGGAGGTGATCTATTCACCAAAAGGATCTAGTCTCTATCCCCAATCTCTATCATCCACCACTGTAACAATGCACAGCCAAAGAGAATTTAGAGGAGGGTGTTAGGTTGCAAAGACAGAAAACTGCAGTATCACAGCTTTCACCAACATTTTTCCAGTTTCAACTAATGCAAAGCCTTATTTAAGAGAAATTAACAGATAGAGGCTCAATAGTTAGGAGAATATATTTTGAACAAGTACAGAATGGACACATAATCAGAATGAACTGGGACTGAGCCCCATTGACACCACCAATTCTTTAGTGAAGAGGAACTAGAGAGTGATGTAAGAACCTACTGCTTAACCTTCACAGAGCAAATGATGGCCTGAAAACCAAACTGGTCGCTTCCTCTTCCTCTCCCCTTCCTGAACAGTTCATCTAAAAGCCACAGGGTAGGCAAAGTAAAGCAACCATCTACACCTGGGAAGGGAGGGACAGGAGTCTCATGGCTAGAGTGGATGTCAGAGGTGGACAAGGGTAAATAAGTATCCACCTGGGTGATGAAGAGGCTAGCAGAACAGCAGCAGTGCCTCAGCGTAGCAGAGCCATACAGCACGAGGAAGCCATATGCGCAGAAGTCAGGCACAGCACGTTGGAGCTTGAGAGGAAGGAAAAGGGCATCCGTGGTGGGGGACAGGGCAGGAGAAGTCCAGCTCAAGGTGTCAGGGCCTGAGCACAGCAACAAGAACATCTGCACGGAGAGGCTCCTGGTGCAGGGGGTCAGAACCCAAGAGGAAGGCCTGCCTTGAGGGCTTGGTCCCAGTGTGCGCCATGCAGGAGGCAGCTATTCAATGATGTTTCTATCTCTCTATCACTCTCCCCTCTTCTCTGAAATCAATTTAAAATTTTTTTTCAAGAAAGAAAGAAAAAAAAAAAAAACACTTAAAAAGCTGTAGAAAATATAACTACAAACAAGGTAAAAAGAATTGACTTCGCCCTAGCTGGTTTGGCTCAGTGGATAGAACCTCAGACTGTGGACTGAAGGGTCTTGTGTTCGATTCTAGTTAAGGGCACATGCCTGGGTTGTCAGGCTTTGTTCAGAGACAGGTAGCATGGGGAGCAGCTAGAACAATGTATTTTCATCCATAATTCCTTTCTGCTATTCACCACCACCCATGATCCATCTGTGGAATTTCTGAACAGTCAGTGATTCCATGTTTTAAATAGTTTGTAAATTTTCAGTTTCTACACACTTTACCATCCACTCATGATTTTTTAAAATATATTTTATTAATTTTTTACAGAGAGAAAGAGAGAGGGATAGAGAGGTAGAAACATCAGCTGCCTCATGCACACCTCCTACTGGGGATGTGCCCTCAACCAAGATAATGCCCTTGACCAGAGTCAAACCTGGGACCTTTCAGTCCAAAGGCCAATGCTCTATCCATTAAGCCAAACTGGGTAGGGCCAGTCATGATTTTTTAATTAAAGCATTTTAATTTTTTTCTCTGTGCCTAGATCCACATTTATTTATTTATTTATTTATTTATTTATTTATTTATTTATATTTTATTGATTTTCCACAGAGATGAAGGAAGAGGAATAGAGAGCTAGAAACGTCGATGAGGAGAGAGAAACATCAACCAGCTGTCTCCTGCACACCCCCTGCTGGGGATGTGCCCGCAACCAATGTACATGTCCTTGACTAGAATCGAACCTGGGACCTTTCAGTCCACAGACTGACGCTCTATCCACTGAGCCAAACCGGCTTCGGCTAGATCCATATTTAGTTTTATAGGCTTCTCTCTGTTTTTTTGTTTGTATGTCATGGAAATGTAAGTGGGATATTAATATATTTCAGTTTAGTTCTGTAATGTAAGAAATTTTTCAAAAAAATTAAAAGATGGACTGGAAAAAATGAATCAATCAATGAATGTATCAATAAGTGGAAAACAAATAGATGTTTCTCTCTCTCAAATAAATATAAATGTAAAAAGCATTAGCAAAGAAAAATTCTAAAGAAGTTTTATTGTAATAAAACTGTTTTCATTTTTGTATCTGGCCCTTTAGCTCCTCTCTTATCTTCTCCCTTAAGTCTGTTCAGTCAGAAACCTTACCTAATACATCTTCAAACTATCCACCCAACAATAGGGTCTTTGGAGATGGGAGAGAGGGAGGAAGAAACTGGTCACGTGTTCATCAACACTTTCATCATATCAAGTTTAAAGAAAGTCTTTTTATTAGCATGTTGTTATGCAGAGTCCAACAGATTCATTTAATAACCAATTCCTATGAGCTGAGAATATTGCTCCAATTGAAATTGAACTTCTATGTAAAAATTTTTTTAAAAGACTGCTTTAGGAAGTTTTATGGGATATGACACAATACTACTGGTGACATCTGAAACAGTACTCTAAATGGATATGGAGCTAGATAGAAACATACTTTACAAAGTACTACAAGGTCAGTAGTTTAAAGTCTAGACTCTAAACATTTAGGTGGATATTATCTTACTCTTTGAAATGTTAATTCCATGGAATTAGCTCACCATGAAAATAGAACTCCCATGGCAAAAGCTAACATTTATTTACTGCTTGCCATGTGCCAGGCACTGTTCCAAACACTTTACATGTGTTTACTCATCTAAATATCACAAATAGCTACCCATTTATAATTTTCCCCTTTTACAGATGAGAAAACTGTGGCAGAAGCCAAGCACAAACACAGGTAATGGTCCATCTGGAATTGTAACCTAGACCATTTGGCTTAACAATCTTGTTATATTGCCTCTCATCATCACTTATGTTCACTGAAATCAGTAACAATCTCTTGGTTTTCCATTTCTTTTCTATGAAAAATTAGTTCCCTCCTCCCAACTCTAGATTCTAGTTTAGGAGCTAATATGAATGTTACCAAAATTCATATTTTGGTATAATAAATTCATATTTTTCCCACTATGACATTTTTTCTCTTAAAAGGGTGGTCCATTAAATCAAAGATTGACAGGGTTTTTTGTTTTTTGGGTTTTTTTTAGTTTTTTTAAATAACCACAATGGAGACTCCACACTATACCACAAATCAAGATTGATGTGTTACAGAGACTGATTAACAGCAAAGGCCACATTGTGAAGTAAGCCAAATCCAACTGAACCACTTCCCACTTTTCTCCACCTCTCTCTCACCCAGTCAAAAAAGTCTTTATCTACATAGTTTTAGTGCTTTGTCCCATAAAG